CCTGCAGCTGAATGTGAACAAAACGGAAGCCATGCTCTTGCCTCCCGTCAATGTCTTCACTCCTGTGGATCTGAACTCCTCAACCTCCCTAGCTCTCCCTCACACTCACCGAGCCAGGGCGCAATCTAGGTATCCAATTCGACCCCCAGCTGTCCTTCCACCCCCACAACTGGTCCCTAATCAGGACCGCCTTCTTTCTCCATCACATTGTCCACCTCCGACTATACCTTAACCCAAACGCAGCCGAAACCCTCGTGCATGCGTTTCTCACCTCCCATCTGGATTACTCAAATGCACTCCTCCCCTGTCTCCCCAGCTCCATTGGAGTCCTGTAGCTCAGTGGTTAGAGCACTCGCTTTGCAAGCGAGAGAGCTGAGTTGAATTCCAGACAGGGCGAAACCTTGGGCCAGTTTCTTCTCCACACGCCTAATAATAATCCCTCCAAAAAAACAAAACAATAATAAATTGGTCATTTTCAAACTACGACTGTTTGTGGGACATTGCTGTGCGCAATTGGCTGCCGCGTTCGCCAACAAATATATAGTCAATTCACTTTCTGTATATTCTGTGAAGCGCTTTGGGACGTCTAGAAGACATGAAAAGTGCTATACAAATGCAAGGATTATTATTATTATATTCAAAAGATCCAGCTCATTCAGAACTCTGCTGCCCGAATACTTGGACCAAACTCCGTACACACATCTCACCAGTTCTGGCCAGGCTCCACTGCCTGCCCATCACCGAAAGGATCGACTTCAAGATCCTCACACTAGTTTTCAAATCCCTTCACTCTCTGGCAGCTCCCTACCTCTCCAATCTCCTCACTCCCCAATCCATCACCTGGCTCCTCTGCTTGACTGGCACCAGCCTCCTGCTCGTCCTTCGCACCCTCCGCCCCACGATCGCCACTACGCCCTGAAGCTCTGGAACACTCTCCCTTAATCCTTCTGCCTTGCCCCCTCTCTCCCCTTTTTCAAGTCCCCACTGAAAACTTTCCTCTTTGACCGTGTTTACGGACACCTACCGAACCCCCCCACCCCCCGGCTCAGAGTCAGGCTCCACCACTGTTAAGTGCCTACCCTGCGTGGAGGGCGTTATATAAGTGTAAGATGTTGTTACTGTTGTCGATCCCGCGTGAGGCCACATCCAGAATTGTAGCAGTAATTTTCGATACCTTCAAACGTGTACTGATGTACTGGAGAGGATTCAGAGAATAGCAACAAGGACGATTGCTAGACTTAGCTTTCCAAAATAATGAGGATAGAATCATAGTGCTGTATGCTTCTATTAGAAAGATAATTGAGGGGGACATGATCCGGATTTTGATAATGCTAAGATACACAAGTGCTCTAGATGTTACATTGTTTGGTTAACTTTGACTGTGAGCCCAGAACCTCAGAACACAAAGCATGTCGCAGGTTAAAGATTGGAGATTTTTTCTCTGTCCAATTAGTGGAAATGTGAAATACAGATTTTGTAGGAGAAAACAGTTGATTTTGTGTCAAATAAATCCATGCAGAAAAAAAGGACCAGATAGGCTTAAATACTTTTTATCTTGACTGCAGATAAACCCTCATTTCTCTGTATTTGCTGACCATCAACAATAGACTGTAATATAGGAAATCCACACAGACTGTCTCACTCTGCTCTGATAGATTGAAGTTGACATAGTTTGTGTGAGACAATTGCTGGCTGGACAGTCAGTGCAGCCTGGATAGTTTTTTGCACTTGTCTCACCAGCAAAGGAACCTCTGGGAAAATAATGGTATGTAGTGAGGAGGCAGGGAAGTCATAGCCACGGAATGAAGGAGGGATATACTTGAAAAAGTATGGGAATAGACCGAGGAAGACAGAACGAGCAGAGTGGACATTTGTAGAGAGAAAAAAAGCTTGAGTTTTTGTAGTATATTCTATGAAGCGCTTTGAGAAGTCTTGAAGACGTGATAAACCGCTACATCAAATGAAAGGACTATTATTATTATATAATTCCCAGTGTGAGTTAAGGGTGTAGGGTGCATGTAAGAGAAAATAACTAGGTTAACAAAGGAAAATGGGATAAGCAAGATGATTGAGGAAAGAGGGAAGAGGATGGAAAGTTGGTTGGTATGAGGAACAGATCAAAATGAGCAAAGAAAGGACAGCAGTTTGATGATTCACTAAGAATGGGAGATTTATGGTTAAAATTAGTTAGTGGCCAGGGGGGAAGATTAACTATTGTTAAGAGATGAACAACTAAGAGTTCCCAAATGGTGCACTGTGGTACATAATCATACAGTAATATTGTTTTATCTGACTGCACATTTTACATCCAACAGTCGGGTCTCACCACAGGGAGGTTGATTGATCAAGTAATATAATTTGATATAATTAGAAGCCTTATCTTATTATCTATGGATCCTTCATCAACTTTGTTACAGTGTACAACTAAAGCAGCTCAAAATCAATCACATAATGCTTAATAAATTATACTAGTTTGTGAGAGTAAGTGTAATAAAATACAATACTAATTTACATCTATGGTGCGCCTGTCAGGAGAAGATGTCCCAAGACACTTGACGGTCCAGGCTTGGCACCCGAGCTGGGCATGGGAGCTGAGGGGGTGGGGAGGGGAAAGATGACCAAAGGGCAGGCAAAGAGGAAACTCTTGAGATGGACTTTGAAAGAGGTGAGGGAGAGAGAGTCTGAGGGACTCCAGAATGGAGTTCCAGAGAGTGGGGGCAAATAGGCTGAAAGCCTGACCAACAATGATAGGGCAAGCAGGGTGGGGAACATAAAGCAGGCCAGTGCCTGTTGAGTGAAGGGAGTGGTCTTGATGGGGCGATTGAGAAGGTCGCAAAGATAGGATGGGGCAAGACCATGGAGGGATTTAAAGATAAGTACGAGGACCTTGAATTGGATCTGCTGGGGGTTGGGAATCAATGGAACTAGGTGAGGAAATGGGTGGGGGCAGGGGATGGGAAATACAAAACAATTTACATGTCAATAATGTCTTTCACATCGGGTGGATATCTCAAAACGCTTAACACTGCTAGCTGGGCAACTTTCAACCAGTTGTATGACCAACTATCTTTGGGTCCAAGTGCAAATGTTCTATCCTTGCTTATTTGCCTTTTCCACTGTGCAATCACCTTGAGGACATCGCTGTGAAATGTGCCACCCAAACATTTTGGAAGGAAATCTAACCCAAACTATAGCATTCCCCAATGACTGCAGAGTAGAATAATGCTGCCTCCCTGTTCTGAAAGATAGATCTGTTCATGTTTTAATTAAGTGCCCATCTTATCCCAACCACAGCTCTAACATAACTGATAAAATCTGTAAATCACTCCATTTACACACAGTCCAATCAATGAACTAAACATCTAACCAAGAGACGCTCTTATCTTTTATAGCACAGTTAGTAATGCATCCCTGAACTTTCATCACTGGACATTCAATTATGCAGTGGCTGTTCACAATCCCAGGTCCTATCGGTCTCCTGGCCAATCCTTTATAATGTAATTGAGTCTTGCCCGAAGCTATTTTGGCAAGACAGACTTTGCCTTGTGCCTCCCTCAATCCCTCCGCCTTGCCCCATCCTTCCCCCATCTTCAGGTTGACTTGAAGACCTTCCTCTTCGAACATGCCTACAATAACCTCACCCCTCCACCCGGCTTGGTGTCATACTCCACCGCTGCCAAGGGCTCTGGAACGCAGGGGAGCTATATAAATGCAAGTTGTTGTTATTTGGTACTGTTCACGGACCAAATCGAAACCAAGAGCCCTTAAACCACGTCTTGTCTTCACCAACTAAATTCTTTTCTTCAGTTTTCTCTGAGATAGAATCACATAACGACGATGTGCGGTGGTGTTGGTTGTTGAACTGTACCTGGGCACTCAGGACAATGTGGGTGATTTTAGTCCATTGCAGTTCAATTTCAATGCAATGGCTTATTTATGGTAAATGCTCTGAAACAGTGCATCACTTTAGGAAACGAAGCAACTGAAGCGTGTGGTGAAGACCACCACCCACCAACCCCCCCCCCCCCCCCCCCCCACACACACACACACAAAACTGTTCCCAAGTTCTTCCCTGGATTCGCCTCAAAGAAAAGACTATTCCTTGTCGTAATGCCCTCTGAGGACCTGCCCCAAACCTGTCCCCCTCTGAAGCGCACAGCGCTGCTCCGGGGATTTCTCATCCTTCACTAAAAACACAACCAGTGGCAGTTGTATCCGCATCCACCACATCCGCACTGAGTGAGGTCAGTCCCAGTGACAACTGAAGGGATAAAATCCTGTTTTGCGTCCACTCCGGAGAACTCGGACCGTGAGAACTTTTGTTTTGTATTGAAAGGATAGAGATATCTCCTCTCCCCCCCCCACACCCCCAGCCTCTCTCTCTCCTTCTCACTCTCTCCCTCCTTCCCTCTTTCCCCTCCCCATCCGCCCACAAACAACTGTCAGAGCAAAAATCGGCCACAGCTGCGTCTCGGTCTCGGGGTCCCTGTGGGGTCCCTGTTGGTCTGTGGGTCCCTCTGGGGTCCCTGTGGGTCTGTAGGTCCCTTGGGGTCCCTGTGGGTCCCTGTGGGGTCTCTGTGGGGACCCTGTGGTTCCCTGTGGGGTCCCTGTGGGTCTGTGGGTCCCTGTGGGGACCCTGTGGTTCCCTGTGGGGTCTCTGTGGGTCTGTGGGTCCCTGTGGGGTCTCTGTGGGTCTCTGTGGGGTCTCTGTGGGTCTGTGGGGTCCCTGTGGGGTCCCTGTGGGTCCCTGGGGGTCCCTGTGGGTCTGTGGGTCCCTGTGGGTCCCTGTGGGGTCTCTGTGGGGTCCCTGTGGGGTCTCTGTGGGTCCCTGGGGGTCCCTGTGGGGTCCCTGACCGCTCGGCTGCGCTCCGCCGCCTCGAACCAAGCGCAGCGCGGAGCGTGCGGTTGACAAGACAGGACCCCCCCCCCCCCCCCCGTGTGCGGATGGGAGGTCGGGGACGGCGGGTCCCGGCGTTGGGAATGTTCTTGTGCAACGTTACCAACGTGTCTCCACAGCCCGAACCGAGCACTCACACCGCAGAAGTCCATCTCAACAAGAAGACGCCACTTTAAAGCTGCTGCTGCTTCAGCTGCAACACCTAATAAGATCAGAGTCCCGTCTTCTCTGGTGGAAATGCAACACGTTCTTCCCTATAAAACCCACAGTGTTTCACATCCATAAAGGAAAATAAAACACACACACGGTTTCCTCTTTGCCGCTGTGGGTAAAGATCAGAGAAACACAAGTGCACAACAACGTCTCTTTCTCTCTCTCTCTCTCTCTCTCTGTGTCTCCGTCTCTCTCTCTCTCTCTCCTCAGTTCAGGTCTAACACTATACTCACGATTGCATGTGGAAAAGCTGCGGTGGGATTCACCAGAGAAGAGAGAGGGAGAGAGTTAGAGGGACTCTTACCTCTTTCCAACGTAAGCGGCTGCAGTGTTGTCGCCATGTCTGCCGCAGCCAGAGAGCAGGAGGTGGGGGGGGAGAGATAGGCAGAGAGAGAGAGAGAGAGGGAGGGAGGGAGGGAGGGAGGAGGAGGAGGGGGTGGATGATGGTGGGGGGGAGATGGAGATGGAGTGACGCGCTATTCAGAGCAACCACCAGGGGCTGAGAGAAAGGGAGAGTGAGGGAGTGCTGTAGCCAAAGGCACATCACTGAGAGAAGCACAGACAGGAGTCACTGGGAACTGTGTGCAGGTCAGGCAGCAGCTTCAGGGACAGAGGGAAATCAGTTAACGTTTCAGGTTCCCCTCATCTTTGGTCAGAAACTCTTGATGTCATCAGGGTAACGTTTCAGCAACAACAACAACAACAACAACAAGATTCCATTTATAGAGCGCCTTTTCACGTCGGGAGGACGTCCCAAGGCGCTGGACCGTTCGGTCAGGACTCGAGCCTTGGGGGGGGGGGGGGGTGGGGAATGGTCAGGGTGAGGGGAGGGAAGGGAGGGAGCGAGGAGTGGGGAAATGGTCAGGGTGAGGGGAGGGAAGGGTTGGGAGCGAGGAGGGGGTGGAGAGTCGAGAGGGGAGCTGAAGGCACGGTCAAAGAGAAGTTTCAGCGGGATGACTGAAAGAAGCAGTCACTCCCAAGACGTGAAGATCCCTCAATGGATAAGAGGAATTGATTTCTTGCGGTTTCCCGGCCAGCAATCCCCCCCCCCCCCCCCCCCCGGATAAAATTGGTCATTCGCTTTGTGGCTGTTTGTGGACATTGCTGTGTGCAAATTAGCTGCAAGGGTTCACCTACAAATAAACAGTTACTACGCTTCACAGTAAAATCATAAACGCTTTGAGATGCCTTGGCAATGTTATAAGAACTCTATATCAAATAAAAGGATTATTTTTACCTCTTCACGCATCCATGGAAACGTGACATGGATACATTCAATTGAACACTTCTACCTCTGCGACCTCCTAACCCCCTACCAACCCACCCGTTACCTCCGCTCAGCCCGCTCCGGCCTGCTCCACATCCCCCAACCCACCCGCCCCACCATTGGTGTGAGAGCCTTCAGCCACTCTGCCCCCAACCTCTGGAATGCCATCCTCCAGTCACTCCGCCTCGCCCCCTCCTTAGCCTCCTTCAAGTCCCGCCTCAAGACCCTCCTCTTCGGCCATGCCATCAGCCACCCCCACTTCCCCTCCCCTCCCTTCTCTCCCCCTGACCCCAGCTCGGGTCTGAAATGCTGTACACTGTCCAGCGCCTTGGGACGTCCTCCCGACGTGAAAGGCGCTATACAAATGTAATCTTGTTGTTGTTGTAAAGTAGTATACCACCAGAGCAATACTTGAGAAATACTGTGTATTAATGGTGGAATAGAGACTGAAGGATGGATAGACATCAGAGACATTTTCATTGTCAGAGACACAGATTTCAGAAATTAATTTCACTGAAGATTATTGGGTGAAGTGAAGCAAATGTGAATCCAGTCAAAACTCCAATCTCCATATAGACATCCAGATTTCAGATGCTAAAATAAGAGTTTATACATCTTGTATGATTCTGGATGATTTTATTACAAAAATCAGACTTCCACAAAAACAAGTTTATATAGAATCACATCTTAGTATAGACTTTAAGGATATAGAAAAACAAATAAGATTTGAAACTGTTTTCTGAGATTATTGTAATGGCCAAAATTTTGAATGCTGGAATATGGTTGTAAAATAGTGGCCCTGTTTATTTTACAACAATGGATAAATGAGGTCTATTAATGCTATATAATAATCCTTGCCTTATCACATCTTTGAGGCGTCTCAAAGCACTTCACAGGATACACTGCAAAATGTAGTGCTTGTGTATTTTGTGGGCAAATATATTATATATAGGTTCATTATTGAAGAAAACTTTAAATTTATTGCTAGCTGTTTTATTCAAAATGTATATAGAATGGATATTTTTTCTCTGAATAAATACTTTTACTTTATTAAAAACTAAAAGTTTGGATTAGTTAAACAAGACCCAAAACTCTATCCAGTCATACTATTTGGTTGTTTTGTTTCCTTTTGCTTCTTTGGTCTGTAAGAATCAGGAAAAGATTATGAAAATCTGCCATGCTTAACTCTAAGTCAGCTAGGGACTTGAATTATCTTAGTTTCCTTTAGTGCAAGCTTTGCTTTGTGTTTTTATTTGCAGCGAACAATTTGCCTAATATTTCTGACAATAAAACCAAAAACTCCAATATCCTGAGCGCACCACCATCCAACGTATTCCTACACTTTGATGATTGTGTAGATATAGTAAATAAACATAGATTCAACAACAGTGAATATAAGACAACCTTTCCAGAGAATGGTTTGAGAATATGTCTCTAATATTATTCAGTATATGCCCTTGTGAGATAAAGTTGATCAAGTGAGACTATTTAACATTCCTTAACTTATCCATCTGATTAGAATCGATGCCAAAGATGAGGTAGGTCTAGCTTTAAACAAATATTGACCAAAGTGGAGGCCCAAGGTGATAAAATATTTGTGCTAAGGTTATATACATGTAACAAAGAGTGTATCAAAATGGAGGTTGTAACCCCGAGAGCATCCAATAAAGCTGTGTGAAAATATTCCCAAATTCCCAGGGCTAATCAAGCAAAACTCCACAAGATGAACCCAACCACCTAACCCACATGTTCACCTCTGGCCAATTACACTCTACAATAACTTGTGTTCTTATGATTGCACAGATTATAATAACTTGAAAGTCATTGCCGTGACTTGAAGGTCAAATAATTAGTCAATAGTTGTAGTAAATGTATGGGCTCCCAGTGGAAGCAGAAAATGTCATTTATTTCAAGAACAAATTAGATTTCTGCTAAAAAATAATATCTCAGGATACGGCATATAGTTTGTGACATGACATGTCAAGTGACTGCTAGGATCGTGGAAGGCAAACTAGATGGAACTTGGTCTTTTTACCCTAGCAAATTTTTATGTTCTTGTTTGTTCTAACAGTAAAAACAATAATCCTTTAGTGCCTTTCACATCGGGAGAACGTGCTTCTCCAGATTTACTGTAAAGTGTCGTGAACGTGTATTTTGTATGCAAATAATCTACATACAGCTGAATGATTTTTAGTTCAGGCTCTGATTACTTACCATTGGCAAGTAAAGTGATTAGAGGTTGTATTAACTTGACATCTTATGGATGACCACTCTGGAGGGTTTCAATCTTCTTGGGACACAATATGTGAATTATCCACTTTTAATAGAGGTCTGTATTGAATCCTGTCATAATAATGTAATAATATAATAATCCTTGCATTTGATATAGCGCCTTATCACATCTTTGAGATGACAAAGCGTTTCACAGAATATACTATACAGTGGATTGACTGTGTATTTTGTGGGCGAAACGTGGCAACCAATTGTCTCACAAACAGTCGTGATTGAGTGAGCAATTTTTTTAAAATCATGCACTTTTACAAAGATTCCTCCTAAAAGATAGATCTAGAAACTTAGCTGAATATCCCACATTATGCAGAACAGACAAAATCATGTGTAGAAATTAAATACTCACTAAGAATCCTGGCAATCTTCTAGCAGATGCGTGACCATATTAATCAATGAAGCAAACATTAACACTCATAAGGGATTGTGACCATCTGATCTCCTATTTATGTTGCAAACATTATTTTTTTTCGAGATCTGAAAACATTTGGCTAGTTATATTTGTTTTACAGTCTATTCTGTGAAGCGCTTTAAGATGTCTAGAAGATGTGAAAAATGCTATCTCAAATGCAAGGATTATTATTGTCTGAAATAATTTCAAGAATATTTAATCCAGACTTTCCAGGGGTGTGCTTTTGGTTCAGAAAGAATAAAGCCTGTTAAATGGGTTTTGACTTTAATATTGTTGTCACCAATGGTACAAAGTGTGAATGCAATGAAGTTGTCAGTGTCGGGTCTAAGGCTATTTCTCATTCTGGTTTCTCTAGAGCTTGAAGAGGTCAGTTTACAATAACAAACTTATTGGGGCAATGCAATTAGGTGAAATTGTGCTGTGTGATAAAATAAAGTGTGGTGACTGAGTATTTGTAGGCAAATGTGACAGGCAATTTGCTCACACCATTGTCCAACAAATTGTTTTGGAGTGAATAATCCATTTTCTGATCTGGAAGATTGATGGCCAACACATCGAAATTCCCTTCCCTTTTTGAACAGTGCCATGGGATCTTTAACATCCCACAGAATCAGCAGATGGGAATTTAGTTTGACAACTCATCCAAAGAACAGTATTTCCGATGACACAGTACTATATTGGGGTGTCAGGCCCAAATCATGATTTTGTAGTCCCAACATATTATTTCCTTTTTTTTGGTATGGAGTGTGTGCCCTCTCCCAGAAAGATGCACCCTGCTTAATCAGTCATACAGGGTTCCCAGGAACCAAGCTTTGGGGATCCAGGAGTGTGCCGGCGTTTAACCAGCTCGACTAGTAATGTATTTGTATAAGAATGGGAAGTTTCCAGCTCGTTAAGTACCTTTCAACAATATATACTGTGCTTGGAATTTCTCAGTGATCAGAAGTCCTGGGAGAGAGATATTATTTATTTATAAATTTACAATGTCTTAGTTCTTCTTATCCTTCTGATGCAACTTCCATATTTAAAGAAATGCAGTGAGCTGACATTTGACATCCACACTGGCAGTTTCTGCTGTTGGCACAAGATCTGCTTTGAAACAGAACACACCCCTCTCACCCCCACCCTGCACAGACACCCGTGGTCTCCTTCACTGCTGTAAATTTTGCCTGACTCTTGGAGAAACTAAAGTATATATAGCAAACAACAACAAATTGCACACTGAATTGAAGACTGTGGCTACATCTTGGAGTTAGACGGTAGTTCTTAATGGTTATAAATTGCTCGAGGCTTATACTCGTGTTTTATGAATGTCTTAATGTGTTAAGATGATTGTACAGTAATTGCTCCCTGGTATTTATTTTCTCCACAAAGCCTGAGAAAAAAGTAAGACCAGAAACATAGTCAGGCTCCAGCCGTGGTGTCAGATTCCTGTTGGGAATGGTATGTGCTTGATCCAGGTTTTAACTTTGATTTCTTTAATAGCTGCCCATATTGTGAGCAAAGCAGTTCACAACCAAATGGCAGGTAGGAGGCAAACTGCTCCACCAGGAAGCTTGCCAAACAGTGCTCTGAAAGACAAGCTATGTGGTTTAGCTGCTTAAATTCCAGGATAAGCGCTACCCCATTTAAAGGGTGCTATACAAATGCAAGTTGTTGTTGTTGTTATGGAGTAGTACAACAGACACTCGGGAGCCTTGGCTTTTGTCAACCTGAGGCTGTGATTTCTACATTCCTATGAGTCTTACACTCTCACCACCCTCTGCATAAAGAAATTCCTCCTTAGCTCCCTTTTAGATCTGTTACTATCTATCAGTTGTTTATGCTTCTTGTTTTTGACACACCAACAAATGGAAAGATCCCATTAATGTCCACCTTATAAACCTTTGATAATGTTACAACTTGAATTATGGTGAGGATTTCTTGATATGAGATTGCGATCTGTTTTCTTGAACGGTATGTAGTGACACGTTGGGAGGCTCACGGAAATTGAGGGTTATCATTGAGCTTGATTATTACACTGTTTAGTGTGAGCAAGCTTCATTTGTATTATTTATGCTCCAGAAAGCTCAGCAGCAGCTATTAAGTGTGAGCTCCTGTTGCTACCTCAAAGCTATTAGGGTCACATACATCCTACTTTATCTCTAATGAAGTGTTACATTGATAAGCTATGTTGGAAAATATTTTAGTCAAACACTGCCAATAGTTACCAAATCTTAAACTCATCATATGAAATCGAACAGTTTATATTGTGTGTGCCAGTTTACATTTTATTGCAACATTACATTGAAATTCTACAATGACTGATTAAAAAGATACCCTGAAGAGTTTGCTGCCCCCAAAACATTGGTATTATAACAAACAATTGACATTTGTTATGGTTTTCAACCTTATTAGAAAAAGAAAATTCCAGGAATGTTATGAGAGACAGAATCACATGTGGAATATACAAACTGGTGTTGGCTCTTTGCCTTATTAGTTTGAACCTGAGGATGTGCTGATTTTGAAACATGTGCGTTGATGAAACAGCTGAATTTGGATTGTATGCAGAATGTTGACCAGTATACATTTGAAAATATAATTTGTTCAACAGCAAGAACAGGAAATGTTTACATAATCTTGATGTGATTGCTATTGATTGTTGCAATGAACAACAATCCTCCAGATATGTTTTGTTGATCAGTCACTGCACAATTGTTTTTGGGATATTGGTGTCAGTAAATTTGCTGCCATGTTTGATTACAAATACACAGTCACTATGCTATACAGAGACGACGTAGACAAACTCTGTGAAGGCATGATGTGATAATGGCCTATTTCAAATCCTATTTCTTTATGGAATTCTCTTAAAAAGTGCTACAAGTCAAACCCCATTATTATTTTTTACCTCGAAGACTTAAGTTAATTTACGGAACATAGAACTACAGATAGTCTTGTCAAAATAAACATGTAATATTCCTTGCGTTTGGTAAAACATTCACAACATAAAAATGTCTCAAAGTACTTCACGAGGAATCTCTGAAGTGCAGTCACTGTGGCAAACCTCATAAATATTCTTTCAACTAAGTCTTAAAAACGGAGATCCTTGCTATAATATGCATTTTGATACAGAGATATGTTTATTAAATTAAACAAATAAGCAGTATAGCCAGTGATCAGTGCTAATTCACAGAAACTCATAGTTTTCAACAACAACTTGCATTTGTACAGTGGCCTTCACACAGGATAGTGTCTCGGAACCTGCTCAGTGGAGTTGGAACCCTGAGCAGCAATGGTGAAGGGGAGGGGGAGATGACGTGTGATTTAAAGAAAGATAAAGAGGAAGTGAGGCAGAGGGATTGAAGCAGGGAATTACAGAGGTTAGGGAGTGTGGTGGCTGAAGGCACAGCAGAGCCTGGATTGAGCCTGTTTCCTCAGTGCAAAATACTGTCCAGTGATAATTCTTCACTCAGTAACCACTGTTGACATGCACTTTATTCTTACTCCAAGGGTCAAATTGTTGGTTCACTTTGAGTTTGCTCACGATGACAGTAAATCAAAATGGAATGCATAAAGATAAATGTATATTTTAACTGGCTTTCAATAACAGAAAGTGTTTTAGATTTGTATTATTCACAGGATAAGTGGCAAAATGTTTCTCCAGGACTCAACGGATTTTCATATTTTAATATTTATTGGGATGGATAAATACTTAATTGAAGCATTGAGAATATGAAAATATAATCTTGCATGCCATGTACAGAAAGCAAATCAAATAGATCGCACTGGACCTTATCTGTATACCCTTATCTCACTGATCCCAGAGGGTTCACCAGAAAAAGATCAGAGAACATTAATGTTAAATAGCTCTCAGAGGCCCTGGGCATGATTATGGAGATCCCAGAATGCTCCTGTTGATTTTTTTCTCATCCAGTTTTCTCCTTTCCCTTTTGCTGAAAGCATTTGACTCATTCTTTGCTTCTGCTGGGATATGGTTCCACAGGCTCCAGGCAGCTTCTGGTACCTGACTAAGGTCATGCTATTAATTAATTGAATTCAGATCCACAGACATCACATTCCAATAAATGGTGCTCCAGTCCAGCTGCACCGAGCGCGGTGCATACAGTTCTAGTTTTCAAAATCCTTTCAACATCCTCTCACTCATTTTCAAATCCATTCATGCCCTGGCATCTCTCTACCTATCTGATCTGCTTACCCCCCACTCCACCACCCGCTGCTTCCGTTCGGCTGCCTCCAGCCTCCTGTTGTCCCTCGTCCCCTCCGCTCCACCATCGGTGCTATGGCTTCAGCCACTAAGCCCAAAACTCTGGTACTCTCTCCCTCAATCCCTGCGCCTTATCCCTTCCCTCCCACACTTTCATAACTCGTCTAAAGACCTTTCTTTTTGATCATGCTTATGGTCACCTCCCCCTCTCTCTCCCTGGCTCAGGGTCAGACTCCACCACTGTTAAGCGCTCCGGGATGCCTCTCTGCTAGAAGGCATTATATAAATACAAGTTGTTGTTCTAGTATCCTTGACATAAGGGGGCTGCCCAGGGCCTAGAAGCAATACAGAGGAGAGCAATGAGGATGATCCTCAGGTGTTAGAGGAATGAACAATAATTAGACAAGCTAGGACTCTTCACTCTTGAGAAAAGACTCAAGACTGAAGAGCCCAAGCTCTATAAGTTATCAGAGAATAGCTTATAGAGGTGTACAACATTTTAAATGCGATTGAAAAAGTAATGCAGGAAAATATTTTAGGATGCACAAAGACAGTACGACAAGAGGACATAGGTTTAGAGTTACAAAGGGCAGTTTCAGAACAGACACCAGGAAGGTTTTCTTTATCCAGAGAGTAATTAATGACTGGAACCAGGAAGGATGGTTCAGTCAAGGACATTGGAATCATTTTAAAAAAGAATTGATGCTGTGATGGGAGGATGGCAGGGTGGGTGTTGAGGATGAGATCAGTTGGGCTGAATGGACGTTTTTATCTGAATTGATCTTGCAATTTGTGTCCTTGAATTATTCAATTATGGGCGGGGTGGGGAGAGGGGTGGCTGAGACGGTCACCACAGCCTAATTCTGTTCTCAACCAATATCGATCTTCCAACCTGGGTTTCTGGAACGAGATGAAGAGTACAGACCCTAGTCAATTGAAGCACGAGTGAAAAGCTGTGGAACATTCATCTTGCCTGAAGCATCCGAGACCTGAAATTTCATCGAGTCTTAACTTGTTAGACCACTTTTGTCACAAATTTTAAGATTGTGCAGATTTTCAGGCTTAATTTTGAAGCTGTTCAGCCCTTTTACAAAATGTTGCCTTCCAACATAGGGTTGATGCTTTTAATCGGCAAGTTTGGCGCTACCTTGATTTCTAAGGCAAAATGATCTGTTAGGCTGGTCTCTGACCCCCTCCCTGGCATTATCCTCCTGCATATTGCAGAAATATGCAGATACTGTTCATAATGCCATATGCAGTGTTTGCCCTCAAGGACTCAAATGCTCTCATTCCTGGTCTATCCAACTCCACTATCCTTTAAATCCAGTTAAACCAAAACTCCACCGCCCGCAAACTCACTCGCATTAAACTCCTTACCCCCATCACACTAGTTCAGGCCAGGCTCCACTGGCTCCCTATCACCGAACAGATTGATTTCAAGATCCTCACACTCGTCTTCAAATAGCTTCATGCCCTGGCACCTCCCTACCCTCGACCAGCTTATTCCCCAACCCAGTACCCGCTGCCTCCAGGCTCAACTTGCTCCAGCCTCCCGCGTGTGCCTCCTGCCCACCGTTTCACCGCCGGCGGCCTCACTTTCAGCCACTCCACCAAGAAACTCTGGCACACACTCTCCCTCAATCCCTCCGCCTTGCTCCATCCTTCCCCATCTTCAGTTCGCCCTTGAAGACATTCCTCTGGGACCTCGCGGACGGTCACCTCCCTCATCCCCCCCCACCCCCGCCAGCTGTTGTTGTTCCTGTTGGATGCAGTCCCTTTTGGTATCTCAAGGCTTGGTAGGTCCATGTTTGGACACGAGATCCTGCGTTAATATTGCCAGGTGGTGATGCTCGGGGGCGGTGTCTCCCTCTTACGCAACGAAGCAGAGGAGGAACCCCTCAGTGGGAACTGAGTCTGTGTGTGAGTGTGAGAGTCTCAGTGTGTGTGTGTGAGTGTGAGTGTGAGAGTCTCTGTGTGAGTGGGGAGTGAGTGGGTGAGTTTGTGGCAGCGACGCGTAAAAATTAAACACCGTCGGAAAATGAGTCTGAGATCCCTAAGAGTTACAAGGCTTTGCTTTGCCAAACAGCGCACGGCAGCGAGTCAGAGAGGAGTCGTGGGAGGAGGAGAAGGAGGAGGAGAAGGAGGAGGAGGAGGAGGAACCTCCCGGGGGCTCTGGAAGAGTTCAAGGCAGGAGCCAAGTTACTGCCGTGCGGTGAGGAGTTTGCGGGTGCGCCTCAGCGCCTGGCACCACCCCCGCAATTCCTACTCTTGCGCGAACCATGGCCCGACCGACCCCCCACCGAGTTACCAGTCGGCGTTTCTCAGGTCTGTCCGAGAGCCTGAAGACTTCTGGAGTGAATGCGCTCGAGGGGTCACTTGGTTCAAGCCGTGGAGCCAAACGATGGACCACTCACGCCCGCCCTACACGCGCTGGTAAGCGATGCAGCGACGTGACCGTTCAGCGACCGTGGATCTCGGGTGCGCGAGAAAAACCAAACACGTCGTCGTCGTCGTCGTCGTTTCTTTTTTTGTTCGGTCCTGCTGCTCTTTAAAAAGTTGGTCAGGGAATCCCATGCAATAAATTGGGAGCCAGACCAGCGCCACCGCCGACATGTTACGCGTGCGCAGCTCCTTTCGATGTCGGGAGGGCGTCCCGAGGATGTGAACTCGAGCTGGCGGCCGGGATCAGGAGGGGTGGAGGGCAGGGAGGTGGGAGGATGAGCGAAGGTGCGGTCGAAGAGGACGGTCTCGATGCGGGTCTTGAAGGAGGCCAAGGGAGGAGGCGAGGCGAGGGGACTGTGAAAATGGAGTTCCAGAGGGTGGGGGCAGAAAGGCGGAAACCCCAACTGTCGATAGTGGGACGGGCAGGGTGGGGGACATGGAGCAGATCAGAGTCTGTCGAACGGAGGGAGCGGACGGGCCGGTATGGGTTATATAAAAATATTATAAGCATATGTATATGCTTACCTCCCCGTACCCCACTACACCACCCATTGCCTCCGCTCGGCCATCTCTGGCCTCCTGTTCGTCTCTCGTCCCCTCCGCTCCACCACCGGTGGCTGTGCATTCAGCCACTCCGCCCCGGAACTCTGGAACTCTCTCCCTCAATCCCTCCACCTGGCCCTCTCCACCTTCCAATCCCGCCTAAAGATCTTGCTTTTTGAGCGTGCTTACGGTCACCCCTTTAATTACTTAAATATAGGAACTTGTTGAATGGCCAAAACAGTTCTGCAGAGATGGGAATCTATGAACAAAAGTACAGATAAACAATAGGAATAGTCACTGCCAAGCTTTTACAAACTTATTAAAGTAATCAATCAATTAATTAATTAATACCCCATTTAAAAGGCGCTTCATGAATGCAAGTTGTTGCCGGGAGGAACAAGGCCTTGGAGGGGTTTAAGACCAGTGTTATATTGCAGTCAAGTTTGTTTGAAAACCTCATCATATCAATGCTGATATTTATAGTGTCATTTTAGTTTGGAATGGTTTGTAAAAGCTTGGCAGTGACTGTTCCTAATGTGTTAGCTGAACTTTAGTTCATAGTTTCCCATCTCTGCGGAATTGGTTGAGCCACTCAACAAGTTTCTTTGGTTACTGTGAGGTTTGACACACAACACACCATCTAGGTTGGAACATATAATGGAGGGTTTAAACGAAGATAATATCGTCTGCGAGAATAATACTCACAAGACTGTCAGTGGCATCTAGATACTCAGATCCATTATTTAAAAGTTCTGAAATCCTCAGTCTTCAATGATTAATTTTGTTTTCCTCAATGGAATAAGGCTGAGAAAGGACCAGCACTGGCTTTTAAAATGCGCATTTCAGTGATCATTTTGAGGCTCCAGCATCAGATGTCCACATGCATTTCATTACGAGCTGGCTTTTTCAGGCAAATGGTTGACAAAGGAGAAAATGCTTCATCCAGTGTTGTTTGAAAATTTCCATTTGGGAACGAACACTGTTGTCACTTGCAAATCAAGAATGAGGAGTGGACAGTGGACACTGTCATTTTCCCTACCAAAACTGTAGGCAATTTCAAGAACTCAGCTGTTTTGGGAGTACCACATAACCATGTCAACAACCCCATGGCCACTACAGAAATGCCCTGATCGATCCATAAAACATAACTGTACTTGTCAGCATTCACTTGGTGAGCCTGTTAATGGTGCCAGTCTGATCAAGCTGTAAAATATATAATGTCAGAACTGAAGCAAGCCTGCTCAGCTGGTATGTTTCAGTTCAATTACTGCAACCTATTAAAAGAATGACTTCTAGGGGTTTCAACACTTTCGTGTGTGAGACTTAACCATGGTGCTCATTAACAGGTTGTTAACTGATGAATTCAAGCTGACCTGCGGTGGAGATTTGCTCATCAATTATTATAGTAATGAGCTGTCAGTACAAAAGCTAGATTGGAAAGTGTTTGGTTATCTGGTTCATTGTGTTGCTTTTTGAGTGAATTGCATTTATGTGTCCAAAGAGAAAAGACAGCCAAGACTGCCTGCGCATTTTGTGTGCTTTTCCTTCATCAGATTTAGTTTCTGAATTCTTGTTGCCACATGTACCTCGGTTAGGCACTGCTGATTAATTAGTTTGACTTGTAGTCAATGTTCCATTTGCACTGCTAGCTGTAAGTTAAACATCATCTACTCAGGTGAAAATTTAACCAAGGGTTGCTTGGCAGTACTCAAACTCCTCTTTTCTCTTCAGCCTAATTGGATTTCTATTAAAAAAGACACCACAAAGACAGGTATTTAATACAATATTCAATTGATGTTGCGCCATTCTTTCTTTCTGAGGTATGACATTCACTCATATAGGTATAGGCACTGGGTATAGGTTTAGACTGATTCCTAGCTGTTGCTTTTGTGATATCCTATCTATTAATTTAATTGCCACAAGTCAAGGTGTTAGAATATGTCTTCACAATGTGTAAAGTCATTAAAAGAATAACAACAAAATTCCATTTGTAAAGCGCCTTTCACATTGGGCGCTTCCCAAGGGGCTGAACAGTCAGGGATCAGGACCCTAGAGTGGGGGGCAGGGCTGTGATGAAGGAGTAATCATGATGAGCCTCTTTCATTGGAGTGTTCCACACTGAACAGCTCTGTGTGATTTTGCAACTTTTTTTATATGCCCATGATTTCTCCTCTTTCCATTTCTATGGACATAGACAGTTTTCTCCGACCTTGACCAGGAGGTTACTCATGTATCAACCTGGCAGTAGGTTGTTTCACTGCAGGGTGGGTGGGTAGGGGGAAGAACAGCCAAGCCCAATCCTGTCCTCAGATCACATCCACACAGATTACATTTTCCAACAGGGCCCACTGGAGAGAAATCGGAAGCAGGAACTCCGGCTGATAGCTTCCTTTCTCGTTTCCCTGTGGGCTGTGGCCAGTTTAAGAGCTGACCACCATGTTGGCTGAGAATAGCTAACCCAGCATGAATCAGGAGGGATCAAACCTTGAATGATGCTTATCTGATCTGTACACTGTATATCATACAGATTTTATTGATTGGTATATTTACTCAATGGGTTACTGAGAAGAGATAATGGAAAGCACCGAAAAGCTCTTTCCAGGAACCTTACTGAAAGTGGCAAGCCTCCAAACGGACTGATGGCTGAACAGTCTGTAATGTAAATCCGTGACCTCCTAACAAGGCTAAGTTCCCATCAACTGATCCTTCAGAACCATCTGGATGGCTTACTGCATATAAGTAGTTTGAATGCAAAATATCCATATCAACCTTTGTTCAGTTTAAATTTATTACATAAAGTTCTAAAGTAGTGGTTTGCAACTAAGAATATCAGCGACTAATTACCCCTAAACAAGACCCATTTAGTATTTTCTAATGATGGGTCTAAGATTGATGTGGAAATTATTGATTCCCATCCTAGTCTGAGAGGGACTTGAGGGTTTATTAGGACATACAGTTTAGGAATCAGGAAGTTGAACTTTGTGTATGTTTGTTCCAGGTTTGTTGATGGTGAACTTAATGTGTGCTATAATGCACTGGACCGTCATGTTGAAAATGGATTGAGAAACCAACTTGCAATCATTTATGACAGCCCAGTTACTGGTACCAAACAAAAGATTACGTATAAAGAAGCTTTGGAACAGGTAATGTAGACTTCCCAACGAAGGTGCTTTATTTTATTGGATTTGAAGTTCACTAGTAAATTATATTGAATCAAAACCCACAAGGATCCTTCTCTGATTTTGTGATGAGCCAAATTGCCTCTGTGATTCTATGACACTGGTAGCTTAAAATAAAAGCTAATTCTATTGTCTGAGAAACCTAACCATATATCTTCAGGTATGCGAAGGCAGTGTACATTCTGTTGCTTTGTCAAACAAAAGAAAAAATCAATTGAAATGGCTAAAACTTGATTGTGCTTTGTCCCGCACCAGAAAAAAAATCACAATGATAAGGAATCTGTGGGGAAATACACATTACAAAGTCAGAACAGCAAATTGTGCAATCGAACAGCGGGGGCCTACAAATGTTGTAGGACAACTATGTTGTACTCTGAGGATCCTGATCCATTTTGTCACATACACAAAGGAATGTCCTCACCTGGGTGAAATAAGACAAAAGAATCTCCTTGAACATTTTTACTGTCTTTAGCTTCCTACATTTTACAAAGTGAAAAAATGCTTTGGGAGAGGGGGAGAACTAACTAATTTAGGGGTTAGTGCATATGTCTACAGTTGCCGAGCTGTTTTCCCAATAGCTAACAAATCAGATTGTTGTGAACAGTGATCTGTGTTGTGCCACTTCGTTGTGTACTTCGTACTTCGTTGTAGAAATAAGGGAAACATTAATTTGTGGAGGAGGGGAGGCGGGTGGGACTGCACTGGTCAGATGTTGAAGTTGAGTGAACAAAATGTACTAAGTGTTTTTGATTGCTTCAAAAATGTTTCGATTGTGAGAAGGAAAATACAGTTGAAAATTAATGTTTCGTTGAATAAAAAAAATTACTGTTGTTGCGTCTTGAAAATAATAACTGTCTTAAAATATTTAAAATGGTCTGGGTTCTTGTGTTTGTTTGAATGCTGTAGGTTTCAAAGCTGGCTGATGTCCTGGTCAAACAAGGAGTACAAAAGGGTGATCGAGTCACCATCTATATGCCAATGATCCCCCAGGCAATATATGCTATGCTGGCTTGTGCTAGGATTGGAGCTATACATAGCTTGATCTTTGGTGGATTTGCTTCTAAGGAGCTTTCTGTTCGCATTCAGCACACCAAGGTAATCAATAACATCACAAGAAACATAAATTGACAACTCAGTGGTTCAAACTGAATGTATTGGGCTATGATTTAGGGAAACATGGTTTCTTTTAGAATCAACATCTGATGAGTGTGGTTGCATTATAAGCGGCTTCATTATATCACTTAAACTTCAAAATGACTCACTGAGGTTTATCTTCTGATTGAATGAATTCATCTAGAAAATAGATTTTTACTCATAGCACAGTCTGAGAAACAGCCCTTTTGTGTGAAGCATTTGTTAGCTGTTTGGATGTGATAAGGTTACATCGAATACAGCTAGCTTATTAGTTCCCAGTATGTTTTCATTGTTAATATTCGCTGGAATATCATTTTATTTTTATTTAAGAACTCAGAAAAGAAGACCTTCCAAATTAAGAATGCATTTTAAGAATTTTTCTTTTACAGTTCTGCACAGTCCTAAATCTTAAGACAACATAGTCTAACAAGCTGACACTAGTTGGAGTTTCAGGCCTCTGAACCCCTTCTGCACTCTACTTTGTGAAGGTTTCTGAAGGATAAAGATGCAGCGAATACACTGAATTGTACAGTATGTCCATTGGCCCAAACTCCCAATATTCCAGCCCTGCTTAAGCATGTCTACATGTCTTTCTTGTGTGTGGTTTCTATTCTACCTGGTAGAGATGAAAATAGTATAGTTTGCTAAACCAATTAGATGTAAAAGACAAGTTATGTATTTAAAGAACAAACTGAGATAATAGCTTGAATGACTAGTAAATAGTTTGCAGCATGGATGGGGATGATTGAGTGTAGTATCAGAAAGGTAAATACAACTTCTCTGGCAACTTTACATTTTTCGGGATTCAAAATTTCATACCACTTATTTCAGTCAATTTAATATTCAAAGATGCATTAATTGTGCGGTACCATTTACAAATGACCATTATTTGTATATTTCCTGCCCAGGCCCGAGGGCTTTAATTTGTTAGTGAAATTAAAAACAAATGAGTATTCTTGTGAGGGAAAATTTCTAAGCATTTGCTTTTAATGTGGAGGGAATGGTATTTTTTTTTTGAATTGTGTCTTTGAGCTGTTTACTTTCTTCTATTCTAGCCAAAACTGGTTCTAACAGCATCATTTGGGATTGAGCCAGGGAGAAAAATAAACTATGTGCAACTGTTAGATAAAGCGTTGGAAATGATACAGCATAAGGTGAAAGTCATCATTTACAATCGATATAACATGGTATGTATAACCAATTTGTATAACACCCTTCAAGATTTAAGCAAAATTGTTTTGATGATCATCAATTTTGATGATCAGTTTCGGCTATCGTGGGATTGTGTCTTACCTCACAGTTTGCGAGTTTGGCACAGTGGAAGGAATGGAAAATAACTGTAGTCTTCTCAAATTCTGAACTTGGAATTGTGGGACATTGTTGGGGCAGTGCAGTTTGACTCAGCATCTAACAATGTTAAACATGATCTGGGAATACGGATTGCTGTTAATAGTGAGGCAAAAATTCTGTTCTGTCATCAACAGCAGCATGTTTGCTGTTGTCGGCCACTAATAAGTTATTTCAATAATGTAATTTTAATTATAAATATTATTATTAATAATAGTCATGCATTGCCAAAAGCACTGCAGGTTACACTGAATAGAAGTATACACAAAGTTTTGCTTTCTAGTAGCGATGAACATGAGACATATAAATCATTGTTTAACAAAACCAGAATTCGGTTGAGTGTCATGCACATGTGCATTGCTTTAGTGCTGTTGGCCACTAGTGATAGGATTTCCTATTATCAATCAGGCATTGCAGAAGGCCCTGTGAATAAGATTCGACAAATTATGCTGGTGCTAACTTTGTCTTCAAGTGTTTTTTAAAATGATGTTGCAGGAAAGGGTCCCTTTGACCCGTGGCCGTGACTTGGATTGGGACGAAGAGATTTCTGCTGCTCAGTCCCGTGACTGTGTCCCATTGAATTCAGATCACCCCCTGTACATTCTCTACACCTCCGGAACTACAGGACAGCCAAAGGTATCAATTGTGTAACCTTCATGTGTCTTTGATTTTCCCACATCCAAATGTGTCATAAACTTGAATTTGAGTTTTGCTTGGAGTCATAATGATGCTCATGACTGAAGTATAACTCACGGTAGCCATGAGAAAAGAAATTTATCAAAATTATGTAACATTTCTGGAAGGTATGTGGGAGCGCCTTTTAAGATTTTTAATGTATTGAAGTTGTTCACAGACCTGCCTCTTGAAGAGCAATTCACTTTACAGTGTACTCTGTGAAGTGCTTTGAAATGACATATCAAATGCAAGGATCATTATTGTTATTTGAAAAAATACCAGGACGAAGTAGCAAAGTTCGAGTGCTCTTGAACTAAACAACAATAGTAATTTGCATTTATGTATGACCCTTCACATAGGATAACCTCTTGGAGCACTTCATTGTGGCACGTTCGAAGGCCTGAGCAAGGGAGAAGCGGGAGGAAAACATTGGCTCAGTCTAAGAGATATAACAACTTGGATTTATATAGCGCCCTCCAAGCCGGATGGCATCTCAGTGCGCTTATAAGAGATAGGTTTTAAGATGGGATTTAAAGACTGAGAGAACTAAGCCCTTGGCGTGAGTGAGCAGGAAGCACCTTTGCTACTCTGGCTTAGTTAACAGTCATATAATACAACTAATGCAAGTCCTGTAATACAACTAATGCAATTATTCAAATAATTTTCTCTTAGCAGAATATCAGCATAAATCCAATATTGGTAAATAGCCAACATCAGAATAGACTTTTCTGGAGTTCATCTACTAAATGGAACTGATAGGCTGTTTCAATGTAAGATGTGTTCATGTGAAGATTTGGGCACTGAGCTGCCAAATTCAATAAATTATTGAGAAATCATAGTTGAGATGCTTCAATTTGGATTAATTTTGGCGATTAGCTTGCAAAAACATTTTTTATTGTTGGTGCCACATTTCAAAGAAATGTTGGTTTATTTCAGAAACTGCGGTTTACATCATCAATGCTCTTCACAACAATGGACGACAACAATAGGATTTTTGTCTGTATCCTCATTTCTGGGTACTTGTGTAGAGGACCACATGAGTGATCATAAACCAGTATGAGCTGGTGAGGAGAAAAGGAAGAGGATTAAAACCAAAATTAAATACATTCTATTGATGAAAGAATTTAATATTCATGGCTACTGCCTGTCAGGTTTATCTTTTTCATACATTGAAGCTGAACATTTCCAGTAATACCAAATTATGTGCACATTTAGCTGGTTCAGAATGATTCCCAAGACATATAGTGCTGGAGTCAAGCTGCCAAGACCACCTTGGGAAAGTGTTTTTGGCAGAGCATCTTTTTACCTGTGAAAGATGGTGGTACTTGTGGCCACGTATCTCAACCAGTGAAGTGACTTAAGAACTCAAAGAAGAGTTTTATTCATGAATAGATTCAAACATACCATCACCCAATGAATAAAAGCAGAGCCACCTTTCACAGCACTCCCACAATATCTGTGCCTTCAATTATCGGCTGTAGTATTTTCCCCTCACTCATCCTCATGATTATAACAATAATCCTTACAAACGTTGCAGTGTCTCAGGACATACTGTAAAGTGAATTGACTGTATATTTTGTGGACGAAACACAGCAGCCAGTTGCGCAGAGCAGTGTCCCACAAACATAGAGGCCAGTTCTCCCAAATAGATGTCTGCCTTCAATTAATTCTGTGAGAACAAAGACTAGCATGCAAACTCAAGGCCTGTAAATAAAAGTGGGACATTCCTGGCAACGTTTCACAGCCTTTTTTAAAAAAAAAATATGCTGTTGTTCCTCTCTGGCACTGAACAAAAATGTTTAGCTCAGATCTGAGTAGCACAAAGCACAAGTTATTGTGAGGTGGGTGGGGAAGGGATTCCTGCTTAATAATATGCACTTCAGCACTGGGTGCTAAAGAAATCTGAGCCCCCCCAACCCCCCTCACCCATGTTTTTCTAAACTGAGTGCAGCATTTTTCAGTTATATATTTCAGCTAAGATGAGTTTTTAAGTCAGTGACTTGTTCACATTTGTTAGCGTTACTATGGTTGATGTAATTTCTATAAATATATAAGTGGCAGGACTTCAGTCCTCAAGGCATTTTGTTTTTCCTCAGCACTGCGTGTTTGTAGTCAATGAGAAAGTCCCAAATTCAGTGAAATAGCAGCTCCTGCTTACTGATGGTCCTATTTACAGTATATGTACAACCAGCACACAGACATTTGGCGAATCCACATTCCTTACAATAAAAGAAAAGGAATACAAAGGCTATAAAACATCTATAATGATAAGACCTTTGCATGTTTTACTGTATAATATTCTCCTCATTGCCTTATCATTATTATTCTTTAAAGCACTTCTAGATATTTCCCTTTCATGAAAGCCACCATATAAATGCAGGTGTCAACCTGACTTAGATTGTGTTGCTGCACATTGCCACTGAGTTACAAGATTGTGGGTTCAAGGCCCATGTTGAGACTTTGGACTCACTTAATCTAGGTAGACACCACCATACAGCGCATTGTTGGAGTCCTTTAGATAAGATGTTAAACTGATGTCCTGTTTGCCTGTGAAAAATCCCATGGTACTATTCAAAAAGAGAAAGGAGTTTCTCCCACTGTCCTGGCCAACATCCCCAAATAATAATAATAATAATAATAATCCTTGCATTTGATATAGCACTTTTCACGTCGGGAGGACGTCCCAAAGCGCTTCACAGAACACACTGTAAAGTGAATTGACTGTATATTTGTGGGCTAACGCGGCAGCCAATTGCGCACAGCAATGTCCCACAAACAGTCGTAGATTGAAAATGTCCAATTTATTATTGTTTTGGGTTTTTGAGGGATTATTATTAGGTGTGTGGAGTAAGAAAACTTGCCCAAGGTTTCGCCCTGCCTGGAATTGAACTCAGGTCTCTCGCTTGCAAAGCGAGTGCTCTAACCACTGAGCTACAGGACTCCACAAATAAAATCGGGCATTCACTTCATGGCTGGTAACAACAAATTACCCTGGGCAGATTTGCTCTCAGGTTCATCAAAAAAATACACAGTCACTACACTTTACAGGAAATCCTGTGAAGCACTTTGAGATGTCCTCCCAACATGACATATATATCATATATATATATATCAAATGCAAGTTTCTTTTTTTAATTTGGTTGTTTTTCCTCTACATGAGTTGTGTGAGACACACTTAAGTCCTACCAGTTCTCCACTTGCCTGTAGGTTGGATGATCCTGAATGAGACTAGATTGCATGCCAATGGAGAGTAAAAGATTTGTGTAGGAAATTAAGAACATTGTTGTTTGCAGCCACCATCATTCTATGGCAAAGCTAAAGGAGAAAGCAAGTTGTCAGGTTGCAGCTGTGCTGTTCTGAAAGGGATTTAAAATTCAAATCATAATTATTTCAGATGCTTTTTTGTTGTTAACCAGCTATTAAACGGCACTTTAAAATCATCCTGCAATTTGAAGATGTAGTTTTTGGGATATGAGTAAATGATTGTCAATTCAGTGTCGTTAATCATATATTTGAATAACAACTTAGAAATTTTCTGAAATAATAATAATCCTTACATTTGATATAGTGCCTTTCACGTCAAGAGAATGTCTCAAAGTGCTTCACAGGATTTACTGTAAACTGTAGTGACAGTGTATTTTATAGGTTGAACACGGCAGCCTCTCCAATGAAGTTAATTGCTAATCTCTTTTCAGGGAATTGTGCGGCCATCTGGTGGGCACGCAGTAGTTCTGAATTGGACCATGTCAAACGTGTACGGGGTCAAGCCAGGGGAGGTAACGTTTCTATTTAAGTACTTGAGATTTTTAATTTACACCCCTTTAAAAATAATTTATTTAAAGGTTCCTTTTTTTTTCCCAGGTCTGGTTGACAGCTTCTGATCTTGGCTGGGTGGTCGGACATTCTTACATTTGTTATGCGCCACTCCTTCACGGCAATACAACCGTCTTGTATGAGGTCAGTAAATGGGTATTTAATTGTAAAATTTTCCACTGCACATGTAACAGGGAATCAGGCCTTCATCCCAGATCATTTCAATGCATGGGTTGTATGCATAACCATCCTCATATAGCTTTCTTTAATTTGTGCTGTGCTGTTTTCTAGTCTGTTCAGCTTTTCAAGAAATGAATGCAAATTACTGACTTTGTACCCTAGGGACTAGAGAATGAGTTTGTTCGAAGCAGACTGGTTTCTCAACATGATCCATGTTTCTTTAAGAGGAGGGATTATCTTCAATGGGAGACAGGAGGGGTGGGTGGTGAACAGGGAGCTAAGGAATGTCGGGATCGAGTCATTCTTCTGTGGTAGTCCAGTTCCTGACCCCGAATGATCCTAGCTGGAAAAGCAGCAGGAAATTTCCCAGACTTATTGGCAAGCTGTGCGGTTTGAAGTGGTTGAAATCCAGCAGCACCACAAGCACATTCTGGGGTTACCAAGGCAGATTCCCTCTGTGGAGAGAATGCACAATCTATTCTAGACAAAGGGAAAATCCCACATGTAGGTGGCATACATGTGTGAAACTCTGTCTGATTTGAATTCTCTTGAGCATGGTAATGGGTTGTCGGTGTGTAACACACCATTGTGGCTGATGTGCCCCCCCACCACCCCAAACATTTTTTAAAGCATCTTTGCTTTATGAAAAGTAATCATCAGTTCACAAATGTGAATAATAATTTAGTAACTCAATGCACGACTGTTTGTGGGACACTGCAGTGCGCAATTGGCTGCCATGTTTCACCCATAAAATATACAGTTAATTTACTTTACAGTATATTCTGTGAAGCACTTTGAGTCGTCTCAACGACGTGATAAGGTGCTATATCAAATGCAAGGATTATTACTTGATTTTAGTGAATAAACAAATTTGAATTTCTTTGAAATACAATGTTTGTCTCTCCCTTTCTCGGTCACTCTTCTCCACAGCTCCTTCTCCTCCACTCACGTGTCCCTTGCTCCGCTCACTTCCCGAACCGTCTCCTACTCATGTAAATCAACATGGTACACCAGCCACCTCTGCTCCCTTAAAGCACAGATGCATGCCACTGAATACACCTGGCTTAAATCGAACTTAATGGTCCATCATCAGATCTGTCTGGACCTTATCAAATCTTACTGCTCCCCCCTTGCCTCCGCCAAATCGTCATTCTATAATAATAATAATAATAATCCTTGCATTTTATAGCGCTTTTCACGTCGGGAGGACGTCCCAAAGCGCTTCACAGAATATACTGTAAAGTGAGTTGACTGTATGTTTGTGGGCGAACACGGCAGCCAATTGCGCACAGCAATGTCCCACAAACAGTCATAGATTGAAAATGACCAATTTAATTATTGTTTTTGTTTTTTGGAGGGATTATTATTAGGCGTGTGGAGTAAGGAAACTTGCCCAAGGTTTCGTCCTGTCTGGAATTGAACTCAGGTCTCTCGCTTGCAAAGCGAGTGCTCTAACCACTGAGCTACAGGACAAGACCATCTTGGAGGTCAAGTTCAATCCCAGCGTCACCATCCACAGATGTACACTCCACCTTACTAAGCCAGTCAGGAACCTTGGCATCTTGTTTGACCCTCAACCATCCTTTCTACCCCACATCCATGCCATGACCCGCTCTGCCTTCTCTCACCTCCGCAGCATCGCCCGGCTCCGCCACTGTCACATACCACAGGCCGCTGAAATTCTCATACACGCATTCATTACATCGAGGCTTGACTATGCAAACTCCTTGTTTGTCGGCCTCCTCAACTCCTCTCTCCATAGGCTGCAGATCATCCAGAACTCTGCAGCCCGTGTCCTCTCCCACACCAGGCTCCTTGACCCTATCACCCCTGTCCTCGACCAAATCCATTGGCTTCCCATCACACAGAGGATACAGTTCAAGATCCTGGTCCTCACCTTCAAGCCCTCCTTTGTCTTGCTACCCGCTACCTCTGTGACCTCCAACCCCCTACCATCCTGCCCATTCCCTCCGCTCAGCAGGCTCCGTCCTGTTTCATGTCCCCCGCCTCGCCCGCCCTACCTTTGCCGGGCAGGCCTTCTACCACTCTGGCCTCAGCCTTGGAACTCCATCCCACAGTCCCTCTGCCTCACCCCCTCCCTTGCTTCCTTCAAGACCCATCTCAAGACCCTCCTCTTCGATCGTGCTTTCGATCTCCCTGCTTTCCTCTCTGCCCTCCCCCACCCCGAACCTCAGCTCGGGTCTAAAACTCTGTCTGTCCAGCGCCTTGGGACGTCCTCCCGACGTGAAAGGCACTATATAAATGTAATGTTGTTGTATTAGAACAACCTGTTTAATTGCAGTCATCAGTAATGGGAAAATTGTAGGTCTCATATTTTGACATGAACTGCGCAAATTATTTTATAGGAATCAAACCCAACGGACTGAGTCTCCAGGAGTAGACAGATAAATACTGTTGATGGTAAAATGTCTTTGCTGTGACCTGTGTTTGACAGCATTCAATAACTGAAGTTCTCCAGAGAAATTGGATCAGTGCTTTACAAAATTGCTCCTGTCTGCATTCACATGGATGATTACCATAGAAGATCTATTCTGTGTGGTTTCATGGTGTGCAGACACTGGTATAAATCAAGTGTAATCTTTCTGAAAGAAGCTCATAGCCTAAAAAATTTAATTATGCTTTGTCAGGTATTCGAATAGCTGTGAAGTTAAAACATATTGCATTAGTGTTCAGAAAGTGTCCACCCAAGCTTCTGATAGCTTACTGAGAGTTGTAGATGTAATGTCAAATATTAAATCTAAGTTTGGTGGTTTTAGAAACCAGTAAGGACCTTTTACAGAGATTGCATTTTGTTTAATGCTTTCTGATTCTCAAAAGGCCACAGATCAAAACCTCTAGTATTAGTTCACCAACATCTCCAGTATCCAGGTCTGGTTTCCCTCTTCCCCCCCATTCTGCTCCAACAGCACAAACATTATTGTGCCCCAACAAGCATTTGTTCACCTAGATCCATGTCTATCGCTATATTCTCCAAATCCATTTTATTTTGAATCAATAAACTTTGAAAGAAATCTTACTGTGATATATGAATGTTTAAATAAGCATCATCTGCCCTTGTGAATCAGACTCACAGTGTGTGTAGAGGGGGAGAGCAAGGGAAATCATGGGATCCTTAGTCCTAATTAAGACTTTATAGGTTTAACACTGTGCCATCAAATTCAGCTTTCCTATTTCTAGTCAAATAACTTGCTGACACTAGCAATATCCATTTGTCCTGTTGTTTTTTCAGACCTGGATTATACATGCCCCCTTCAATCGTTGCTTTCTGATGAGTATTAGTTCAGCTCTGTGAACAACCCTTCCTCAATAGCATAAGAATTCTCAGGCCAAATATATTTACAAGTTGGAGTTACTTAATCTCATTTAATGATGCTTTTGAAATTTCAATGAGTTTTCAATGGAGAAGCTGCTAAATGGGAACCACAGCTGAGGGAGTTAGACAAGTCATCTGAACCCTGCGATTGTATTGCATCTTTTTAATCCTTATTTGCATACATGTCTGTAGTTTATACCTCCTTATTCAGATAATCTTTTGTGAGATATGCATTGTTTAATGAGTATATTGTAGAGCTAACTAGTCATTATCACATATGTAAAAATATATATTTTCTACTATGAAAGTAACAGTAATGGATGTGCAATAATCGGAGTCCTGTAGCTCAATGGTTAGAGCACTTGCTTTGTAAGCGAGAGACCTGAGTTCAATTCCAGGCAGAGGGCGAAACCTTGGGCAAGTTTCCTTACTCCACACGCCTAATAATAATCCCTCCAAAAAACAAAACAATAATAAATTGGTCATTTTCAATCCACGACTGTTTGTGGGACATTGCTGTGCGCAATTGGCTGCCGCGTTCGCCCACAAATATACAGTCAATTCACTTTACAGTGTGTTCTGTGAAGCGCTTTGGGACGTCCTCCCGACGTGAAAAGCGCTATATCAAATGCAAGTATTATTATTATTATTATTATTATTAATGTCTACATCAAGTCACTATTTTTCTGTATCCACACAGTCGATAGCATTTGTTTTTACTAATCCTTAGCTCCAACAACTTTCTTTGAGCATTTTTAAAAATGCCAATGTTTGAAGACGATATCTAATCAAATGTGGATGCATATTTATCTGTACTCATTGACTATTGCAGGGGAAACCAGTTGGCACTCCAGATTCAGGGGCGTTCTTTCGCTTGTTGTCAGAGTATGGCATAGCGGCTATGTTTACATCGCCAACTGCGCTGAGAGCGATTCATCACCAGGAACATGAGGCATTGCTGGGAAGGCACTACAATTTCCCAAGGTAAATTCCCCAATTGTCTTTACTGTTCAGTTTTTTTTTAAAAAAGCAAAACCTCATTCTGTCATCTATTCTTACTGTGTAGTGGGATATTTTTCATAGAATGTGACAGCAGTGAAAGGAGGTATTTGGTCCATTAAGCTGGCACTGCTGTTTTTCTACACAAATCGCCTAATCTAATCCCATTCTCCTCCTTGCTTTCCATATCCTTTAATATTCCTTCATAAGGTTTATATGGTATATAAGTTGTTATTTGAACACTCATATTATAGTAAGATTTCTCTCCAAGTTTACTGATTCAAAATTTCTAGGTTTTAATCACAGTGTGTTCCTTCCTGCCATTCTTCTCAAACTCTTATCACATTGGAAATATGATTCTGGATAGACATGTGCAGTTTACAGTGTAACCAATGTACCTTGATATTTCTTGTTCACTGTATTTTCTGCTTTTTCTTCTCCTCGTGGTGATCTTAAACATTTCATCACTGAGGTGTCAGGGTCATGTAAAACTCTTGCTCTTAATTTTGGACTTTCATTATATTACAATATTAATTAGCCACATGGCTGGTGCTGAATTGGAGTCCCCATACTTTCTATTTCACATGTGTTCTCACAACTTGGCTTCACAGACTTAGTTTCTTTATTAGGAAATTACGCACAATTGTCCTTTGTTTGCAAACCATGGTCACATTTTGAACTCTTATGTCACTTGGTATAGCAGTAATTGTTTTATTAATGATTGGCACAGTACGAATCCCTCGCACCTTCCTACCTATCTGACCTGCTTAGCCCCCACTCCTCCACCCATTGCTTTCACTCGGCTGGCTCCGGCATTCTATTTGTCCCTAGTGCCCTCCATTCAACCATCGGTGGCCGTGCCTTCAGCCACTATGTCCCAAAACTTTGGAAATCTCTCCCTCAATCCCTCTGCTTGCCCCCTCCCTCCCCATCTTCAAATCTAGCCTAAAAGCCCTCCTTTTTGATCGTGCTTATGGTCACCTCCTCTCCCCTGGGCTCATTGTCAGACTCTGCCATTGTGAAGCACTCCAGGATGCTACCCCGCGTGAAGGGCGCTGTATAAATGCAAGTTGTTACTGTTGAATACCCCAGCGCCATTTAGCAAACATGAAGTGAGGTGATATTTTGTGGGCGAAATGCGGAATCAGATTGCGCACAGCAGTGCCTCACAAACTGTGATGTATTAAGTGACCGCATTTTTAGGGGGAGGGTTTATTACCCCTGGAAAATGATCCGCCAATCGACAAACAACTGGGTTTCTACTTACTGCTAAGTAAACAGAGCCGTGTGGAATAAGGAAACTTGCCTAAAGTCTTGCACCACCCAGAAATCAAACCCAGGTCCCCTTGCTTGCGAGGCAAGTGCTCTAACCACTACGCTACAGGGCTGTACAAGATGTTTGTGACTTGTACCACTCAACTTGCACCCAGCTGACATGACTTTGGAATTGACACTAACTTTGTCTCAATTTGAAAAAGAGACACTAGTTTACTTAACTTCCCTTTTCATGAATGTAAATAGAAGGGTGAATTAATTAAACAGTAAGAATGTAGATTGAATATTACTGAGTAAGATTTCTTACAGTACAGTCTACCTTTACATAGCACCATTCATGTCAGAAGGACACCAAAAAGCACTTAACACTGCTGGATGGTCACCAAGTAGGGGAAAGATGACTGAAAGCCAGGTCCAAAGAGATACATAGTGAAATGGACCTTGAACATAGGGAGGGAATGAGTAAGTTGGATGGTTTTCCTTGATGGAGTTTCAGGATGACTAAACCTAATGCACTGATGGGTGGGCGGAAAACAGTAGGGTTTGTGTTCTGAAGGTATGAGATCAGATGGGGTGAAAAGCTTTCTTCATCCAGACTAATCTTGTGATCTTGTGAAAGCCTGCCCATCAGATTGTGAGACAAATAGAGCGGGGGACATAGAGCAGGCCAACTTTGGTTGAATTCTTGAGTTCATTGACACCATTTGATTTATATGGAAAGAGGCCAGTTCAATAGACCAGCACCTACAGAAGTACTTTAACTATGTGATGTGATGGTTTGACTCTAGTGGAGCGACAGGACTTTCACAACACTCATTTATTTCTGCTTAGACAATGAAAACGCTAATTACTTTTGATTAAATCTGTATGAAATGGGAAAAACATTTTCAGTAACAAAATGTTAATCTTTATTCAGTCAGGATTGAATTTGAATATCTCCCTTGGGGCACTTGTGAGTTATTGCACTCTTTCCATTTCTGAAATGCCTGAATTAAGATACATGCATTGTCGTTAATAAATTGTGTACAATGATTCATATGGACAGATCACTGAGAGTATAATGACTAGAGTGGAAGCATTTGATGGAATAAAAGTCTCCCTTAGGCAGTGATTTATGTTAGATTTGTCCTTGTACAAAGAGTTGTTATGGAAATAGGGTCAGGCAAGAGGGGCTGCATCTCGGAGCAGATCAATTTCTTGCAGCTTTTTAAAATGTTCTATTTTGCTGTGTGGTTTAGAATGTGTTTTTGTGCCAATTACGCTGAAAATACGAATATAAATTGAGGTCAGGAATCTGATTTGAGACAGATTTGTGCTGGAACCATGCCTGGGGAAAAAAACAAGGTTTTTGAAAATGGTTCCATCAGCACGTTGTTTCCCATTGCTCTGCTGGAATTTGCAGACAGTATGGGGATCACTTCAGGCTCCACTTACAAATGGTCTCCTAAAAGTTCCATAGCACAGTTTTTAATGTGGTTCTTACTAACACAATTTAGCAGAGTTTCCGTTAATCTGTTGCATTAAAAGGTCTGAGTGCTACTGCTCCTTACTGTTAACATCATTTTGGTTCAGGTTTAGAGCTTTGTTTGTTGGGGGAGAACACTGCGATGTGGACACCTTGCAATGGGCCAAGGAAAGCTTCAGAGCTCCTGTCTTAGACCACTGGTGGCAGACTGGTAAGTCGATGTGCAGCTCTGAATAATCAATGGAAAGTTTGACATTGAAACTCTGATTTAAATATATATAATTTGTTGTGAATGAAAATTCTTGAAAATTATCTTCAAAACATAACAATTCTAATCCATTGAGGTGTTAGAAAGCATAAAGGCGAGTGATGTTGCAAGTTGTGTGAAGATATCTTACTACATTTCCTGATTTACTTGACAGTCTATTATGCTATTCCATAATCTTTTGTGTGTTACATATTAACCATTGTAAAATATTTCATATTCAAAGTCTGGGGCTATTCCTCAAAATGCAAGATGACCTGAGACTAGAGGGAGCATTAAACTAGGCTAGGATTGATTTGAATTGTAACTAAATCTTATTTTAAATATTTTTAAAAAAGAAATAAATTTTCTTTCAAAATTTCAAACCCATATTTAATATCAGATTACAAAATTATCACAAAATGTTAAGTGATGTTAATGTCATGAATATAAAAAATTAGCAAATTCTAAAATGTTATGTTTTTCTTGTGAATTATGTTTCTTATCAATTAGTAATTAAAATAACAAAAATGTCAAATCTTTTGACTAACCAATATTTTACCAAACACTTCACCAGTCTCTACTTTGGCTTTAAACCAAAACACTGTGTGTACAAATCTAACCACAACACATCCCTCTTCTTGCTTACTGTCTGGTACATTATCTGAGCTGGTGACCAGACTCATTGGTTGGCAGTCTCTGTGGTCAAAATGGGTGGTTATACTTGGTTTTATGTGTGCATCAGAAGTCAGAAAAAGTTCCTATCCTAAACTTTATTGACCAAATGAGCTAGATTACACATGGTTAAAGAAAGAATTGATATTTTGGACAGATTTACAAATGGGTTCATTTGAAAACGTCACGTGAAAAACGCAAAAGCTGGTAGACATAGAAGTTGTTGGCAACGTGAAGTACTGACTGAATGTACGTCAAGGTACAATGAACAGGAAAACCACTAAAGATTAACCAATTTTAACAAAGGACATTTGGGAATTTAAATCTAGTAGAGAGTTGGCCAATGAGAGTTGTTTCTTTGAAGTCTCCAGTGGACGTTAGTTTATAGAGCTTGCTCATCTGAGGCTGAGTTTAATGGCACAGAAATGATTGCAATGCCCAGAGTGTTCCTGGTGCAGTCTCAGGGAGCACAGCAATTATTGTTATCACTTTTACCATCTCATTCTGCTGCACAACCAGCTTGATTGATGTGCTTCACTTAAAAAACTGTCCATTTACAATGTTAGACCTCTGTACTGTAAATGTGCTCTGTAAAGACAGAGAGAAGACGGGGGGGGGGGAGAAAAAAGTGAGCTGGCAGCTGTGTTTCCCAAATCAGTAGCTGCTTACTCCAGGCATCTATTTTCCACACAACAAGAGGTCATGACTCATGTGCAGTAATATCATGTTACATAGCTAGCAGTTAAAATACTTTTTCTTTTAGAGAAATTACCAGGCTGAATTTTAAATAAATAGAAGAGACCATTAGTCTGGGAGGGGTTATTTTCTAAATAATGTGCTTCCTTGTACGAATCATGTCTTTCCTCTGGGAAAACAAGCTAATCTCTGTTTTCTGTGCAGTTCTGTGGAGAACTGTAAGCACCAAGGTTAACATCCTAATTGATGACTTTTCCAAATCGATTAGTTTCTGGGTGGAATTTCTGTTGAACTCTGGAAAATAACTTAGTTTCTAGTGAATTAAATTAATTTTATTCCATAGTCATTAAAATGGGCCTCTAATGTACAGAGTAATGCGGACAAACTACAAGGCACTGGAATATTGAAACTTGAAATGTACCTTAATGACACATTTATCAGATGTTTCAAACTACTGTACAGAGTCTACCAATGTTCACCTCTTTATGTCAAACAAGATTTGATAGTTCATCACATGTAGAATTTTTAAGAAATGTAGGAATGCCATTGCAGAGTCACATTCAGATATTTTCTTGCTAAATAAACAGGAGCTACTTGTAATTGGTACAGTAAACACTATGACAGTGAATTAAAATACAGTATTTAAATATTGCAAACGACAAAGCGATTGCACCACATGAATGACTGTGATTCAGACAATGCTATTTTGGACAATAATTAACAACAATTAACCTGATCTTCACTTCCTGGCAGGAGAGAATAGTCACAGCTCATTGTTTGGTCATTAATGTTTTCATGCTTTTGAGATGATAGAATTTTGAAATGTCGTTTCCCACAAGCTTAACATCAGATGGGCTTTTCTGCTCCTTTTAAAATTCTACTCTGTCGATTAAATCTTGATTGTTTATTATTCAGTCAGCTTCATGCCATCTCTCTGCTCGTGATCTTATGCCTGAAATAGTTATTTTGGAAAATCCTTTCACTGCCGATGTCAGAATTAAATTGACAAATTGCTTCGAACTGATGGGATTATCTTGCTGTGCAATTCTTTTTTTAGCATGTCCTTTTCATTTGTGGTACGGGGGTAGGTCGGAGGTGGGGGGGGGGGGGGTGAGGGGGGGAGAGTCTTGTGTGAGATTGTCATAGAGCCAACAACGCAGGCGGTTAATCCGTGCGGCAGCTTTGCATGAACCCTGGAAAAAAATGACAGGATTGCCGACGTCATGTCTGTTGCCTGGCAACACCTGTTCTTTCCAATCCAGAGTCCTCGGCGCCACTTAATAGTGCAAGGCTGTTTATTTAGCTGATGGCTTGGTCAGGTTGGAGGCTCTGGGTTAAGCTTTTGAATTCAGTCTGTTGAGATAATCCTTTGCGACATTTCCTGGAGCCTTGCAAAGGGATTACTTTTTGATGTGTGCACTTCGTTAACATGAAAGTACAATTACTGCGTTTCCAAAATAAGAAGATATCCATTGAAAACTCTTGAAATGACAGTGATGTCACGTAAATGGCAGCCTGGTAATTGTGTTTAATTTAAAATGGCAATCCAATATAAATGTGGGTTCTACAGATATAATTTCTTCATCTTAAATTGTTAATGCAGAATTTGATAAATCACTCATTTTAATTCGTTTTTAGAACTCGAAATGAATTATTGCGGCACCGTGGTTTAAACCATAGAAAATTATTCCTAACGCATTTATGAAACAAAATTTGCCATTGACAAATAGGGCAGAAAAAACATTTTAATATTTTGTTGATAGGGAGGAGTAAATTTTATATTGAACAAAAAAAGGTGTGTCTGTGTGGGGGGAGTGGTCCTGGTTCCCTCTGCACTGCCTGTCCCTGAGCCTCAGAGATTGTACATGTGTGACCTTGCCATTTCCCACAGCCATCTGTCTGTTTGTGCCTACTCTCTGAGTGAGATTATCTCAACAATAAATGGTAGGGTAGGCAGCTTTGTCATCCCAATTCATAGGGTCAGAATTTTAAAGGGATGTCATTGTGGAGCTGGAAAAATGACCCGAATGACAAAGTACATTGACACAGTGACGTCATTGTATCCATTGTCAAAACATATTATACTCTCTATGAAATTAGCTGAAACATACATGTACCAAAACAGAACAGCATCGCAAGCTTTTCCAGGTACAAGTGAAACACTTTTGAGTTTTCAAAGCAGATAGTGCTATTGGGATCAACTTCGCTGTAAACTCATATTATGTCAATGGTTAGTTGACAGCCTGGCTAAGTTGATAGTACTCTCACCCGAGTCAGAATATTGTGGGATCAAGCGCCATGTCAGGACTTTAAACTTGTTTGATGGACATCAAGGCCTGGATGAGCGCAAATTTCCTGAAGCTGAATGCCGGCAAGATGGAAGCCATAATCTTTGGCTCCCGTCAACATCTTCTCTTCTGTGGGTCTGAACTCCTCAACCTCCCGGGCTCTCCCTCAGACTCACCAAACCCGTGCACAATTTAGGCGTCAGGTTCGATTTCCAGCTTTCCTTTTCAACCCACATCCATCCTTTCCCTGACCAGGACCGCTTTTTTCCACCTTCGTCACAATGCCCACCTCCGTCCGTAACTCACAACCAACGCAGCCAAAACCCTCGTCCACACCTTTGCCACTTTCTGGCTGGATTATTCCAATGCCCAGCTCCAGCATGCGCAAAATTCAATTAATTTAAAACTCCGTCGTCCGGATACTCACCCGCACAGAACTCCGCACCCCCATCACACCAGTTCTTGCTATGCTCCACTGGATCCCAATAACCAATTAATTTCAAGATCCTCTCACTCGTTTTCAAATGCCTTCATACCCTGGGACCTCTCTACCTATCCGATCCGCTTAGCCCCTACTCCACCACCCACTGCTTCCACTCGCCCGGCTCGGGCCTCTTGTTTATCCCTCGTCCCCTCCACTCCACCATTAGTGGCCGTGCTTTCAGCAACTAGGCCCCGAAACTCAGGAACTCCCTTCCTCAATCCCTCCCTTCCCCCCTCCCTTGCCCCCTTCAAATCCTGCCTAAAGACCTTCCTTTTTGATTGTGCTTACGGTCACCTCCCCCCTCCCTCTGGCTCGGGGTCAGACTCCGCCACTGTCAAGCACTGTCCAAGTATTCACAAATAGCAACTTCGAGTCGCAGATAACAGCTTCTGCCAGTAACTGGAACTGTGTCATGCTGACCTGTAGGAACTCTACTCCAGAGGTGGATCTCAGCAGAGCGCAATGAGAAACCCCAGTGAATAAAGAAATCAGTCAACACCACAACGCTGCAGCCAGGATTTTTTCCTCAAACTCCACTCTCCCTCGCTGAGTTAAGAGACCAGCTGGCACCAGCCATATCTTCCTGTAACACTCTTTTTCAGTCTATTTGAAGATGAAAGCTGGTACTGTTAAAATTCAGACATCCATGCTGTGGATTTCATATTATCTAAGTGAACCAAGCTGTTCACTGGCAGAGTCTTCTAAAACGTTGGTTTGGGGAAGTGAAAATTAAATATGAACTAATCGGGATTTTACTAAATGACAATTTACAAGTGACTACAAGTTTTTAAGCAGCTTTGTTTCTTCAGATAAATGCTTTGGAACGCTACCCTGTGTGGAGGGCACTATATAAATGAAAATTGTTGTTCTGTTGATGCCCCTTGTGCCCTTCCTTCCCCATCATAAACATTCACCTTCCCCGCAATGTAAAGCCCGGATACTAACAGGTTATCACCTCAGCAAGTGCAAAATTCCATATGACGCAATAAAGCAAATGACTGTTACCTCAAAGATATTCAGTGACAGGAACAGAATAATTTAGTTAAGCTTCTTCAGTTTGTGTGTTAGTGAAAGTCAAAGATGAGATAACCACATGTTACCTCATATACTTTGGGAATGTCAGCATTTACATACTCTCAGGCTTCCATGCATTGAATAACATGTCTGAGGCATTTTTGAACCTCATAGATCATGTATTGTCAATTATACATTTAGAGAGGATTCCGATGAATATTTGGTTAATGGATTGAAGGTTAGGACTGGACACGGATGGCATCTCCACTGAACTTAAGGTTATATCTGCCCACAAAATATACAGTTAATTCACTTTACAGTAAATTCTGTGAAGCGCTTTGAGATTTCTCAAAGTTGTGATAAGGTGCAATGTCAAATGCAAGGATTTTTAATTATTATTTCTATATTTTTTTAAATTCACGGACTGGTTAACTATGCAATAATAAAGGACTTTTAGCACATTCTCAGCCTATCTGTGCCTACTCCATCCTGAAATCCTTCCAACTCGTTCCCTCCCACAACACTTTCAAAGTCCGTTTCAAGACCTACATCTTTGATCGTACCTTTGGTCATCTTTGCCCTCCCCATCACACTCAGCTCCCAGCTTGGGTGCCAAGCCAAGACTGTCAGTCACCTTGGAACATCCCCCTGAATGTGGAAGGTGCTATGTAAATTTGTAATTGTTTCTTGCGGTACGTTTACAACTAGCGGTAATGCAACACTTTCTGTAATTAACAACCTTCTACAGTTTCCAAGTACTGTAAAACTTGAATGCGATACAATACCACACACAACTATCATTGCTCTGCAGCCCGTGTTCTCTCCCGCACTAGGCTCCGCGACTCTGTCACCCCCATCCTTGCCCAACTCCACTGGCTTTCCATCACACAGAGGATACAGTTCAAGATCCTGGCCCTCACCTTCAAAGTCCTCCACGGTCTTGCTCCACCCTACCTCTCCGATCTCCTAACCCCGTACCATCCTGTTCGTTCCCTCCACTCAGCGGGCTCCGGCCTGCTTCACATTCCCCGCCTTGCTAGCCTCACTATTGGCGGGCGGGCCTTCCGGCACTCTGCCCCCACCCTCTGGAACTCTATCCCACAGTCCCTCCAGCTCGCCCCCTCCTTCTCCACCTCAAGACCCTCCTCTTCAACCGTACTTTCGATCTCCCTGCTTCCCCCCTGCCCTCCACCCTTCCCCACCCCAACCTCCATCCTCCCAACGTGAAAGGCGCTATACAAATATAATTTTGTTGTTATTGCTCAATTCTGATAGGAAACAGACTATTCCCTGCAACTTGTTAGGGGAAGTAATTCATGTGCTATGGAATTCACATTTAAAGTTCCTGCTCTGTTACGCTTAATGATGTTTGCTCTTTCAATAAAGCCCTCTATCCTAATCCCAATTCCCTGCTCTTTCCCTGAAAATGCTAATATCCTTCCTCCACAAGTGCTTATCTAATTCCCTTTTAAATACTCCTCATCAACTTTGTTCCAAAATTCACCCCCAAAATCATTGCATATTCAGATAATCCTCTGGATGAAAAACTCCCCTTTTCACACTCCTAGCTATGTTTGGAATTTGTGCCTGCTTGTCCTCAAATCTCCTACCAGAATAAACGCAGTAGTCACCACCATTCTTCACACTACAACATTTTTTACTGAATTGGAAATAGCTCAAACCATGGCAATATTCACATCTTTATATTTTAAAAGAATTGCCACAGAAGATGTAAGATGTTTTGCCCACAAGATATACAGTCAATTCACTTTACAGTATATTCTGTTAAGTGCTTTGAGACATCTCAAAGACATCATATATCAAATGCAAGGATTATTATTATAACGAATACTTTTGCAAGAATAGTACAGAACGTGAAAGTGTTTAACCAGCAAAAATAACCCAACCCAATACATTTTTAAATTTTTTAAATTATTGTGAATATTAAATATGCCCCCACCCCCCACCCAAACCTCTTCAGGACTCCCAATAAATGGTAGACCGTTTTTCAGCAGAGGCTGAAGCAATTTGCATTGTTTGCATTTGTACTTCAACATTGCAAATACTGTTCCGATTGAACCACCTCCTCACTTCCAAAGCTGAACCATACTGCAGGTTTTCCACTAAATTAATGTCACAAACATTGCAGTTTAAACAACAACAAAATTAGATTTGTATAGCACCTTTCACGTCGGGAGGACGTCCCAAGGCGCTGGACAGCTACTGTTTTGGACCCGAACTGGGGGAAATTAAACAAGGCAATGAACAGCATAGTTGATAAATGTTATGATTGACTGACCTATTATACCAAAAGTATAATAGTTTGGCTTTTCCCAAAAGTAATCCTAGCTGAACATGACAAGTATTTTTCTGGTGGATGCAGTACCCACATGAGAACAGCAGAGGGCAAGACTCTTCCATTTGACAACTGGTACAGTTATAGATAAGATCAAACCTGAATATCTTGTCAAGTAATTACTTTACGCTGCTCACTCTGTTACAAATACGCACCATTTTTAGAATTTCAAACAAACTTTTAGGGTGTTCCTGAAATAATCTATGAACAGTTCAGTGCATTATTTATATACTGTGATTACAAAACTTTATCACATTACATTATATATACTGAGTTTGACCAGCAGTTTTATCAAAAGAGAAACTAGATATCTCTTTCAAGAGTCTCAAGAAACTCTTTGTTTCTTTTATGGGTGCTTCAGCTTGGGGTACTAAAGCCAATATTGAAGGATGATCTTGGATTTGCTGGTAAAGAACAAACACATAAGTGATGGGAAAATAGTGTAACAAGTGGTGATAAAGTGGATTAAGATCAGATCTTACAAATGAACTAAAGTAGTGGGTTTGATTATCAAAACGAGGATTTCACTGAAGCCAATATAACTTAATTGTCCCTTAAATGAAAGTACTCTCCTGCCATTTTTGTTGCACGCGTTTGAAAACAATTTCCTTCATTGCTGGTTTGGTAACCCGCTGATAATGGTTGTCTGTATCATGGTTCATTTTGTGAGGTGATAGATTTAAAATGATGGATTTTACCTTCATGGAGTCAGAAAAGATAAAGAATAGTTAACTGAACCTTTAAACCCTATGTGCCCTTTCCATGAACGAGTGGATTCCAAAGAGGAGGAGGTGTACACACTCCACTATCAGCAGGACAGCACATGTCTCTGTATGCAATTTTGTTAAAACAGAAAGATTATTATGTGTGATAAAAGTCAAAGAATAAGACAGGCTGGCTGTTCAGAAGAAAGTGGACATTAGCACCATTGTGCTGAGAAAAAGACTTAGTAGTTGATTGCTCCACTTAGCAGCAGAAATTATTGACCTTTCTTTGCAGACGAGCCAAGAAAATCACATTATAAGCTCACACTGTATAGCCCGATAAACTGATGCAGAAAACACTTTGCTTGTACCTAATGTTGATTTTTCATTCAAAATAAGTTTCCCAATCAGTATAACCCAGTTAAAATAGTTATAAGTGCTGACACACACTGGACGTTGGGTGTCAGGAGAAAAGTTTGCAGCCTTTGTTTTTTACTCCTGGCTGCATGATTTTTGTTAGATCAAAAACAGAAGGTAGGATTTATAACTACGAGAGTTGGGGAGAAGCATGGGAACATTCCTTCCCCCCTGATGTACAGTGTGGATAGACATGAAAAGGGCAATGTATAAATTAGAAAACTAAAAAGGTAAACTATTCTTTGTAACTGCAAGGCATAGAAATTAAACTTTTTGGCAATTCAAATACTATATGATAACAAACTGGGTGCAGTCTTCCAATTGAGTGAATAAACACTTAAATAAGGTGCATGGTTGATAGCTACAGCTCCATATATGAATATTGCTGGTAATTAAACCATTTGAACTGAAGTGTGTCGCACCATACATGCAGTCCATAGGAATTTTTTTTTCTCTTTGACCTACATATATTTATAAACCTATGCAGTAAATTAACTTAACTGTTGGTTCAATATCTGGTTAGAATCTGGATTGAAAGTTATTTGAAATAAATCTAAAGATAATTGAATATTTTACAACCTTAGAATCAAAGAAAGTTTCCAACATATAAGGAAAACGGTCTGCTCATTACGATAACAGTGGCTCTTTGGTTCTACTAGCTCTTCTGCTGGTCCCAGTCTCTTGCTCTTTCATGTTACCATTGAATATTATTGAGCTTGATCATGTGCTCATTCAAGTAAAGAAATTCTTCTGTTCATGACCAGGGTAAGAAGGACTCTGAGCAGCAGACACCAAGCAAAAGCAACTGTTCGCAGGTGAATAATAGATTGTCAATTAGATAGCTTCTGAAGAATATTGTTTAGTTACTTCTGGTGGGCGGAGAGGAACTTTGCTGCCTGGAGCTTAAATAGGTTGGGTAAAGTGCACAAGAAGGGAAATTGTACATTACTGTAGAAGGAATAGGGTTAATGATACATTGGGGTTTCTCCTTTTGCACTTTCTAGGGATTGTGTTAAGTGTAAAAGCTTTTGATGCCCAAATGAAATAAATCCTTTCCATCAATAGATGAATCTGAAGGATCTAGTTGTATTCACTTTTGTTTCATTCAACAGAAACTGGATCTCCAATAACTGCAACGTGCATAGGCCTGGGACTCACTCTAAACCCCCCCTCAGGGCAAGCTGGGAAATGTTTGCCAGGATACAATGGTGCAGTAACGTATTGCTTTTTGTCCCATTCTTCCATTTGCTGTTAGATTGCTCTCACAGTATGTCTCTGTCCATTTGCTGCTTGACTGCCCTCAGTGTGTCTCTTCAAAGTTGCAAAAAATGATCCAGATTGTTTTTCCTTTAATGCTGCCATAGCTTCTTTACATTGTACAAATCTATCCCTTTAACATGTCTGTCTCTACATAAGTCAGTAATGTTTAAGGCTGACAAGCTTGAATCTAGATGGCAAAAATGCTGTTCAAGTTATGTACGTGTAGATGTTGTCAAGGGATCTGTGGCAGTTTAATTTGAGAAAGCAATTTCATTTATTGATAATACTTTTCTATTAGTGTAAAAATCCTTCAACCTCCATACGAGCAGTTGTACGATTTGTGAAAATAATCCAAGGAGTAAAATTTTTAAAAAATGCTACTTGTCGATCCATAACCAACAATAAACCAAATGCTGGAGACAATAGGAAACTCGTCCATTTTATATATGTAATTTGTTTGACTAAATGTTTGCTGTCTGCAAATCTGCTTTATTTTGTTTCATGTTATAGCAGTGATTCTGGGCAATGATATGAAGGAAGTGAAGCGGAACACTCTAGGAAATATTGCAGTGAAGTGAGTACATGCAACATTAGATACTGTAAGATTAGAGCAAAATAGAGCATTTAATTCTGTAGGGATTTTTAAAATGTCATCCTTTCTAATGGTCCCCAAAGCATCTTACAGATTTTTAAAACTCTACCTTATTTATTATGGGGGGTGGGGGTGGGGGAAGGGGAGAAATTCAACCTCAAAGTCTCTAGCCAGTTAAATTAATCTAGAGACAGCATTTCTGTTAAGGCAGTATTTATCCATTATCTAGTCTAACACTTGTATAGGTTCGAGGATGAAATAAGGAATATTAAATAGTTACTGTAGAAAACCAATATTGTTAATCGTTTACTTTGCTCTCATGTTAGCCTGTGGACCTATGCTTTTGTGTGTTGCATTTGAAGGTTATTGTGCACTTTAATATAAAATGCTTCTATTTCTTGGAAGAGACCAATATTAACCAGATCAGATGTAGAAAGTACAAATCAATTTAAGAAAACTAAAACATTTTCTCTAAATGAATATTCAAACTTGGAATGTTTTTGTACTTTTTGTGCAACAAATTCAAACTGCTTCATCAGTAAAAACAATTTCATAGTAGAATATTTCAGGTGGAGTGTGCACCAACACACAAACACAGTGTGCCTCCGTGTCTACAGGTCCTTCATTGTGGATTTTATAAAGCCCTTTTTTGGTCCATATAATACAAAAATATCTTTTCAACCATTCCTTCCTTTATTGTCACTTCCAATTTTGTTTGCATTATAGTATAATTTATGTGTCAGTCTCTGGAAGAGATGCACATGCCTACAAGACTCTGCTGATCCATAAGTGTAGCAAATCAACAGCATGCTACTTCCACTATGCTCCAGGCAGCATTATTGATAAAATAGCAGAAGACAGGTCAAGAACTATAGACTACTGATGACTCTATGGGTCAGTCAAGAAAGAACAGGCATTTGTTGATTAAGAAGCATTTCAATCTTGAGTAGACAAAAGCTAAGATTGCCACTGTGTATTCATTATCTAAGTTCACAGTGATATATCATGTCTTGTAAGCTTGTGTCAATATTTTAACACCAGTTTCCTTTAAGATTACCTTTGGCTCCAGGTTCAATGGCAACTCTTTGGGAAAATGATGAATTGTTCAAGAAACTGTATTTCACAAAGTTTCCAGTAAGTAACCACCAAGACCATCATTCACGTTTTTATCACATTCAGGTTTTACTACACCAACAATATGCTTACAGACTCACCAGCCCTTCCCTACACTGGTTACAGACTATCCAGAACTCCTCCAACCTGACCCACTTAGTGAACTTTGCCCTGCTTCATGTTTGCCGGCCTACCATCAGTAGGCAGGCTTTCAGCCATTCTGCCTCTCTGGGACTCCATCCTCTCAGAGTCCTCTGAGTTGCTCTCTCCCTGCCTCCTTCAAGGCTTGTTTGTAAAACCTCATTGATCGCATTGTAAACTTTCCTCTCCTCATCCCTTCGGCTCCACATGCAGCTCAGGTGACCAGCAAAAAAAAAGAGTCAAGAGGTTTGAGATGCCCTCCCAATCTTAAATATTTAAATTGTAACAAGTGTGTTTAAACAAAAGTACCTTACTGTTTGTTGAATCTAATATAATGTAGAAGAAAAGTGAACTTTTATTTTTTACTGTTTGTGCTGTGTTTCAGCCTGGCTCGGTTGGTAGCGTTCTCTCCTCCGAGTCAGACAGACGGTGGGTTCAATCCCCACGTCAGGACCTTGAACTCACAGTCTAGTCTGATACTCCAGTACGGTGCTAGGGGTTGCTGTAATGTTGGAGGTATTGTCCTTTGGATGAGATGTTGAACTAAGGTTCTGCCTACCTCTTCAAGCAGATGTTTCACCCACAAAGCACAGTCAATTCACTTTACACTATGAAGCGCTTTGAGATGTCTCGAAGACGTAGTAAGGTGCTATATCAAATGCAAAGATTATTATTGTTAAAGATCCTGTTATAAGCCTTGCATTTGATATAATGCCTTCCATCACAGGAAACGTCCCAAATGCTTCACAGAATATCTTTTGTAAAATGTGTGTTTTGTGAGCAAATGCGGCAAGGAATTTATGACACTATTCAAAAAAATGCCATAAGTTTCTCCCGAAGTCCTGGTCAACTAAATAAAATTGCTCATTCACTTCCTGGCTGTTTGTGGGACATTGCTGTGCATAAATTAGCTGCTATGTTCATCTACAAATGCACATCCTATGAATCCTATGAAACACTTTGAGATGTTATCCTGATGTAAAAAGGCACTGTACCAAAGGTAAGGATTATTATTGGAAGTGTTTGAGTTAAAGTGTTTAGACATGTCCAGCCTAACTGAAAGCTCTATAAAAGTGCACATTTATTGTTGAATTTGTAAGTCTCCAATATTTTCTACTTTTGACACTGGGGTCTAATTTGTGATCACAAATTGAATCACAGAGGAATTGTAACCAATTAATTCTGCATATTGTGTAGGAGAGCAACCCCGTAGAATCTCCTACTGGGCATAGAAAGCCTCCTCTGACCACAATCCAACTTCAAGGAAGTCAGAATTGAATGAAATTCCAGTGGGTCTGTTTCCGACATAACCTAGTATCTGCAGGATTCACTGATTACAAATCCTTCTTGGGATCCAGCACTCCCACAAGTAAAGTTAAGCTCTTTGTGCATTCCCTTAACAATATTTTTTTTAAACACCCAACCTCTGAAAGGGTACACTGGCATAATTAGGTTTCCTCTTCTAATTTCTGCAGTAATTTTTCCTTTCAGCCATCAGTACACCAGTGATCTTCAGAAAATGCGGTAACTGCATGTTAACTTGAGCAATCAACTTTGATCTCTTTAAGGATATGGCATCCCATGCTCTGACATTTAGAAAGATCCCCCTCCCGATATGGAAAGATTTCTATTGCTTTTCAAAGAACAAAATCCTGGAGCAACCAACAAATAGGACCAGATTGCCTCTTCCCTTCCTTCCCCTGAAAACATTACTGATGAGCTGACAAGAAGGCTGGAATCAGTGTACTCAAGCTGCAGCTACAGCCTAGGGCCTATTATCAGTTAATTGCTACTACATGGTGTCTGCAGCTACTTGGAATAATACTTACATTTAGTGAGTACATTGACCTAGTTGCTGTGAAATGTATTATTTGGAGGAGTCATGTTTTTTCCTGCCTTGCGTGTAAACAGAAGAGACTCACTCAGCCAGTTACGTATATTATCTGGAGTAAGCACTCCGAGACGCTCCCCCACGTGAAGGGCACTCTATAAATGCAATTTGTTGTTGGGAGCTGGAGTCGTTATCATTCTTCGAATGCAGATTGTAGACACATATGGCTTTGTAGTGCTCCAACTTTAGCTATCAATTCTGCATTGTGTTTAAAAAAGTTCAGTATAAAAAAGTGATGCTAATCTACACTGTCATATTTATGTTTGTGACCTGTGCTCTACATTTTTTTGAAAGATAGTCTTACTGAATAAGTATTCACATCACTTGCTTTTAAGAGGTGATGATACTGATAGTTCTGTTGCTTACAACACAATAAACAAATTAGTTACTTCAGCAGGCTTTAATATTCTGCAATTTCAGTTCTAAGAAAACCTAGGTCAATTTGGAACAAATTCCTGCCTCCCTCTCTCTCATTCTCCAGGGTTACTATGATACTATGGATGCTGGCTACATGGATGATGATGGGTATGTTTATGTTATGTCACGGATAGATGATGTCATCAACGTTGCAGGTCACAGGCTTTCAACCGGAGGTATTGAGGAGGTAAAATTACTTTTTATGTTTCTCCCTCTCCAACTAATTTGGATTTCTCACCTCCCCAAAATGGGTGGGTGCCTATACAAAGGTGATCTTTAGTCAGGACCATTGTAGTCCAACTAGTTTGAGACTATGCTAAAACTCTAAAATATTAGTTATTGCAATAAAAAAGGAAGCTTAACAATTATTCTAAATGGCAGGATGGAATACTTGCAATATCTTAGTAACAGTTAATTAGCAATGATGTAGAAGAAGCAGAAGTATTTTATTATTAGTTAATTAATGAATAAATTAAAAATTACACTAACTGCTTTGTGTGAGACTATCAAGAGCTTTTAGTGTAAATTTTGATCATCTCAACTAAGCTTTCCAACCCAATTTCGAAGTACAATAGGTTATATAATTTGCTCAACTTAGTCAACTTTAGAACTGAATGCATGCACTGTGCAAAATGTTCAGGCTTTGAGTTAATCATAAAACATTTCAATACACATGAAGGCATTTATTATTTTAAATGCATGATTGCAGAGATTTCTGAAGAACAGAACAGTGCCTCAGATTCTAAACTTAGTGTGAAATGGAATTTAGAAAGTTATTAAATTTAAGAAAACATCCAGGTATGAATAAACTATTACCCCATTATACCTGAATAATACAATCAGGAATTAATTCCAAAATTAAACTGACAGAAGGTACAAATTACTTTAAAAAAAGTGCACCTTTCACAGAAAATATGTACCGTATACAATGCTGAAAACATTTTATGCAATGTTTTTTCAGTCATTCATAACACATAACTCTTCGACCGTGCTTACGGCCACCTCCGACCCCCCTCCCCCGCAACCCCGGCTTGGAGTCAGACTCCGCCACTGTAAAATGCTCTGAGCCCTTCGTGGAGGGTGCTATCTAAGTGCAGGTTGTTGTTGTTAAAACAATATAGGATCAATAGAAAGATGTTAGACACGATAAACATCTCACTGATCTGATTTCCAGCAACGTTTGTTTGTAATTTTTTCAGGTTATCCTCAGCCACCCAGCTGTGTTCGACTGTGCTGTAGTGGCTCAAGAAGATTCTATAAAGGGACACGTTCCACTAGCTTTGTGTGTGAAAAAAGAGGGTAAGCTTTTTGATTTAATCCTTTCAAGTTTTGACGTGCTTTTCCATAACAGCCAGATTAACAGTTTCGTCAACCTTTACTTTATGAAATATTCGTGACCAGTTTTCACTGAGGAAACAGATCAAATTAGAGAAGAAATTGTTCAGCTTGTTCGGAACTCCATTGGCCCAGTCGCTGCATTCAAGAAAACGCTTTTTGTGACCAGATTACCAAAGACTCGATCTGGAAAGATACCTCGGTCTGCATTGGCAGCTATTGTCAATGGGAAACCATACACGGTACGTTTGTACATTTGTACATTTGTCTTATTTCTTGTAGCAGTGATTTGCATCGTGGTGAGAGTCTAGAATTGTTTTAAGATCCTTAGGCTACGAAGATAGTTATTTTGTTGGATCTGCTTACTTGAAGCAGCTAATTTACATTATCAACTTTTTCATACCTCCTTTATTTGTTAACCAAAAAGAACAGGTCAAAAGTTTGACCTGGCCACATTGTGATTATACTAAACTGCCCATTGAAACTTTCCATTTCTACAAACTGATTATTTTACAAAGGTTTCTGGACAGAAGCATTTGGAATCTGCCACTGACTCCAAACGTCATTCAGTGTTCCAAATGTACTTTTTCATTTGCCAAATATCTTTCCTGAAGGCAGTTCCTATTTTTCTCATTTACTCACACTCCTATACATTTATCTAAATTACCATTATTCATGTGAGTGCTAACTGAATGTTTGTAGATTATCTGGCAAGCCTGCACTTGATGTTAACAACTTGACTTAATACAGCACCCTTAAATTGGGTAAATAATAACATCTAGGAGAACCGAAACAAAGATTCTCATCCTTCTGGTGGGAAAGGATAGCAAAATTTGCATGTTCTTATACATATCCATGAAAAAATAATCTGAACAAGCAGAATACTGGGGCAAAGTTCTCATTTTTAATAGTGTATTTAGATCTTTAAACATTTAACTGAATAGGCAAAATAGGCTCACTTTAACATTTTAACACTTTAACACAGGACTTTACTACTAACAATGCAGGGTTTGTAGGCAATATAAATTATTTAAACACTGCAGGTCATTTGATTTTAAGCTAATATAAGTTACTATGGTGCTTTTTCCTATTTTCTTCCACAGATCACAGCCACTATCGAGGATCCTGCTGTTTTCTCAGAAATTGAAGAAGTTATTAAGGAAACAAAAAACATAATTTGATAGTTGGCAACTCTACAACAAAGAAAGCCTAACCTTGTTTTTTCCAAGTGATCAACAAGGATATACCAACACCCACTAAATCTGAAAAAAAAACAAAAAAAGTACATACATTCATCTTAAACTATTGGCTAAAATATATTTGTGTTAACTACAGTTAGTTACCGTTAACTACAGTTTACAGAAATATATTTTAGCCGAACGTGCATTATAGTTTAAAATGAAAAAGCAAGGTTACATTTCTGATTTCCTGAGCTAAATAAAGACCATCTTTTGGGTTATAGCTGCTATCACTTCCTGCACTCTGCACATGTAATTTCATATGCAGGAAATGATAAAATTTCCTGTGTATTGTGCAACCACCTATTCAACACAAAGGAAGTAACATGGAGACACCTGAGAACCTGGTATTTGTCTATTGTTTATGATCCATTTTAACACATGGGTCTGAGCATATAGACCCAACCACAAAGTTCTAAAATAATTGCCAAATATATAAAAGCTATTGCAGAAGTCCAGTTACTTAACATCCATATTGCCTTCAAGCAGGAACTTCACAGATACCTTAACAGAGTCATCTTCAACTGTATGGGGAAAGGACAAAGTGGGACTGAAAGAGTTAGTTTTGAGGAAGCTGACACAGACACATGGCCTTCTTCTGTGCTGAGGATTTCTATTTTTTTAAGGAATGTCAGGAAATAATACTCTACCAATACATCTGTTTACTTTCCTATAGAAATGCAAATGGGCAATAATATATTTGTTTTCCTCACTTGTTATTAGAACCAAGTATAGGTCCTTTTTAACTTTGTATCACTGATTTCTCGATCATTAAAATATTAAACATCTATTTGACAGAATTCTTTAAACAAAAGTAAAATGATAAAAATAAGGGAAGAGACTGTTTAGCACAAAACTTATTCCTCTCAAGTGCAAAGGATTATTATTATTCTCGTGCAATAAAAATTTTCGTATCGCAAAGTCAAATTGTGTTTTGAAAGCATCACTGATTTGCCTCCTTCACCTTGCTTGGTAGATTTCAAACATTATTATACAGTAAAAAAGCTTTCTCTCAAACTTAAATTTACTTTTCATTTATGTTCCTCGTCCTATTAAAGCTCTAAAAACATGGTCACCCCCCCTTCCCCTCCCCTCCCCACCGAGGGTCTGAAATTGCTGTACACTGTTCAGTGCCTTGGGATGTCCTCCCGACATGAAAGGCGCAAAACAAATGTAATCTTTTGTTGTTGTTGTTCTGTGTGAAATGTAAGCAAATACACTGCATACATTAGTTCTTTTAAAAAAAATACAAACAACTGATCCTACAACTTTGGCCCTATTCTTAACCAGTACACTAATTGAGAAGAATGCCATAATTATGGAAATGTTATTTGTCATATTAGTCAAAACTCATCAGATCTACCTCTTACCTTCAAATCAAGAGAAATGAACAAAATAATAACTCTGTCTGGACCCTTGATTTTGAATACAAACCTGACTTCACATCCAGCACATTTGAAAAGTTGAAGACTTCTCTTAATGATGATTAAAGGAAGGGAATGAGCTATGAGCTTAAATAAGCTAGGCCTCTTCAGTTTTGAAAATAGACATCATAGATGGAACCTTATAGAGATATATAACGTTTTAAAATGGGATTATAATAATAATACTTGCATTTGATATAGCGCTTTTTACATCTTCTAGACGTCTCAAAGCTAACCCACATGTCTTCTAGACGTCTCGGTTACTTTCTCAAAGGATTGAGAAAGTAACCCAGAACAATACTCTTGGGTGCACCAAGGCAGCAGAACAAGAGGTTTAAGATTGCAAAGTGCAATTTCAGGACAGACACCCGGAAGTATGTATTTACCCAGCAGGTAATTAACAATTGCAGTGGTTATCCAGAAGGGTGAGGTTAGAATGCTCGACTCGTTTGAAAAACGGCTTGTTGTTATAATGACATGACAATAGGGTGGGTATTCTGGAAAGTTGAGATCAAATAGGCTGAAGGGTTTTCTCATTCAAACCTCTCTTGTAATACTTTCTGTAGGAAATGAAAATGCCTTAAGTTAAGTCATAACAAATACAATGTGGGAGTATACATGAATGATAAAGGTAGGACAGCAGAAAACATAAATTTTACAAAAGTTCATTGATATAATGATATTTTGACAGTAATACTTTTTATTGACAGTGCAAAATAACTGGATCACCATTAGCTTTGACTGAAATCAGGCAGTAAATAAATCTTGGGCAGAACATTGTGTTTGACCATACAAAATGTAGCAAAATAATCACTAGAGAAATAACTAAAAGACAATTCATAGGTTTAGGTCAAAGTAGCTGTAGCTCGCAACTATAATATTGAAGCTATTACATATTTTGCAAGAAATTTCCACAGTTAAAGAGTAGCAATATAGCAACAACAAATAATACCACAGCAAGCAATAAATCTTATTGAACAACTAATGTTTTATACACTTTATTTCATGTAATATTCTGTCTTTCAGTTATTTCCTCCATTAAAGTGACTTAACAGTAATGTTTTACAAGGCAAACTTGGCAAAAGTTTGCAGACAAGCTAATAGAATTCAACAAATGCCAAGTTATAAAGGCTAAAGTTTTGTCAAAAACAAATGGCAACACCAAACATACCAGATTGCAAAATTTTGGCTCACATCTTGAGAATCCCTATCACATGATTCTGTTGAAAGCTGAAGTGTGTAACTTGGTCCACAAGTTAAAACAGTAATGGCCTTCAGAACAGTGGACCAGCAACAAAGTTCATCATATCTTGTAAACAGCAGCTTAAAGAACCATCACAGTGCTTTTCTGTAAATCTATGTACATTTCAGTCACTGTAGGAAGGCCCAGAATAAAGTTAGGTGCAGGATAATTTATTCTGCAATATAAGGTTTTCAGACGTTTACATCTGAGGCGTGGCAGGTTTCCAGCTTCAAAGAACTGTGTGTTGATAGAAAGTTACGAAGATAAACTAAAACTGCATCTGTCTACTAAAGTTTTGTAAAACTGACTGTTTTAGTATAATAAATTTAATTATGGCAATTTCTATGGCAGATGATGAGATAAAAACAGCAGCAATATTTGACAGTGAAGTCTGTTCTGATTAAACTGACATGAAATTCTGTGAGTTTTTTAATAAAATATTTATATTCATTTACATACAACATACATAGATACAAAGAAGTACATACACAGTACATACGTTCAGCAAGTATTATACAAGAAAGTTTTAGAAACTGTCAATCAGGAACAAATTACTTGATGCAATAGGTGCTAAAACACCTCTGCCACTATTCCAATGTCTGAAAAGGGCACGTGCAGTACGTTTCTGTGATATTTACTGAACAATTATTTCAGTTTCTAGTCAAATATATTAAAAGGACATTTATAAATCAAAACTCTTGAATGCTAAAATTTTCACAAGAAAACTTTCTACACCTTGAGACTGGTCTCGGCAAACTTATCCAATTTATTGAGCAGGCAAATGTCTGCTTGTGTCAGTCTTCAAAGGCAATGAACGTTTTCATACAGGCATCACAACTATGCTGAAGAACAGAAAATTGATTGTTATATTTAAGCCTTTTAGGTTTCTTCATCACCACCTTTCAAACTCTTTCAGAGAAGACTATGGATTTGGTTGCCCTGTAGACACCATTAGATCAGTGTCCCTGCACAATGCAGATAGTTGTGTGCTTCTGCAGATTGAGATATCCTGATTGTTTTTCTAACCTATACTCCTGACTGCCAATTATATTAGGTAAACACACACATATTACAGCTCTGCTGCAATTACTGGAAGATTCACAGTCCTGAGAACAGAAGAGCTGGTCAGTGAATCTCCCTGATGGTCCAGAACTGTCAGATCAGTGCTCAGTTTGGCTCCAACTACCATGGCCAACACTGCAAGTCTTTTCCTAGGAGGTTTAAATCCCATTTCAGGATTCAAATTCTGTTCCCTCTGATTGGCATATTTAAGATTTCCGTATAAAAACGTTTTTTTTTAAAAATGCAGTGATAATTGAATAAATACAACTTCTAAATAATATATTAAAACACACTAACATTAGCAATTATTGGCAGCAACAGTGCAAAGCTCTGTAACTTCAAAGTATGCGTGAAACATAATAATTATGCTGCATGATGCATTTTTGGTGTTCTATTTGGTATTTGTCCTGAAGCCACCCATTGTCTCAAGGAATGTCTTATTATCCATTTTGCTAGGGATGTAAAAGCACAGCAAGGTGTGAACATGCCAGCAATAAATGGTCAGTAATAACAATGGGGGGGGAGGGGGCAAATAAAATCTGTAGCAAATTTATAGCCTGCAATTTGCTTGAGATTATACAATAGTGCAGGGCAGATTTCTTAGCTCGAATCAATCCACTTCAACTAGAGAAAGGAAAAATTCTGGAATATGACACATAAACAAGGTGAAAGAAAGGCACAATGTTTTGAAACAGAGTGCAGCTTTAATTCACACTTGAAATTGTTTACCTCTCATCATTTAATTGCTATGTAAGTTTTTAAAATAAATTCTAGAGACTGCAAATTAGATTTTAAAATAACAAGTGTTAATTAACTGAGGTTTAAAATTAACTTCCTAATTTAATAAAACCAAGTTTAATTCTTGTTATCAAAGCATACACTACCTCTAAATTTAGCATGGAAAGGTTAGAATTAAATGGAATTGGAACAGTAAATGATGGACGAAAGCAGCATAAAGCTGTATGACAACATTTCATTTACAAACCGAATCAGCAGTGGCTAAAAATAACATTGTCAAATGGGAATACTTTGAGGGAGGAAAGAAATAGAGCAAAGCAGTGCTGAATGGGGCTGAGAGATCCTGCCAAGGCTCAGAATTGAACCAACTGGAATTGAGATGGGTCTCCAATTCTTACGCCAGATCATTAGTAAAGTGACATAGTTGGGTAGGTTCTTGAGAAAAACAGTGGTGATTTCAGAAATCGTTTTAGATATTGGTGACTGACTGATACCACAGTTCATCCATCATCAATGTGAAAACAGATGGTGGCATTGAAAATGAGGCAAAATGCCTTCTTGGCAGAGCATCATTTGCATGAGCATAATCAGCCCTCTTTTAACTCAACATATTAGACAACAGTTGCTGAATGTAAAGGGTCAAATTTCTTTGTACTGTATCAGCAATCAAAGAGGAATTACAGAATTTGTGCAAGAAAATATGCATAAGAATATTACAGGTGCTTTTAAGTGGATCTGCAATACTCACTAATCATTAATAAACCAATTATATTAGGGTTGTAATTGTCATAGAAGTAACACTTTAACAATGTGAAATTAGGATCTTGACTCTTAAAGGAAACAAAATTGCTCACCAATCTAGTTTTCTTGATTGCAAACTTAAAAACTGCATCTCAAGAGACCGTTGAAAATAGACTGTAATGTAACTAAAGTGTCCACAGTTAAAAAAGTGACATTGGTCAAAATGGGAAGAATATTCAAATCAGGCACATAACTTAGCCCAGGAAAATAGCTTTAACGTGATCAAGAATATGGCAGGAAAGCAAGAAATAGTTTAATGGTGTATAAAAAAAAGATTAAAGCAAGCCTACGACCAACAGGCTTGCAGGTAATTGGCCATAAGAGTTCAAAGTGCACTGTTGTTTGGCATAAAGAATCTGGGATTATCTCAACCTTTCTGGTGAATGGTTCTCTCTCCTACATCAACTGATAGGAAAGTGTTGTCTGCAGTAAGAATTAAAAAATGCGACTGATTTAACTAGTTGATTTAAAGACACTGATATTTGCCTGTATCATAAGGATGAAAAGCAGTCATGAAGCATTAGCACTCGTTGAAGGTGTTTATTCAGTTCAAGTACAGGTTAAAGTATCCTAGACTTGAGGAGCAAACTGAAGGGCAGTAGAGGTATGAAAGTCAAGGGTTTCCATTTCCATAGTAAGGATGTTGGACAACCAGTAAGATTTATAGAAGGGAGTTGTAAATATGTTTTCAAAACAAAAAAAACACACCCAAGTTGTTGGACTGGGCAGGTTGGAGGTAAATTTGCCTTTAATTTGCAACGTAAGGTTCACATCTTATTGAACAGTTTTCATGAGACTACAGTGCCTCAAGTTATGAAGGGCTTGATTATCAAACAATAGTGATTAATTTGTGGCATCTTCCTTTAAAAGAAAATTAATATTTAAACAGAAGACTCTTGACACGTTTGAGGTTATTATAACATTATAATGCATGCTAATTTTGTAAATGTTAAACTATTTTAAATTTAGAATAACTCTATGTTATATATAGCATATCACGAATGAGTTGGACTTGTTTGTACCACAATTTTTTGTGAAGACTCGTAAGGAAAGTGCTCCCCCTACAGTAAGGTTGTAAGACCACTTCATTATTTCAGCCAGTTTCTATTCAGATTGCAATGGATTGTCTGTATCTTCACAAATCACAGAATTGCTAAACCAATTGGAACAGACAGGGATCATTTCCTACAATTTGGCCAATAAGCAGCCAGGTTCTCACCCCATGGTACCATGAAAATAGCTTTTAAGTTTGGTGTGCTTCGCATATATCTGACAATAACCACATTAGATCTGAGACACATGTGTTATTCAGTTAGACAGCTATAACTAGCTTGTTGAGAATGCATCAAATGCATAATTTATACCAGCTCACTTTAGCACTAGAGCAGCCAGAGAGTAGCTGGCCCAAAGCACCACTTATACAAATACTTTTAGCTTTCCAGTAACGTTACACATTACTATACTCTTGATCTTGCTAACAAAATAAGTATAAAGCGCAATGACAGTTATATTTACCACGTGGCATGGCTGTTGAAGTTTCTGTAGATGTCAGCAAGAGTATGTCCGAATGGTGGAGCTGTCTATCCTTTGCATTCCTGGTGTGCCAACTGAAATCCCACCACAGGCATGAATTAATATGCAAGTGACTTTGTAACTGTACTTCTGAATTAATATCACAATTTTAACATCAAACATGCAGAAATAGTAAACAGTACAGGACTCCGGCAAACCACAATCACTGAATTTGCATTTGCTTAAATGATACAAGTCTTCTTTACTTTGTTCTTAATGTCAAAAATGTTCTAATTGATATAACTGGCCAAGGTAACTCTCCCAGAGCTCCACCAATCACACCCAATCATCAACCAGCAGGAAAGATGAACAGAAAATCTGCTCCATTCCAATGCCACCCCATATGAGTGGGCGGGTCAGTGGACAAACTATTTCCAGGCTGATATTGCTCTAAACTGGGTATGAGTGCACAGCCAGAGATATCATTATTCTTTTCTATGGGTACATCTAGCTTCCGCTGTAAGTCTTCCCATGATACCAAAAATAAAAGTGTCCATAAATGAGTTACACCAATGGGGGAAAAAAAAATCTGTTTTCAATTTTTCTCTGGTTTTGCCCCTCCTTACCTGAAGGTGTGGTTCAGTTGTTATAGATATCTCATATATATATATATATATATATATATATCTTATCAAGATGTTTGAGTCTCGACAGAGAGTGCTGGTAGGCTTTGATTGTATGGAAGAACCAGAGCAAAACCTGATCCTGTTTCCAACTGACTCATACACACACATTTTAGCAACAATTAGAAAGCAGGAATCATGGCTAATTTAAGAATCCCATCCATCCCAAACCAGGGAATACTAAGATCAATGATTATACTGTTATTATTGTGTTGACTGGAATAAAATAACAGCTTTGAGGTGTCTCGACGATGTGATAAGGCGCTATATCAAATGCAAGGATTATTATTATTATATCCAGTACATAAGGTATAATAATGACACTTACCATCAGAAGATCTTTTTGTGGATGTTGTTGTTAATCTGAAACCTGCAGGAAGGGTTTCAGAAGATCCTGGCATCATGCTGATTCCATGCACTTCACGGGGAGGAAATTGTTTTCTCCAGGAAGGGCCTCGGCGGAAATTTTTCTCATCATCCTTTGGAGAATATTAAACAAATATGCAAATATTATTCATTCAGTGTCCAGATTTTCCTTTGATTAATTAAACTGCAATTCTGTCTGCCTTTCTTTCGTGGACTTTAAAGGACCCCGACAGCTATTTCAAAAAGTGGGGAATTTTTCTTCCAGTGTTTCTCCATGGCTTATCTAATTTATCCTAATAATAGTAAGTATAATCCTTGCACTTGATATAGTGCCTTTTCACGTCCTTGACATATCTCCAAGCGCTTCACAGAAGTAAATGTAAAGTGAATTTAATTTGGTGCATCTCTTAAATAAAAATGCTTTAAAAATAAGATGTACAAATTAGCATTAAACTATATTTTTCAGGAATGATTTTTGTAGAAAAAATAGTGAAGGAAAATTTAAAGTATTTAAAGTATTTACTTTATAAAATCAAATAGTTTTCAAAGTTTTACACATTTTACTTACATCATCAAGGGTCCTCTCTGTTCCAAGTGCAAGAAGGTTGTTATATTCTCTTTCAAGAACCTGTCTTGCCTGATGAAAATATTGAACATAAAACACTTCAAATAATGCAAGATGCTTTTACTCAGGCTGTTGTATACTTTTTTTTTACCAAAATGGTCAATAACAACCTTTATCCATCATTTACTCTATCAACAACATCTGCAACAAAAAAAACACTTATACGTTCACATTTTTTTTGAATGTTTCTGTTTTAACAATCTTGTCATTTTCAGTAACAGTGTAATCTACTTTGTGAACCTCCATTCAGTACCAAACTCCACAATTCTGATAGGAATTATTTTCGTCTAAAGCTGATCTTTGGGGGCCACTGTTGCTCAAACAAAAATTGAAGCATCATTTGATGTGTTTTGATACAGCTGCAAACAACTGAATTTTGAATATTCTAAATATTTTTGGGTGTTGATCAATTTGTGCTCAATTATAGGTAGCTTTGTTACAAAGGATCACACCCACTAGGAACCGTTTCATTTAATTTAAAAGATGGCAGAGGATACTTCCATCACATGATTGTAGGTTTGATTCAAACCCAGGTCTCAGATGAAAGGGCAGTCAGTATATAAATCCTCTAAACCATCCAGTCTCCATACAGATATAATATCTCTTTGTATTCAGTTGTTTGCTACTTCAAAATCATTACTTTACATTTTAAAAAACTAGCTGTACTTTACAGCTTGAATTGAGCTAGGGTTACCTGGGTGTTTTGTGTGGGGATTTGAAGTATTAATGCCAAACTAGTATAATCAAAGTTTTCATCCAAGGCTAGGAGTGCCCCATGGACACCACTTTCCATCAGGTTGTTTGCATATTCTCGAAGACCGATGGACTGGATCCACCTAATAACACGGTCATTACTCCATACTATAGCATCTAGAAATATTAAACAGCAATATAAGCACCTTTTATTTCTAACTATTTAATTAGGCTTAATATTTAATGATTCTTAATGTAGTAACCTTCTATATATATATATATAGAGAGAGAGTTACAGAGATTGTACAACATTAAAACAGATATATGGTGCCTCACACCCAAATGCATGCAATTTTATAGTAGTAAAATGAGTATGATTAAAATAAAAAAAGACTAATTTTGGATTTAGCTTAGTTTATTTTTGATAAATCTAGGTGATCAAAGTTAGAAATGTCAGTGCTGGATAATGTTAATATATAGTATCGAGTTATTACTGGACCTTACAATGTTACAAAGCATAGGTCACTCTCAATTATGTTGTACTAACTAGAATGTTGTAAACGACAGAGAAGGAATGAAGCGTCTGTGGAAAATGATTAACAGAACTAAATGGATTCTTGCATGGTACACTGGCATAAGATACAGAACACTGCAGAGATTTGTGGTTATACACAATCACTTGGATTACCCATAATAGTAATATACTGTTATAAATAATAAATTATTAGGTGTTCTGTGCAAGCTATTAATTTTCATGCCACAGTAATACATCTCACCTTTAATTTCATGCAGGCTTATTTCTCTTCGTTTTTCCAGTTCCTTTCTATCATAGTTCAAACGCTTCAAGCACATAATACCATATTGCAAACTTGTTCTGAACAAGAATAATGCAAATATTTTGTGTAAATATTTGAAAGGCATTTTGAAAGCTAAATAATTTCATCTTACTTTAAACAAATTAGTAGTGCTTCAGAAGACAATCATACCGATGAAAACTATCCACCATTTTTAAAGGAATACGAAGATCCTTCTTTGTCAGATGATCCAACATTCTGGCATCTACTAGGCACTCCATGAAGTAGCTGCGGTACTGAGGTAATCCCAAACTGGGAAGCCACTCATTGCCAATCCATTCATGATTCATATCTCCGTAAGCCAAGGTCTGAGCAAAAATGCAAAGGTAAATTAATTCAACATAGTTTTGATCAGTTATTTCATTACAAATGGTTATAAATTCCACAATAAAATCAATACAGACCGAAATTTAGTTACTCTGTTAAGATTATGGACTAATTATTTAATCAGGAAATGTAAACTAAATGTATGATGAAGGTGGCCTTCGAAATGATATGGTAAAATCAGTATTTAATTTCAGTAGTTTTGAAAACAACTCTTACGTTTGCATTCACATACGCTTTAAATCTCCTTATATTCACTATTTTTGACTCTTGGCATCTTGTTTGACCCTCAATTGTCCTTTCTAACCCATACCTGTGCTATGACCCACTCTGTCTTCCCCCATCTTTGCATCATTGCCTGGCTCCCCATATCAACCTGCCAGCTCCCTTTGCTCAGCAGGCTCTGGCCTGCTCCACACCCCCCACCTGTCCCACCCCACCATCAGCAGTCGGGCCTTCAGCCTCTCTGCCCCCAACCATTGAAACTCCACCTCAAGGTCCCTTCACCTTGCTCCCTCCCTTGTTTCCTTCAAGGCATGTCTCCAGATCCTCCTCACCGACCACGCCTTTGGCCACCCTCAAACCCCTACCTACCCTCCTGATCCCAATCCCAGCTCAGGTCCAAATCCCTGACCGCCCAGTGCCTTGGGGCATGCTCCCAACGTGAAAGGGCCTATATAAATGTAATTTTTTTCTTTCATTGAGCCACCATTTCGCCTACAGACAACTCAGGATCCATATGTATATGTGTGCATTGTAGTACATCTATAACCTATATGTGAGTAATACAAAGCTCTTTATTTCATTTTCTCATTTAACTTTACAAAATGCAATTATGCAATACAGATAAGCACAGGTAACCACTTTAATTTTAAAATATTGAATTATGTATTTAAAAATTCATACCTGAGCCCAACTGCCTTCCTCAGACTCCTTAGGGATTTCCAGAAAATAACAGTTAATAAAACCAAGCAATAAATAAAACAGTGAATAGGCGCATGCTATCACAACTTATGGAAAGGAGAAACCATACAAGAATGCACAAAAATCTAAGCTGTGAACAAGATTCTTCAGTAATTTTAAAGAGTTTAAAAAATCACATGCATTATTTTACTACCATTTGTAAAACTAGTACAGTATTACGACTTGTAGAAGTACCTTTAAGTTTCTATGTTATAATTTACAGATCCCTGGATTGACAGCCATGTAAGTAATATTTAAGTAATGTGGAGTCCTGTAGCTCAGTGGTTAGAGCACTCGCTTTGCAAGTGAGAGACCTGAGTTCAATTCCAGGCAGGGCGAAACCTTGGGCAAGTTTCCTTACTCCACACGCCCAATAATAATCCCTCCAAAACTAAAAACAATAATTAAATTGGTCATTTTCAATCTACGACTGTTTGTGGGACATTGCTGTGCGCAATTGGCTGCCGCGTTCGCCCACAAATATACAGTCAATTCACTTTACAGTGTGTTCTGTGAAGCGCTTTGGGACGTCCTCCCGACGTGAAAAGCGCTATATCAAATGCAAGGATTATTATTATTATTATTATTATTATTTATGATGTTCATTCGATATTCTACGTATACGGACTTGCTAAAAGCGCTATATCAAATGCAACGATTATTATTATTTTTCCAGGGGAGTAAACAATTTTACTACCTATGGAGCTACAATTCACACCGGTAGAAAATAAAATAACAAGGCAGGTATGAATTAACACCTGACAGCTGGCATAGCAGTCTTGAATTTATTTAAAATTGCCCTAGTCACTTTTCTAGAAATCATTTCTGGTCATAGTTATCGCACTTGGCTTTCAAATTGCCTTGGGGGAGGGGTAATTAGATTACATAAATCCTGCAAAAATATTATGAGCTACCATTTCTATAATTTGTCTTACAATAGAACATAAAAAGTTTTTAATTATGGTTACAAATGAATTAACAGGTTTACAAAAAGTTACCATTATAATTCTTTTACCTGTTATAAATTTTAACTCAGATCAACTACTATTTCTCTATTACACAAATAATGCATTTTACGTCACAATATTTTACAATTACAGTATTGTCTAAAATCAAATATTTAGCATAAAATCATTTTTAAAATTCAAGATTCCAGTGATCACTCTCTTTCATTGAATACTGAAGATCTATTTTGAGCTGGTAAGTTTCAGACATACTTTCATAGCTGACAGTTACTTGCACTTATGTACATCAACAATACAATGAAACATCCTCCTTTTAATCTTGCGTTTTAATACATGAAATATATTCTACATAAAATATCAGGAAGAAAATTAGACCTCATCTATAAATGTATTCATATTTAAATTGAGCATTCATAATAATAAGCTAAATATTTGAGCGTCTTACCAGGTAATACGTGTGTTTAAATTAAGATTGTTGTATGCTATAGGGTCTGATTTATGGTGGAAAAGGAATAATGGAAATCCTACTGTAAAAATACAAGAAACTGATTCCTACTTTGATCAACAAATATATAACAAACTCCATTGCTTTTTAACAGATCTCTACATCTATTTATGGGTTTGATTTGCCTGGTGTGTTCCACTATGCTTGACAATAATTTGTATGCAGCGACAGCAAAAGTTGAACTCGCATCTTCCCGCTGGTGTCTGAAACAGATTTGCAGCTTTCTGAAGATCAAGCTGTGATCATTATTGGTTAGAAGCTTTGAATTATTGCATTTTAATACCTGTCAGTGCGAGGTTATTTATTTACATTCTGTGACCTACTAAAATGTCTTTCAAATGGACTTCATTTAAAATAGAAATATTTTGTTTTTCTGATTTGTTCTACCTTGGAATGATGGGGAGAAATGATATAAAGAAAGGCTGCATACATTATTGTGCCATTTTTGTAGCAGTCTCAGAAAATGTAAATAGCCATTCAGCAAATGAGTGCCTTTGCATTAACAATTCATTGCATCAGTAGCGTTAATTTCAATAACATGCACTTGTACAGCACCTTTTATGTAGAATGAACATTATGAAGCACTTAATAGATTTGATAGAAAGCACCAAATATGTTTTGGCAGGTTTATTAACATAATTTCACAAATGCAATGGTCCTTCAGGGCAAGGTAACAAGCATCTTCACATTCTTAATGTATAATGATTAACATCCCAGTAGTGCACATTCAGAGAAATACTACATTAAGTCCCAAAGAGAAACTCGACAGATTACTTCCAAATTCTTTAATCACAACTTTATGTTTACACTGAGCTTCACAATATGCAGCCTTCTCAAATTCAGATTCAAAAACACTATTAGATTCCCAATCTAATTCTGCACGTCATAAATATGCATCCAGAAAGTCCCCTGTGAAATGTGCCTTCTTCAAGGCTGAGGATCTGCAGCTTATCACAATGGAGATTCTTGATCTCATCGTTCCAGAATACCCCCCTACTGTACTTCTATTATACCATCAAGCTGTTTTTTTTAAAAAAAATGAGTCCAGTATCCTTGCCTCAACCATCCTTCCTGGCAAACTTCCACTCATTAATTACCCTCTGGGTAAAAAATATACTTCCTCGTATCTGTCCTGAAGTTGTCCTTTGCAATCTTAAAGTGGCATCCTCTTGTTGTTCTGTCTTGGTGTATTGAAAGTATTGCTCTGGGTTTATTTTCTCAATACCATTTAAAATCGTGCATATCTCTATAAGATCCTTGAGCCTTTAGTCCTGAAAATTAAAGGTAGGATAGGATTCCCTCCAGCACCTATCACCCATCTCCAGCAACAGAGCATACCAAAATATTAATGTGCTCTGATATTGCTAAGGGCAAAGATTCCAACAGCTAGATGGTAAACAAATCCATGGAAAAGTTTACTTTTATAAACCCCATGTATAATACTGACGTATCATGCTAAATGCAATTAAACACCTTCCCTACCAAAAAAACTACCTCTACCCTCTGGTCGCTGAGACCGTAATCCACACATTCATCACGTCCAGGTTAGATTGTCCCAACTCTCTTCTACCCGCCTCTTACCTTCACAAGCTGAAGGATATCCAGAACTTTGCAGCTCATGTCCTTTCCTATACTAGGCTCTGCCAGCCTATCTTCACCTGGTTCCACATCCCCTAGCGGATCGAGTTCAAGATTGTCATCCTAACCTTTAAATGGTTCCATGGTCTTCCCCCACCCTACTTCAGTGACCTCCTCAAACCCTATCAACCAAGCCATGTCCTCTCATCAGGCATCAACCTGCTTCACTATTCCTGCCCTACTTGCTCCACCCATCGGTGGTTAAGTTTCAGCCCCCTTTTTTAAATGCTATCCCATAATTCCTTCGACTCACCGCTTCCCTCACCTCCTTCAAGGCCCTGAAGACCTTCCTCATTGACCGTACTTTCGGCCATCTTTCCCCACCTTAATCCCCCATTACCAGCTTGGGAGCATACCCTGGACTGTCCAGTGTCTTGGGACATCATCCTGACATGAAAGGCACAATATAAATGTAAATTTGTATTGAATTGCAACATCTTACCACGGTTATACTTGATTTTAGAAGATTTAAAACGGAATAAAACTGACCTCCGATATGTCGTTTATTAAGGTACAAATATGCATTCCAAATAAAGGCTATCATAAACAAAACTCCCAACACATTAATTTGGATATATGCTGTTCTAAGATGGTGTCAGATTCCAGGCCTAATCCACCCCATTGGAACAATCCAATCTGCTCAATCTGCCTGCTTTAGGGGATGCATCTGGCCTACACTATCTACCATCTGTAGTTTCTGCATGTTGGATTTAAACAAATAATAACTTGCAAAATAAAATCAGCAATAGAGAAGCCTGCTGAAGTATACAGGGCAGCTGGACCTACTGATCAATGAGTATCGGGATGGAAATTAGAAGAACATTCCATTGTGGGGAAAGAAGTGCGAGCAAATTAAGTTATTACATATTTTAATAGATTATTACAAAAGTCATGAATTCTATTACAAGAGTCGTGAATTATTTGTAACTTTCTCTCAGGCTGAAATCATCTTGTTTGTTTTTCTCCAGCACCTATAAGCTTCTGTCTTCTATACTTTTATCCTACATTGTTGCTTGCTCAGGATGAGTCCAGAGATAATCATTCAAAGTTTTCAGTTTGGACACAAAGCTAAATGTCACATCCCACATCCTTCACAAGGGCAAAATTTGAATGCATTCACAACTCTGTAGCACAAGTTTTTTCCTGTACCAGTTCCTATACCAATAACACCCCTCCACATGAAAGTTAAGTAGTTCCCTCTCTTTCAGTGAACAGAAATGTATCCTTGTTTTAAAATTCCCCTCCAGTCCTACTCCATTATCTGTGCAATCCTCTTCAGTGTCCCAGTTCACATCTATGATATTTTGTCTGTTTATTGTTCAACCCCTTCCTGGAAGCCAAGTCTTCTGTCAGCACATCTGTTTGTCCTGGAACTCTCTTCTAATACCTCTTTCCTTTTTGTGTACAATTTAGCTGCGCAATCCCTCTTCCCTGCTTTTAAATCTCGTTGACTAAGTATTTAGCTGCCTCTAACTTTCTACCATTTTTACTCGGTGCTCATGCTCCATGAATGGTGCTGTACAAAAACAAGTTATATGTAGCATAATATTAAAAACACATATTTTCATCATTAATTCCATTAATGATCTGTCACCCTTACAAGCAACTAGCAAATTAAAGTGTTGGTTATATACGTCACAATGACCAAAAAGACAGTAGTTTCAGTAGTTCAATGCAAATATAAAAGGAACATGAAACTTAATACTGACCCTAATCATTTTAAATGCCTGCAAACTGTTCAGTGAATATCCTACAAATTATTGCTTTCATTAAAAAAATCAGGGAAATGTGGCTTTAATTTGTATCCCACAAAGACAGTTTCAGAATGATTTAATCAGAAAATAATATAATTTCCAGCAATACTTTACTTTGATTTGAACTCAACCTTGTTTTTCTAATCCTTCCTTGCGCAAGTGAAATTTGGACAAAAAGGTAAGATTATATCAGCTAAGAGGAGATTGCTTTTACTTTTCTGGATTTCTTTTTAGATTTGCATTCTTATCAATAGAGTGGTGTACTTGGTTAATACATTTCCATTTATAAAATATGGATTGAACAGATTTAACAAACAAAATCCCTGTACGAGTAAAGACTTAAAGCAGACAAGCAATTAATTTTGACAAAGACAAAGTAAATCTACATCAATGCAAGTAGAGGAAAAAAGAGACTGACCATTCTTGCAGCAGATGTTAAATTTTCCATTTCCTCGTGGGTCACCCAGACATTTCCTGAGGGCTAATTACAAGGCCCACATAGAGCCATTGACAATCCACATGAGGCAAGCAGTGTTAAAGAAGAAAGGCAGCACCACTGTAAGCCAATAGCGTATAAGCATCACAATGAGCACAACAATCTCACTGCAATAGTGAGCAAGTATCCCATAAGTTCATGCTTTGCTTACAATACATCCACGATCCCAGCATTTTTTTCAATTGTTTCAAACTGCACACAATGAACAGCTAATCAAAGGTTATGAAAAATATAGACTTGGAATAGTTATTAGAAGAAACACAACAGTTCCAAAGAATTTGAAACAAGACATTGATTGTTAATAGTTTCCTGTTGCTTGCTGATTAGGAATAAAAAAAGGTTTCACACACAGAGAACTAATACCAGAAATATATCAGATTTCACCTGGAAGCAATCCACAAACTTAACATTGTATTCAAAGCTGTCAGGGGTTGAATATTACCTCTAAGACCGAAATTTGGATAAATTATCATTCCTTTTCAGATATGATAAATTTATTTTGGGACATGAGAATGATATGAAAATGAACTCATTTGCAGCTTCTGATTTCTTGATTGTAGTTACTTTTCCTTTTTCCTTTGCTATAAATCTGATCTTTATCTGGTAGGCATTCAGGGAAATTCTAAATTATATATTATTGAATTCTAAATTCTAAATTAAGATCAATCAATTTTTAATATTCAAAATTCAAACATACAATGTGATCAACATAAATAAAAGTACCGTTGTGGTTGAAATCTGATAAGTTTTCTCTGGTAAAGTTGCCTATTGTTAATGACTATTAAAAAACTTTTCTCAGAAAATCTCACGGATTATAAAATACTGTGCTATGCATGGTAGGAAACAAATTGAATTTTGTTTTAACAGCAAGTACTTATTACATCAGGGTAGTGATTCAAAATGTTTTTGAACCTGGCAATAGAAGGGAGCTATGGAAATATAAAATGTATAGGAAAACACAAGTTAGCAATTACATAGCTGACGACCAAATGTCAATGCTAGTTAAAACTTAGGCTTCACAAATGAACCAAACTTTCACTCATGCGAGCGCCACAAGAATTTCTCCCTCTTGGAGGTAAAGCTTTATTTATATTGTAAGGCAGTTTCACTAGCAAGAGTGAGTAAATGAAAATATAGTAAAAATATCCTTGGCTTGCTGCTTCCCATTCCGCTTCCTTCCTGTAAGTGGTATTCATTTTGAACTGTTTCTAACATGAAATAGTATGATTATATCACAAGTAGAGGTATACAGTAATGATAGGTTATTATCCAAGATGCAGAGTATTGATGCTGATGGACGTCTGCTCAGAAGTAACAAAAAATTCTCCCCCTGGTCGGTGAATGAGTAAAACATATCTAGTAGGGTCAGGGAAGCAGTTTACACAGATGCTTTCTGAAAATAATGAAATCATATGTATCCATGCAACTGCTTAGGAATAAAATATTCCAGCAGTCTGGCATCCCCATTGCTTTTTATTGACAAAGCCCAATAAAAGTACTATAAAAAGTAACAAGAACTTAGTGGAAAATACAGACTCTAATTACCCTAGCAAGAATAACCTGTAAATAATATTTTATTTGCAGCTGATGAAACAACATGTTTGGCCCACTATTGAAAATTCAATGCTTCACATCAAGATTTTAAAATGGTATATTTTTGAAGTTTCATGCACTTACACATAGTTAGTACACCTGCAAACTAGACCCCCTTTGATTCAAAACGAGCAACACATCCAGATTTGATTGTCTTCGTTAAGTGAATTCTGTCAGTTATTAGCGGAGCGAATTGATGAAACTCATGAAACAGCTGAAAGCCCCAACTCTGACCAGGAGGAGATCATGACAGAACATTGTTCAATTTGAATCAACCCTCATCATGGTTAATAATGGGCCATCATTGGCTTAACTAGATTGTCACAATGCAGGATCCATGCGAGTAAGGGATAATTGAGAAAATGGGAAAGAAGCATTTGAATATAAACCGCAGAATACATTGACACTTGAAACAGTGCTATTTCAGGAAACTCTGGTAAATAAATTAAAAGTTTACCTTGTATGAATTGGAAAAAAATCAAGCTTCCTCCCACTAATTTCTTGATGTTCTTGCCTTCTTTTAAGCCCTCCTTTTATGGTCACAGTAGCTACCAACTTGCTTCCAGGTCTCATTTTTATGATGTATTGAGGCTTACACAGTGCTTCACCTAAGTCCTGGTCAAGTTTGGTAACATTGTGTGGGCAATGGTGGATACAAACTTGTGGCCAAAAAGTCTAAGGTTGGCTGTAATATGGATTTCTATTGGAAACTACAATTCAATATGATTGTACTGACACCTAATGCATCTTTATGTAGCGTAAAGATGGAAATAACCATAGAATATACTGACTACTAACTTGTGGGTTAATCCATACATATACATATAAAAATCAATGCATCAATCCTTCAGACATTGGACAATAATGAATACTCTGTGTGTTTATTGGAAGCCTTACCACACACGTCTGTTTTACGAAAACCAAATACTAAATATACTAGATATTGAAGTGGTTAAAACCTCCTATAGGCACACCTTTGAGGTTCATTGTTGTCTTTGGTTCTGTAGATTGGAAACAATAAGGAAACCTGCAGAATGAATACTTAATTTGCGAATAACAATTAGTCAACGAGCAGGAGTAAGAAAGAATAACTAAAATTTCAAAGTAACATCCTGCTTAAGTATATCAGGAGTTCAGTCAATCACAATATATCTATGTGGTATGGTTTAGGCCGCGACTTAAATATCACAAGTCTACTATTAGTAACATTCTGATCACATGTTGAACTGTCAAAGTTAAGGAACAAAGTACGATACAGAAAGATTCGATGCTAGGAACAAAATCAGCTACCATCCTAAATTCAACAGCAAGTTACTTTTCTACAAGCCTGCAGTACTGAAGTCGCAAGTAAGTTTATTCTAGTTTTGTGCACATCATAATGCACTACTTTCAACTGTCAGTTTACTTTACGAATGTGGATAGACTAAACAAGTGCAACAACAATAAAAAATAGTAAGAATAACCAAGTCAACTTTTTTTTAAACAGTCCTTATAGATATAAAGAATAACAGGTAGTATTATGCAATTTCCAGATTGCAATCTAATGTTGGGTATCTGGTGGGATTACTCACAAACTACTTGAGTTTCATTCATACAGTTGAATTTGTCATCTCACCCATTTGATTACAGCAAATCCTTGCATTCACTCCCTGCTATCTACACATATTGCCTATGTTTTCACCTCAGAAAATGGAAGTAAGTGTCACAGGGTGTCATGCAGACAAAAAATGATAAACAACACTCACTGTTCTAGATGTTGGAGGTGCTGATGGGCTGGTTAGTGACACCATCTCCTGGATTGCCAGCCTGAGTTTTAAGCGATGAAGAGGGTTACTAATTCCGATTTCCCTCTGTATCTCAGTGTCGGACAAGGCAGACATGATGGCACCACTTTTCACATTTGCACGACAAGCAGCAACATACCATGCTGGCATCCCAAGCCACAACTGTGCAAAGTAAAAGCACATGTATTAAACAGGAACACAAATATTTTCAGATGTGGAAATATTCAGTAAGTAAGAGTCTTTAAAGTGCTCTGGGACGCTACCTTGAGTGAGGGCGTTATATAAATGCAAGTTGTTGTTGCTGTTGTGTGATACAATATATATGTAATTCATATTCAGTTAAAATATTTGTAAAAGACGATACATCCGTTTAAATCTCATTGGATTTTTTCTCACTTTTTTTTGCTTCGGTAAGTGCCTTTGTTAAAGGTTATAATTAAAAGAAGCTTCTTACAATAATAAACTTAAATTAAATATAAATTTCTTCTGATTTTGAAACTCGTGGTATGAAAATACTATGAAACATCAAATTTACCCAAGTAGGCAGCAGACTGACTCATTCAAAATACATTTATTTAGCAACTTTGTCAATTCAAGTTGTACAGTCCTGCTCACTGCTAGGTTAAAATTGTACTTCAGTTATCCATTGAGCATCTGTTACAACAACAACAACAAGATTCCATTTATAAAGCGCCTTTCACGTCAGGAGGACGTCCCAAGGCGCTGCACAGTTGGGTCATGACCCGAGCAGGGGGGAAATGGTCAGGGTGAGGGAAGGGAGGGAGCAAGGAGGGGGGAAATGGTCAGGGTGAGGGGAGGGAAGGGAGGGAGCGAGGAGGGGGAAGAGAGTCAAGAGGGGAGCTGAAGGCACGGTCAAAGAGAAAGGTTTTGAGACCGGCCTTGAAGGAGGAAAGGGAGGAAGCAAGGCGAAGGCACTGGGGGATGGAGTACGGGCAGGTAGGTAGGGGGATAGTAGGTCGGAGAGGTAGGAGGGAGCAAGGCCGTGAATGGCCTTGTAGGTGAGGATGAGGATCTTGAAATCAATCCTCTGGGGGATGGGGAGCCAGTGGAGGCGAGCGAGGGTGGGAGTGATGTGGTCCCGAAGCCTGGTGCGGGACAGTACACGAGCTGCAGAGTTCTGAATGACGTACTTTATAAAAGTATGACATCTTAAATACCATTAGATTTGTTTGTGTGTTTCCTGTTCGTGTTTTTAAAAGTGATTTCTGTTTTTGTTTTCTCTTACTTTATTGTTATCCACTTTTATAAAGTACGTCATCTTTTTTACCTGACATTGCTTTCACTTAAATATTTGCCCTACTTCAACAATCTTCTCCAGTTTGGCATGTTTAACAATTTGGGTTAGCTTGACTTCCACAATCACAGTTAGTATTGTTCTTGTACCTGCCAGGAGCGGTTGAGGCTCAAGTAGGATAAAGTGGGATAAATAAGTTAATATTTTCTTCTTTGATAGCACTACTTAGTTCCATTTGATGTGTGTGGTACACAGCTGAGAATGATTGCCTAGTAACAAACAACCCAGTAACTGGAACTTGTGATCCTATTATTGGGATTCAAGCTGCCAACTATAGTAATTACTTAGGTATTATTTTAAATTGATTCTATAAAAGAGAATACATAAATCCGCTGGTACCATTGAGAAGATGGCTATTCAATCCTTGTGTTGGACATTTATTAAGAAGTAATTTTCCCTTTCCATCCTTAGCATAATCACTCATGTTTATTCTATCCCTAAATACTGGAGAAGAAGAATAATAGTCTGCATATAATCTTTCCAAACATAAAGGTTTTAACTGGTTAAAAATAACTAACAGTATGTATAATGCAAAAATATCCAAGATTTGTTTTTGGTCAACCCTTAGGAATTGAAAGCCTTTTGTGATACTCATGCATATGTATGATCTATAATATAATAAAGCAAATAATAACTGGTCTTATATTTTAGGAAGGTCTTCTAAGAAACTAGGAAGTAAGGAGAATCAATTAATAATTAATCTAAACTACAGGTTTACCTCAAGCCACGCGACTACTGTTGGTCCATCCCACTGTGCAAATGGCAATCCTTTCCTTCGAGCCTCCTCTAAGAGTTCATGCCTGTAAAGCACATCATGTAAGTAAGTTGCTCTCACTGATCGTTTCAGTTGTCATCCCCTCTTACTGACACTGTGAATTCAGCCCGACAACTATAGCGATTTGCTGCTAATGGTAAGTACAGTATTAACATGATTTCAGTCAGCACAAACCTGTAGGTCCAGGAACAATATGATTTGCACCTATACAATCCAAATACAACAAATTGCACTGGGTTTAATTCCCCCATTCTTCTTTCAAACATTTGCTTGGACTTGCAGATTTTTAAATTCTGTGGGACCCCTTTCATATGGCATATGCTCATGTTTATTCAACTGTACGTTGAAGTCATTCTGTGTGCAATCATTATATGCATATAAGCTGTATTTTCTTGGTTGAACACTTTTACATTTCTAATTTAATTTTAAGCATGATGAACCTCATTATATACTCTACTTATAATTTTATATTGTTCTTAATATTTTATTTTATCTGCATTTTAGATATAATATCTTTCACTTCCTACAGTAGTGTCCACGGCCCCAAATTAAAACGGTCATCTATTTACATGCACCTTCTTGAATATAGACAAGAACATCTTCAAATCTCTCCTGACTCTTCCACATTACTGTCAAATCTTAAGCATTTCCATTTCCCCCTTCTTTCTTCCTCATATTAGTTTCTTTACACTTTTTGTTTTCACAATATTGTATTAAAAATAAACACACTCACTGCGTCACATTCACTATTTCACCAACTACCTTTTAATACCCTTTCATGGATGTAATAACTCGTTAGTGACACATTGGGTGCTTCACTGTGCATGTAGTCAGTGTTTTTATTTTGGTAACTTCTCCCAAATGATTTTTTCTTCTCATCCTGATCCTACATTCTTTCCCCTAACCTATAATAAACTGCCATATCATATAGGTTCAGTTATGATGAAGAATCCCATATTGTTTAAGCTCTTATGGATTTCCAACACTTAATTTTTATCTGCATTGCACGTTCCAAGTAAATCATGGATCTTTCCTCTACCCTCTCAGTTTGGGTTCAAATACGTGAGGTATAGTGGTCAAGAAAATTGGTTGGCTTTAAATCCCATATCCTGTGGTTAGGTTCTTGTTCATGACAATATTTCTGGCAAAATATACAACAAAAACAACAAAATTACATTTGTATTGCGCGTTTCACGTCGGGAGGACATCCCAAGGAGCTGAAAGCTTTAAAGAATATCGGTGTGAATCTTTAAAGGATTGTCATGATGCTTGCTTCATGCCAGTTTAGTATGGCTGACAACCTGCTTGTTGGAAGATAGCAGCAGAATGCTTCTGATATGTTGGCAGCATAACTATGGTTGTTGTAAGTAGCTGTTCTTGTCTTAGATGCTGGTATGCACCTACTACATGACTTAATAATAATAATCACATTTGAAATAGCACTTATAACATTGGAAATGTCTCAAAAAGTGCTTCAAAGTTTCTTTAAAGTTGACGTACTGTGTATTTGTGGACATACACGGCATCAATTTGTATACAGCGAATACCCACAAACAGTTATGAAATCACTTCCCGTTCTGTCTTGCTTGGCATTTAATGCCATTTTATGAAACGCTCCAAGACATTATCCTATAATAAATATAAATTGTTTTAATCCTTCACAATACCCACAAGATTTTTTTTTACCTAGAATTGAATTTTCGTGTTGAAAATTTTGTGCTGTAATTTGCACAAACGACGAAATACCAAACAGGATTTTTTGTATTTGCATAAAAAATTGCATGAAACGAAATCAATGCAGATAGAATGAAATTAAATATTAGTCTGATAGGCTATTGTAGTGACTGTAGGAATATGCAATAAAACATGTACAGCTTACAAAAAATAAAAATGAAATAAAATGACATTTAAAAAACTAAAAATGAAACTCACCCAAATTTGCTTTTCATTTGATGGAGATGGATAGAAAAGAAAAGCGCAGAGATATTAATGTGAACATGAGTAACAATTAACAAAGAAAGGAAAAAATGAACCAAGTCACACAAAGTAACTTTGCACTCCAGCACAAAAAAATGGATGGAGTTTGATAATGAATACGGGTTAGCACACAAATTAATGACCTCAACTTGTCTCTACAGTTAGGCAGTAGCCAGATAGGCTTGTAGAGCTTCGGGTATACAGTGCGCTTTGTACTGAGTAGACTTATTTGTGCATTTATTTAATAAAGAAACCTTATCTCACAAAGCGGGTGATGGGCTGGCCCAGTTATCAGTAAATAAACTGTCCTTGGTAGGCAAGGTCATTGTATCGCCTGTAGGTCTGAACTTTATCAATGAATTTCAAATGGTATTTTTCCAACATCTCACACTACCCAGATCAGTACACGTACTGATGAGAGAAGAATAAGGTGTTTTTCGCCACTGATGGAAGAATCACCTATTTACTGGATAATCAGTGAACAGTTTCTGTTATGATCTACAGTACTGCACAAATAAATATTGTATGTTTGAAAGAGAACTTTAAAGAAATGCAACTGAAGGATTTTTTTTAAAGTTAAAGGCAGATTTTCTAAATTACATTCATGATTTTCCAAGTTAAATGAAACTTGAAAGGACGATAATTCGGATTAATTAGCCCAAATATATATAAAGAGATCTTGCTGCTATATAATGCGTGTGTGAGTACAACCATCCTGTAAAGACACACTTTATCACAAAAAAATTACCTGCTTAGATAGGTGTTAAATTGATTGTTTCTCATTCATTTATATTTAGTGCAATACTTCAAGTAACATATGTAGATGAATTAGCTATGCACCAAGGAATGAACTGCTGCAGAAAATCAGTTTGGAAACACTCCAAGTATTAAATACTTTTTGCCCAGTATCATGAGTCTTAGAAAATTCAGAATAGTTTTTGGAAGTTGCTAGGTCAGACATTAATAGAACCACACATATCTGTAGCTTGAACACTTATGAAGGATATTAAATCAGATATTTATAGTATGAACCCTTTGTCCATGAGGAAGCACTAATAATCTACTATTGCATTAGTAATGTACTCCTGCTGAAGTAAATGCTACAGCATTACACATCCATTCTGAAGCATATGGGAGCTCAATACCACCCTTGAGAGCACTTCCTAGAAAACATTGGGGCAGTGTAAACAGATCTTCAGCTGCTTTACGACCCACCATGATTATGACTAAACAGTTGCAATCAGCAGACGACACCAGTATGAGCCATAGAGCACACATCAGCACGTGAAAACAGAGTTGTGGCATGACTCAATATGTGTGCAACTAATCCAGCAAAGACAAGCCACTTCACACTTGTACACTACTATAAATGCAAAAGTTCTGTTTGCAGCAAAGATCTAAACTTATCTGTAGGAGAAGAATATATTTTCTGTTGTTTTGCTGCCTGAATAGCGGTAGTATGCAGAATAACACTGGGCTCTTGGATTCTTTTTCACAAGTCAATGCAAGCTCTGTTCAGTGAATGGAAGGGTAACAATAAAGTATCTACATAACAGGTCAACCCTGATTATATTTTGGCCGAGTAGAGTGCAATTTGAGGGTACAATTACAACCGATGATGCCAATTCATAAGATTTGTAATGTACCTTTTTTTCCGTGCTTCAGTATTTCACTTGAATGTATCTGTGTTTCACACAATTAATAAAATAAAGCAAATAAATTATAAAATAATGGGCCTTCAAAATATCTTCAAAATAGTACTGCAAGTGGGGAGATTTGGTGAGCGAATTCCAGAGAGCAAGGGCAAAAGTGCTGAAAGTTCACTCGTGATGCACATAAACCAGCTGTCATTTTGAAGACCTTTTTCATTTGAAAGAAGATAACAGGAGAGTAGATGATAAGTGTGCAGTTTGTGCTGATCTGTCAGCACCTGCTGTGAGAATTTGTCATTAAATGTGTGCTGGTAAGAAATCCTCTAATTGGTATTGTAACATTGTTGAATAAATTGCCAAACTATTATTTTAAAAACTGTAGCAACAGAAACCATGGATCTGCTGTCAAACCTAGCCATTTTAAATTACAGACCACAGAAAGAACTGTGGTTCTTTACACAGTTTTACTGCTAAACCATATGTCTTATGGTGTATGTGATGAAACAGAAGCTGTGTAACTTGATTTTCTCTGAAGTGAAAGTACGTAACATTTGTGAATTACTAGGGTGTCTGACAGCTCATTAAAAACTCTCTTCTGGTTATGCTGAATCAGAAAGCACTACGTGATTTTAAAGATATAAATACAAATGATCAAAGCAATGCAGATAATGCATTGCAAATTGCCTAGAGAATTATGTTTTCCTTTACGTTCTATGCTCTTGTGTTGTTAGAAGTTTATTTTACTGATGATTCCAGTCTTTCTTCTAATTGGAATACCAGGGCAGAACTAGGGCAGAAGGTGTGCCTAAAGCCATTAGGTCAGTATCCTTATGCGTCTTTTTCACAATGACACTACTTACATGAAGTTGTGCTTTGATAAACTGCATACTGATTACAATGTCAAGTTATTTTAGTTATTTGTCAAAATCCCTTGAATATTCTGGCATGATGGGAGAGATGGTTTAATTACTAACTTATCGACAAATTCTAAAAACAATTTATTAAAAAGTGCTTCATGAGTTATGCATCAGAATGACACTGTATAATCGTAGGATTCAAGCTTATCCTGATCGCTAAAAATAGCAATTTATTTTGTCTATAAAATAGGTGTGCAAGCAATGTGGGAAAAACATTTTGGCTTGCCAAAGATATTCAGTTGTAATGATTTTCTTGCAAATTTTACTGATTGTCAAAAGGCTTATTGATAAATAATTAGCTAAATGTCAATTAATATTCAGATATTTGTGGACTAACTCAATCTAGTGGATACACTCTACAGGTCCTGTGAATAAATGGTATACTCCTTGTAGTATTTGCAATATTGTTCGCTAAAAAATGTAAACGGACTAAACCAGAAGAGCAATATTAAAAGTGGGAGTCAATCATTAGCAAGGGGAAAATATTTGATGATGTTAATTCATAGGCAGATCAACTATAAAAGAATGGATATTCGGAGTTATGTTCTTCAGCTGTAACTATATATCATATATATATATGTATTTCATCTTGGTACTATTTAACGTGTATCCGTGATTTGAAAAGACATTCATGAAACACATTCATAAAAATATTATGTTTGAGCATTTCTTCTTAGGAGAATACATTCCTATTGCAATAATAAAACCCCAACACTTTTATTTTCTATTAACTTACTTTTTCTTCAATCTTCTATCTTTTTCTGCTTGTGTCCCTAATTTGCTCAGAGCAAGGGTATCTTGGTTACCAAAGTCTACATCAGAAAAGCCTCCTGCAATGAGGAATAAACTCAGAGTAAATATTTTCATGCAACAAGACTTCATAAAAAATAATCAATGTTTTGCGTGATGTTCTGTTACAGTTTTTATGTCTGCAAGGATTAATCTGAAACTGTGATTTTTTTCTCTGAAAGTCAAGCAACATCAAGCAGTATACATCTGGAATAAAACATAGGTATTTTGAATTGAACTCTGGTCTCACCACAAGTGTCTTGCACATTTTCCCTTTATAAATTTTTCATGGACTCTTTCCTCAGATAAACATCACATACTCAAGTTGGGTCCTGCATTCGATATAATTCACACTACTTCCTACTCTTCAATAAAAACATTAAAATAATAAGAATTTGTAATCAATTTTGCAAAACAGATTTCAAAAATGCATTTCTCTTTACCATTTACGACTATTCTGCAAACAAAAACAGAAGTCACTGGGAACATTCAGCAGGTCAAGCAGCATCTATGGAGAAAGGAAAGTGAGTCAATGTTTCGGGTGCACGACCCTTCGTCAGTTCTGACCTCAGTTCTGACGAAGGGTCATGGACCCGAAACGTGACTCACTTTCCTTTCTCCATAGATGCTGCCTGACCTGCTGAGTGTTCCCAGCGACTTCTGTTTTTGTTTGCAGATTTCCAACATCTGCAGTATTTGTGCTTTGACCACTATTCTGCAGTTTGATTAAGCTAATTTTAAAACATTAATTATTTTCAAATTATCTTAAGAGTTTTACGCAAGGACAGTAATGGCACACAATAAAAATGCACAACATTATGTATTTCTGAAAGTTTGGTTAATAAAACAGGTTTTATTTAACAGATGAAGCTAACCTTGTCCTGACATCATATGGTCTTTGCCAAGTAGTGCTAGTCGAGCCTTTTCTTTTTTGCCAAACAAACGACCTATAGAGGATTTGATTCCTTTCTTCTTTGGTGCTTTGTGGAGGGAGTCTTGGCTACTAGTACTGCTAAAGTGGCTCATTTCTGGGTCTAATGATGTGGAAAATCTGCAAGAAATCAGTTCAAAAGTTGGCTTTTTCTACCATTTCTTCACATTCAATATTTTGGGAATAATTCTTTCCACAATGATGTTGCTGTGTTTGGTGTGATTTAATGCAAATTCATGAAAAATAATGATAACCAAGCTCAGCTTCTTAGCAAACATATGAAAGAAAATAGGTGAAAAATTATTAAATTGAAACAGATATTATTGAAACATATTATTGAAACATATTATTATTATTATATCTTTACAAACAATTTACAAAATAAATGGTTATTTCTAAATCTAACACAAATGGTGCCCCAAACAACTAGACTGTATTTTATCTGCTGGACTGGTTTATTGATCATCTATAAAGAGATTAGGTTTAGTGGATAGATAAAGGACTATCATAGAAGGATATTCTAAAAAATTCCAAACAAAGAATGCTGCTCTGAAATATTAAATACCTGGAATGGAATCATTTGACATAATCCTATGAATTATCTGTTCTTAAATTGAATTTATTGATAAATTGTTGTAAATTTACAAAATCAAAATGCCTGTATTGAAATCATGGCATCTCAAATCCTACAATGTAATTGTAAAGGAAGTCCATTAATGTATCCTTTGAACTGATTACAAGAATAGATCCCCGTCCAAATCTCCTTACCCTCGTATATCATCATGATACGAAGATGGCAGGGTGTGCGTCAGTCGGACTGATCTGGGTGTTGAGGGCGGCGATGTCTCGCATTTTATTGTGGCTTTATCTTCTCGACTATCTTCTTGAACAGCCGCAATCTGAACAGGAAAAAGACTTTGTGACAGCTACATATCTCCATTTTCTGACACTAAAATGACGAGGACAAATTGGCGTTTCAAATGCTTTATTTCTAATTATTCACAACATTTAAATCTCATTGCATCTACAGTAGGCGCTTTTTGCAACTTATATATTTTTCAAAGTTGTACTGAAGGGTGGCAGAGATATACAGTAAACTCCTGATATATCGTCACTCCAAGGGTGACTACGTAAACATGGCTCTGGTGAAACTAGGATGTGCTGTGGACAGAAGGACCAACAGCAACACATTGTGCCTGCTAAGAGTGAGCAGCTGACAATGTGACAGAGTGAACGGACCTTCATAACTCAGTTTATTTGTTAAAAGTACAGTATAAATTTATGTATGGACATATTTGACTATAATAATAATAATCCTTGCATTTTTGATATAAGCATCATATCACATCGTTGAGACATCTCAAAGCACCTATGAAAAAACATTTTGCTCACTTTGCTCATTAACAACCTGAATCACTCAGACTAGCATTAGGCAGAACCTCACAGAAGGCAAGGTCTGAAATTTCTACTCATAGAGATCTTGCCACAACAGTCAAAACAGCGACCATGTGGTTGGCTGAGGATGAGGTGATATTTTCCCACAGTACCAGGCCCCTAATTGCGAGAGTTCGCTGAATGGCCCAGCGCATGGTGCGGCTGCCTGAGCTACACAGGTAAGTTTGTTCTGATGATATATCTGATATTTTACTTACTGGGATGTACATCATGACTATATGTTATAAGCAAGTGATGAAATAAAGGTGGGGGTCCCTTATTCACATTTTGCTTGGGAAATAGCCAGGATTTTGAAAGTATGATGATACAAACCATGTGATGATATAAACCAGTCTTATTATCAGGAGTTCATTGTACTCACGATTTACCTAAAAGTACCTTAATGTAAATCTAATGGACGGTTTAAAATAATTTCATAACTATTGCCCCTTAGATTGTATTCTAAAAAAGATAACACCTGAATCTAAATCAAATACAGTTTCTACAAAAATAAAAATACAACAATTTACATTTATATAGTGCCTTTCACATCAGAAGGAAGTCTCAAAGAGGTTGGGGGAAGAAACAGCCAAGTTAGAATAGGTAGAGTAATTACCTTTCTCCGATGCTTCCTGAGATCACTAGGCTGTTAGATGCAAAACAAAGGTATGAATTAAGCAGATAAAGATATAAATTAAAAAAGTAAAGTACATTATTCTTTCACTTTACTGTTTGACTTTGAATAGCAGTGCACTACGTGATAAACACTACACAGAAGTGTACATCTCACATGTCTGGCAACCGACATTCCCAAAATTTCTGTTGAAAAATTCTGGTGATCATCCTTTATAATTGAATGCTAAGCTTTCTGCTATTGAAACATTCAATTGCAGGAGATAAACAGCAAATTATTTTATATAATGTGTGACACATTTTAAAAATGCATAGCAGAACTTTTGAAAACCATGTTAGCATTTGCAAAATTATTCAGAAATAACGACCCCTATCCGCCTAGAATCCATTCACCTTAACTCACCAATGTCATGATCCCCATTCGATCAATATCCCGGGCAGGGCTACGTGCTGGAAATTTGGGTGTTGAACATCCACTGAGAGGAGGAGAGGAGCTAGCTAATGAGGAAGCAGTGACAGAGCCTGTAATAGAAGTCCCAGGGTGCACTCTTGCCAAATTCAAGCCTTCAAGGCTAATGCTACCCACTCGATTCTCAATTTCCTCAGCACGGAGCTCAGTTGACTCTTTTTCTTCCTGAATCAACCTGAAAAAAACCCACAATTGCTTTCTAAAATATGCCCAAATGAATACATTTTTAGGTTAAAAAGTCATGCATTTCTATTGTCTCTGGTAAAATTATTGATTGTATGAGTATTAACTAATGATTGTTTCACTATTAATTTTAAGAGATGAAAATGGGTCATTCACTGAAATGTTATCCTTGTTTAAGCAGCTTCAAATAAGATAACAGAGATGCCATGGAGTGGTAAGATGTAGTTCACACTCTTCATTCTTCATACTGTGAGCTTGATAATGGTGTGAAGGAAAAGCATGAAGCTGGGATAGGCATTTTCAGGCAGAGGGCGAAACCTTGGGCAAGTTTCCTTACTCCACACACCTAATAATAATCTCTCCAAAACCAAAACAATAATAAAATTGGTCATTTTCAATCTACGACTGTTTGTGGGACATTGCTGTGCGCAATTGGCTGCCGCGTTCGCCCACGGGTGTACAGTCAATTCACTTTGCAGTGTGTTCTGTGAAGCGCTTTGGGACGTCCTCCCGACGTGAAAAGCGCTATATCAAATGCAAGGATTATTATTATTATTATTATTATTCTCCAGAGAGAAGAATGAAAATTAACAAGCAAGCCAGCCATCGCCATGTATATTTTATTATACACTCATTCAACATATACAGATAAGGCACCTTCTGTCAAGTGGCATTGGGAACTCTGTGTTTTTGCTGTCTCAGACTTACTGAGGTCATTTACCTGCTCACATTGAATTTAAATCGGTTAAAAACACAGACTGAAGCTAGAACTTTTCAGATCTGTATGACTTGCATCCTACCAGCCATCCCTCACTTCCAGATTTTCTTGCTTTAATTTCAGATGCTTTTACTGTGGGCACCGTGCATCATTATCTATCAAACAATATCCCTACATGTAGCCTCTATCCTGGCTAGCACTTCTCTGAGCTGAGCAGTCGCAATCCTAATGGTGTAGCTATTATTGGTTTATATCACACACACACAAAATGTATTCAAGTGTATTATCGAAACCTTTAGCAGATTGTTGCAATCATGTATTTGGATTACACAAGGCCACAAGATTGTTTTTAGATGAAGAAGGACCTTCGACCCATTCAAAGTTATACCTATTGTGACAGCAAATCAGATCAGTCGGTGTAATCTATCCATCTACTAATGCTACGTATAAAAATGCCCCCTGGGCCACATGGGTTTGTTATTGTTCAAAAGCATAAAAACATGAAGACACTGGATTAGTGCTTACCTGATTTCTTTGTTAATAGCATCGAGTTGTTCTTGCAACATCATAGCAAGCGTCTGAGCATCAGAATGTCCACTGGGAGAAAGAAGATCCATGGAGCTGAATATGGTTTCTCGGTCATCATCATCAATGTCCGACAGTTCAGTGTCACTCTCAAATTGATGGCTGCTCAACAAACGAATTGGTTGAGATCTGCCCCAATCATGTTCACAGAGACTTTGCACCTGCAATGCAGAGAAACAGAATTTCATGAACATGATCTTCGTATGGGTCAGCTACTATGCTTGCAAACTTTTATGAATTTTGTTTAAGTATTTAAACTATTTAAGTATTTTCATTGTAATATTCACAAGCTATTCGAAATCTATCAAAGGATTTCTGTTGTATTTTCACTAGCCATTAGATATCCATCAATTCTAAACCTTGTTACACAACAATACACAACAACTATAGCTTTGAATTGCAGTAAACTCATAAAATTAGTTTGAAGAAGGTCGCTCGGCCCATCTGATATCATCCTTCCAGAACACCCATCCACTGTCCCCTCTATCACAGCATCAAGCTGATTTTTAAATGAGTCCAGCATTCATTCGTTAATTATAATAAAAATTATATTTGGTATAGTGCCTTCCATGTGAAATGTTTGAGGACTCCAGTGCTAGTGTGTTATAGCACAGTTGTACTAAAAAGCACTACACTGCTGTACAGTGCAGTGACTGTGTGATTTTGTGGCTAAAACAGTGGCAGCCAATTTTGCACTCGGTGAATGACAAATTTTACCTGAAGGATTGTTGGCCAGGACACCGGGATAGATTCCTGTCTCTTTTCAAAATATACCACAGGTTCTGTCTTGGTGCATTCTGTATTGGTGCATTCAACTTCAAGATCCTCACACTTGTGTTTAAATCCCTTCACTCTTTGGCACCTCCCTATCTTTCTGACCTCCAAACTCCTCAATCTACCACCCAGCGCCTCTGCTCAACTGGCACCGTCCTCCTGCTTGTCCATTGCACTATGGGAGGTCACACTTTCAGCCATTACGCCCTGAACTCTGGAACATTCTCCCTCAATCCCTCCGCCTTTCCCCCTCTCTCCCCTTTTTCAAGTCCCGCTGAAGGCCTTCCCCTTCGACTGTGCTTATGGCCAAATCTCTGCCCGGCTCGGAGTCAGGCTCAGCCACTGTTAAGCCCTCTGAGACTCTACCCTGTGTGTGGAGGGTGCTGTATAAGTGCAAGTTGATGTTGTTCTAAAATATTGATCTGGATTTGCTTTTTCAATCCCACTTAAAATTTTATACACTTCTATGTGGTACCCTCTGAGTCATCTTCTCTCAAGATCAAAGATCCCCAACTTACACATTCATTGTCCAAGCTCATTGCCTTTTGGCGACAATATCCTAAACAAGCAATTCAAAACAGAAAAATGTACCATTCTGTTTTCATCATAATAGTTTCCCCTTTTGTAAGGGAAAAAACGCATTCACTGCAAACACTTATCAAGATGTTATTCTATCAGAAAAGAAGGACTTTCAAATTTAGAATTTTTTGAAATGTGTATCACAGACCTTTAGCTCATCTCTCCGGCCTGCCGAGCGCTGTGGTCTCCTGAGCACATTCGAAGATCTAAAATGATCAGGCTGACTGTCTATCAATGATCCCATTGAATATCGAATATCAGATGAGGTATCCATATGTGACCTAGGAACAAAAATGTTTAAAAGTAAAAAACAATTCCAACTGGTAAATATTTAACCAATCTAGAAGTCATGCTTATAAATCGGTCACAGAAATCTCAAAGCGTATCACAGAATATACAGTAACGTGATTTGACTGTGTATTTTGTGGGCAGCGGCCATTGGGCACAGCAGTGTCCCACAAACAGTCATGGGTTGAGTAACCATATCATTGTTATTATTAGTTTTTTGAAGGGATTATTATCCCCAGAAAAGGGATCCTCCAATTGACTAACAACTGGGTTTCTACTTACTGCTAAGTAAACACACAGTGAGGAGGAAGGAAATTTGCCCAAAGTCTCACCCTGCCCGGGAATCTAACCCAGGTCCTCTTGCTTGCGATGCGAGTGCTCTAACTACTAAGCCACAGGACTCCACCTGCTAGCAAATGGAAGATGTCCTATGGTGTGAAATATATAAGGAAGATGTCCAATCAGCTGCGAGTTTATATTTTTCAGATTTCAACAATGACATCTTAGTCACAGGTCTTAAATAACTCATCTTGAATTATTACAGTGGTGATGGCAATGAACAGAAAGTAGCAATGAAAAATAACTCCGATGGGGGGGAAGGTGCAGGGATCCAGTTTACACTAACTATTTCACCCAGAATACTACAGGTATTTGGGAATATCACTCTACGTGTGAGAATTTGTAATTGTGACACCAGTTTGCAACTACTGAATGTCCTTCAATATTCACATAGCAGTTAATTGCAATTTTCATGTTGCTCTCAAGCCTTTTTGGCACTTTGCTGACTTTTGAAAATCACAATTTGCAGCTTTGCAAACATCACAACCGAGATGGCTCTCGGAAATCACAAAAACGCACTTTCCACCTTTTTGTTAGAATGCAATATATTCTTATGAAACAGATAAATCTACAGCAAAAACAGTCGCTTTAAATAAGTACCGCAAAAACGCTTGCGGTACAATACAAAATTACATTTGTATCGCGCCTTTCACATCAGGAGGATGTCCCAAGGCGCTGGACAGTCAGGGCAGTAAACTAGGAATATTATTCTTGTTCTGAAGTTCTGTTTTCAGTACTATTTTATAGACACTTTTTTACTTTCTAATTACCTGGACATTGTTGGGTCCATTAAAGCACCAGTTTGCAATTTCATTTGTTCAATATCGGAATGCATCTTTTCAATTTGTTCTGCTAATCTTTCCTACAAGGAATGATAAGTAAATGGATGTCAGTACAAATACATAATCATTTAAATAAATACAAATGTAATAACAAACGTGAATCCCAAAGAACAAATGTAATTAACCAGGAACAATATCCATAACAAATAATTCTGAGTTCTTTTAAAATAGTATATATTTGGGTGAAATAGTTGCTTCCTTTCTTCTCTGAAATGCAGTAAATGTTTCTAATGTATCAATCGTAGCATCTGTTGCCAAAACATTAGAAATGCTTTCACCAATAATAATGGTTAATATTTTTAAGGCTGCCTATCTGACAGAACTAGGTTCTACAAACCAGGTTCAGATCAATATCACAATCCGTAAGGAGCTTAACTGGCTCCGGCCTCCTGCATGTCCCTCGTACCCTCTGTTCCACCATCAGTGGCCACATTTTTAGTGGCCACTATGTTCTGAAACTCTGGAACACTCTTCCTCTATCCTTCAGCCTCACCCCTTCCTCCCACAGCTTCGCCTGAAGACCTTCATCTTTGACCGTGCCGCTGGTCATCTCTGCCCTCCCCCCAGCTCGGCGTTGTGCTCCGATACAGTTAAGCAGTCTGGAACGCTACCCTACGTGAGGGGTGCTATATAAAGTTGATTGAACTTGAAAAGTATGCCTTAGTCAGTAACACTCTTGCCTCCAATGAGAAGATTGTGGATTTAGATCCTATAAGAGAACTTGAGCTCATCATTTTTAATAATAATAAATAATACTCCTTGCATTTGATATAGCATCTTATCATGTATTTGAGATATCTCAAAGGGTTTCACAGGATATACTGTAAAGTGTAGTAACTGTATTTTGTGGGCGAAACACGACAGCCAATTAAGCACAGCAGTTGTGGATTGAGTGACATTATTATTATTATTTATTTTGAAGGGATTATTACCCTGGAAAAGCGATCCTCCAATCAACTAGCAATCGACTAATTTTTGTACAGTTCTGGAGGAGTTCTTCATTGTCACATTGTCACTCTCTTTCTGATGTTATGTTAAATCAAGGTTTGTCTGACAGCTCAAGCAGATGTTAAACTTGCCATGACAATATTCAAAATGAGGATACTGTTTTTGGCACAAATCAGTTACTACATTTGTCAGTTATTACGCAAGATGCACTTCAGACATTTTCAACATAATAAGGCACGATAGAAATACAAATAATTTCTATCCTATTCTAACTTATTCATTTGCACATTAAATGCACCTAATTTCACTGCCACAATACTCACTGCTCTGGAGTCAGACCATCTACTTATTATTCAAATAATTGTAGAATATAAAATCAATAAGCATTTGAAACAAAGTACATTCAGTCAACTTGACAGCAAACCAGCTTTCCAAATTCTCTTTCAAGAATCACCTGGTGCATTATAGATTTTAATACTACCCTTATATGGCAAATAATATCCAGTAATTTCAACATTTTATATATTTAAAGTTATTGACTTAAATCACTTCTTAAAATCTTCTAATAGAATAACACAATAAATAATAAAATCAAACCTATTTGCACAGTAAACTGCAGACAATGATTGATCATTTGCAACCTAATCCACTTAGCTCTAACCTCCAATTTCATAGCAGCCTTTAGCGTAACGAAGTATAAATACTCACAATTTATTGAATTGTTGCTTTCTATCTCAGGAATAAGAATTCTTGCCTTTCATACCCAGTGATTATGCCCTTTTGTGTCTTTTTACTGATATGTAATGTTGCTTTAAAACAAAGGATTCCAACGATTTTAGGTTTTCAGTTTTGCACATCTCTCTGTATTCAAAATGTTGCAGTACCATCTGATGTTAACATGCATTACATTGATAGCAGTACCTTATCATGAAGAGATTCTTCCAGCTGTTTCCTCAAATGTTCAGTTTCTTGTATTAGCATGTTCTAAAATAATACAAAAAGGCAAACTGACACTATGTCGAAATTATTCAAAAGCTGACCTGGCACATTGTGCACCAGTAACCTCAGTAAAAATGGACAAGAACTTCATAAATATGTTACTACCATATGAGATAGTCCATCTGCTTAGTTATCAGAGGACTTCTCTCTCTTGACTTGTCATTTCCACTTCACAACCCTCAAAAAATAAATTGGTGTATTTACAAATAGATTAATATTAGTTCTGTGGAAGTGGACATACATTCTTCAGGTTGTTTCTCCTCCCCACTTCTCCCAAAACAACCCAATAGTAATAGCAAGGAATCAATTAGTTATCTGACCACTTGGGTCAGCCTAGATTCCTATCAAAAATATAGACAGTGCATGATATTGTCAATTAATCAATGGTAACTCAGAAAAAAAACTTCTAAAATGAGATTACAGTAAAGATGAGGTTTATAAACTACCTTATCTTCCAATGCAGCCATTCTCTCCTTCAGATGAAGCTGAAGTCGCTCATTAGACTCTGTCAACAATCTATCCACTGTGTCTGACAATCTCTTATTGTGCTCTTCATTCATTTTCTCTCTTTGACGAGCCTACAGTATTTGAAATAAAAAAGAACCATTTAATTCAGATATTTAAGATACAAGAAAGTAAGCTTGAAAACAATTTCTCACGGAGATCCCAAAACAGAAAATTTGAAATTATTTCTGGTTTGGGGAATCAACTACATCATGTTCAGAGCTTTCAATATTGGATAATCTACCATTTGTATTTATTTTGAATTTATTCTACCTGTATTAGGAAAATGAGTCAGAAATTAAACTTAATTTTTTTGACTTCAAGCTGTCATAATAATTTAATAGATAATTTAAAAAGTTACGATAGCATGAAATAGCAGATAGAGGTTTTATTTTTAGAATCTCAATATGATTGTACCTACCCTCTGAAGTTCCTGATTCTTTTCTTCCAGCTGAGTCTCCAAATGTCTCAAACGTTCCTCTATGCTGCCATGTCGCTCTTCAGCCTACAACACAAATTACAAAACTGCAAAGAACTTTTCTTTGTGTCACAGAGTTGAAATGGCTGTTTTTTTTTAATATACATGAAAAAACAAGCCAAGCTCAAGCCCACACTGTCTGCAAACTCATTGCTCAGAAATAAGCAGGTTGCCAGAGAGCATTGCTGAATATTTGTGAACTGGTAAAGCCTGTAACACTCAAGCATCAGTGAAACATTATTCCAGATTCTAATTTTTTTTAATGAGTGATGGATTCAGCCAGATGGAATAACATGCAGGATTTGCGTGTTTAACCACAAACCTACAATTTCAAAATAAAGTCACTCAAGCATAAATCTGCACAATGATTCATTGTGAATAAAACAAACTCTAATCATTAACCAGCAGGACTACCTTCCTAAGAATGGTGATCATTTCTTGCAGTTTTGCCTCCAAAACATAGGGGTAATCATCAGATGTGGTAGAAGAGGTTGGGTCAGACTGACACGTCAAAGAAAAAAAGAGGGACAAATCGAAAAATCAGAACTATAGCCACATAAACTGAACAAAATACAGCACAAAATGTTTGAACCAAAAAGAATAAGTAAAAGCCAAAATGTAATTGTACAATTCCAGCAGCAATTTAATTTATTTGGACTGATATTTATCCTAAAATGTCTTGGTGAAAACTTGTATGTAGTTTTTTTGTGTATAAAACAAAATATTTATTTGGTTGGTTTTGCTCCGCTCGACTGGCTCCGGCCTCTTGCATGTCCCTTGTGCTCTCCATTCCACCATTGGTGGCCGTGCTTTCAGCCACTGCGCCCTGAAACTCTGGAACACTCTTCCTCTTTCCCTCCGCCTTGCCCCTTCCTTCCCCATTTTCAGGTTGTACTTGAAGACCTTCCTATTCGACCGTGCCTACAGGCATCTCCCCCCCACCCCGGCGTTGTGCCACTTACAAGCACTCTGGGATGCTGCACTGCGTGCGGGGTGCTATATAAATGCAAGTTGTTTTTGTTGTCAAATCTAACAAAAACAATTTATATCAATGACTTTGTGGTGGGAATTAATTAATAATGGTCTTATACACAATAATAATCCTTGCATTTGATATAGCACCTTATCATATCTTTGAGATATCTCAAAGCGTTTCAAACCCAGGTCCCTTCGCTTGTGAGGCAAGTGCTCTAATTACTAAGTTACATGACTCCAATTTGCCCATTATATGCTTAGGAACATTTTTATAGTGGGATGAAATGAGGAGATAATTCTTAAGAATTTGGAGAGCTGAAAATGTATGTAATAGTTCCAAAAGCTATATGTGGCTACAGATAATAACTATGGATAATATAGTTTAAGACGCAATCAAAGATCTCCAATAAATATATGGGTAGAATGAAATTAAATAATACTATGGTTAAGTATGACATAAATGAGAGAGACATCACTGTAGATAACTATTCTACTGATTTGTCCTTTCCTCTTAATACAACAACAATTCTATCAAATTTAATCAAATCTAGCAATGGGTCACAGACTCTGTAGAACTGATCTTAGTCTTCATTCTAATGAAGTATATACATTTTATAACATCTAACAATTATGTGTGATAGTGCTGTTAGCTCTTTTCATTATTATATTAATATTATTATGTAAATGTTTTTTTTCAAGATAACTTTTTGTGGGCTCTGTCTAAATATTGTTGCTTTTAAACCAACAAATATAAACACTGATGTATGTAAATGTCAAGTTACAACTACAAATTATCTGAAAACATTTTCACTTATTGCACAACGTAGAACTGCAATTGAACTGAAACAAGAAATAGAAATGGTTCTATGTACCTTAGTATTAGCTTAAAGATAGTCAAAGACAGTCCAGAGCAGCGATATGAAAATGGCACAGTAACACAGAATAATAATACGTAATGCATCAAGAATAGTTGATATACCTGTATATCTAAGAAAATACTTTTGAGGAACTTTGTTAAATGACATCTATTAACATTTGCACTTTAATTCCTTAATGCAATGAGTGGTATTTTTCTCATGACCTTCTTGATTGAAGTAAATTAACAGATGGCTGTCTGATTTTATGCAAAGATGCCACTTGGTCTGATTTTCTCAAGTAAAAATGTTAATTGTGTTGTCACATAGGGTTTGTTTGCTTGAGGCACAGGCACAATATATGAGTCAAAGCTGACGCCTGGGTGCTTCATATTCCAATGTACCTCCCACAGCTCAAATGCCTTAAAAGAGTTCAATTGACTTGTGCACTCCCTGCACCAATATGTTGTAGAGTAGAGTTTTAAAAATTCATAAAATGAAATTAATGTATCTTTTGTATCTGAGCGATTAATCAATATGAAACTATACATGTTTTTAGTCAAAGCTGTGTAGTGCAGAAAACAAGCCAGTCTATAAGAATTCCATTCCAGAATAGGAAATTCTTTCCATATTCTTTAACCACCTGCCAAGCACTGCATGGCAGAAAGAAAGAAAGAAAGAAAGAAAGAAAATAAATAAATAAATATGTATATATATATATATATATATACATACACCTCACTGTCACGTCTGGCGTCCCCCAGGGCTCTGTCCTTGGCCCTCTCCTCTTTAATATCTACATGCTCCCCCTTGGTGACATCATCCGCAGACATGGGGTCAACTTCCATATGTATACGGATAACACCCAACTTTACCTTTCTTCCTCCACCCTCAACTCCAGGACCACTGCTGTCCTGACAGACTGCCTGTCGGACATCAAGTCCTGGATGAGGGCAAATTTCCTATAATAATAATAATAATAATAATAATAATCCTTGCATTTGATATAGCGCTTTTCACGTCAGGAGGACGTCCCAAAGCGCTTCACAGAACACACTGTAAAGTGAATTGACTGTATATTTGTGGGCGAACGCGGCAGCCAATTGCGCACAGCAATGTCCCACAAACAGTCGTAGATTGAAAATGACCAATTTAATTATTGTTTTTGGTTTTTTGGAGGGATTATTATTAGGCGTGTGGAGTAAGGAAACTTGCCCAAGGTTTCGCCCTCTGCCTGGAATTGAACTCAGGTCTCTCACTTGCAAAGCGAGTGCTCTAACCACTGAGCTACAGGACTCCTACAGTTGAATGTGAGTAACACTGAGGCTCTCCTGATTGGCTCGTGCCAGCGCCTCAGCACCTCAGGCTCTGGCAGCATCAATCTCCATGGTTGCACACTACAACTCGCCAAGCCAGTCAGGAACCTCGGTGTCTTGTTCGACCCTCAACTGTCTTTTCTTCCCACATCCAAGCCATGACCCGCTCTGCCTTCCCTCACCTCCGTAACATCGCCCGACTCCGCAACTAACTCACCCCTCAGGCCATTGAAACTCTTGTTCATGCCTTCATCACCTCCAGGCTCGACTCTACAAATACCCTGCTTGTCGGCCTTCCCAACTCCTCCCTCCACAGGCTGCAGATAATCCAGAACTCTGCAGCCCGTGTCCTCTGCCGCCCCAAACTCCATGACCCCATCTCCCCCACTCTCGCCCGACTCCATTGGCTCCCTATCCTTCAGAGGATCCATTTCAAGATCCTGGTCCTCAACTAAAAAGCCCTCAATGGCCTTGCCTCACCCTACCTCTGTGACCTCCTAACCCCCTACCAACCTGCCCGCTCCTTCCGCTCAGTTGGTTCTGGCCTGCTCCACATCCCCTGACCCACCCGCCCCACCATTGGCGGGAGAGCCTTCAGCCACTCTGCCCCCAACCTCTGGAATTCCATCCCCCAGTCACTCCACCTCGCCCCCTCCTTAGCCTCCTTCAAGTCCCGCCTCAAAACCCTCCTCTTCGACCATGCCATCAGCCATCCTCCCTTCCCCCCCTTCTCCCTCCCTGACCCCAGCTTGGGTCTGAAATGCTGTACACTGTCCAGCGCCTTGGGATGTCCTCCCGACGTGAAAGGCGCTATACAAATATAATTTTATTGTTTCCATTCCTCAGTATAATACATTTAAAAGATGCAACCATTCTTTAAATGTTAACTAACCATATTAAAAAGGATTGTTAACTACGCAATTTAAAAAATAAGCAATAAAATCATTTATCTCAAATTCTGTTGACAACAATTTGCAGAAATACTTTTTTTAAAAGTATTCATTTTCTCTTTGGCTTCAGTGCTCAGTGCCATCCTCTGGGCAAGTGAAGTATTTCTTGGACTCAACCAGCACTTCTTTATGACCCTGTGCTCGGAGGGATGTTACACTGCATCTTTGACTGTTTCTCCAGTGCTGTAGGGAAATGGATGCCTTGCTCATAGTACATTCTCAGGAGAGTAAGATAGAAATAAAAACATCAGTGTATAGAGATTCACAGGCACTAACCTGGTCATTAAAATGGAATTCACTGAACAACTATGTCGCCATGTAACATCACAATTTTTTTTATAAAATGGAACATACACTTAACTCTGCAGTATTCAGGAACTGAGCCTGTAACTGTAAGCTGAGTTGTAGCTTATCATCTTCCCCAGTCTAACTGTGATCTAGAATCATTTGTGGAGTCCTGTAGCTAAGTGGTTAGAGCACTCGCTTTGCAAGTGAGAGACCTGAGTTCAATTCCAGGCAGGGCGAAACCTTGGGCAAGTTTCCTTACTCCACACGCCTAATAATAATCCCCCCAAAAAAACCAAAAACAATAATAAATTGGTCATTTTCAATCTACGACTGTTTGTGGGACATTGCTGTGCGCAATTGGCTGCCGCGTTCGCCCACAAATATACAGTCAATTCACTTTACAGTGTGTTCTGTGAAGCGCTTTGGGACGTCCTCCTGACGTGAAAAGCGCTATATCAAATGCAAGGATTATTATTATTATTATTATTATTATTATCATTTCTCACTGGAACACTATAAGTTGTTATATGTTCATTCCCCACCCATTTCCTTTTGCCTGACGAGTGATGAGATTGGAAATCGTCAGGTGAATCATTCACTCAAAGAGTTATGATTCTGACCCTTTTCCATAAGCACAAAAGGAACCTCTTCTGAATCAACCAAACAGAATACCTAAAGATGTAAATAGTAACCTAGAATTTTCCAGCAAAAATGGACAGACAATCTTGGGGGAAGATGAAGGCATATTCCTCGACATGAAGAACTTTACAATAATGTCACAGTTGATTTTAACTTAATATCAATGCATTTACCTTTGTAAGAGCTGCAATCCGCTGGGCAAGTTCTGCTTCGACCTCAGGTAATGTTTCTGCCCTCTTCATGGTTTGCTGCAATTTCTGTTCAGCAAGTTCTAGACGTTCCTGTAACTGTCTATTTTTGTCTTCTATCTAAATTTCCACACAACAGAAATAAGAATATTCACTTGAATGAGCATCATAAAAAGGTTCGCAGATATCTTCTTTGCACCCTTTAATTTGTTTGATGTATAGAAATAACCCTTACATGTTTGTCATGAAACAGAACCTTATGAACACCCACAAATCAAAGTAGTTTATCAGACAGAACACATATATTTTTGCACTTACAAGTATTTCCCTTTAATTATAAGGTTGGGTTTAAGGCCAAAGAATATTTAACTTCTCATTATAATAATGCATGTATTGCTTTTATTTGCTCATAACTATGTCAAGATATTTTAGAAACAGGGATTGCATTATGACCCATTACTAGATGCTACCCCAGCACCATGGGACGTCCTCCTGATGTGGAAGGCTCTATATAAATGCAATTTGTTGGTGGTAGTGTTGTGAAGGGCACGATATAAATGCAATTTATCGTTGTAATCATTTGGAGTGGCTACTGCTGTAATGCAAACTCAGCATTCTAATAAATGAGGTTCATGTGGATGAGCTATAGTGATAGCTTCATCAAGCTAAATGGAAGAATAATGAGCTTGATGCTCACCACTGCAGTGGAATATGGTTTGCACTTATAAAGATTGGAATCTTTGCTGCAGATTGAAATATTGTTAAAGATTGAAATATATAAAATGGTATCTGAAAGTCATTCCGTATCATACAGCTTAGGAACAAAGAACCTCCTCGGGGCAAGGAAAGATTCCGAATCTGTGTCATATTGTTTATTCTTTGTAACAATACATTCACAGATTGATTTTAAATCTATCTAACCTGGCGCAAGAAGGCATCCTTATTTGCCAGCTCATTTTCCAGTTTATCATTCATATCATGTAATGAGGTGGATTCTCTCTGTGCATTAAGGTAGCGCTTCTCCAGTGTAGTTATTCTTTCTTCCATATCGTCTTTCTGAGCCATTACCTGTGGAGAAATCAAGACCATTTTACACCACTGTTTAACTTTAATTTCAAATGCATTATTTAAGATCGGATACAAAATGTTTTATTTTCTAACAAATGATGACATTTTGACATCATCTGTGCATACTTAATTATTGTCCATCTAAGTATTAATTGTCTCCTCTATCCAAATTTCTTCCTTAACCATCTGCAAGTCTTTTTGGTAAGTCTGTTTCAGTGCTCATGACCTGGGCTTTGCGTACAACGGATTATGCCTTGATGTGCTACTGCTTAGTAACTATTCATTTCTAATTATATTTACTTTCTATATAATGGATGAAACAGAAATAAATACAGCATTAGCTACTGCCATACTTTGCTTCAGGCAAACTACTTACATAACAGCAACATTAAAATTGAAACACATATGGTGTGCATAAGGCAAATACTGCAACAGGTCATGCTTCTAAACATTAACTAATTGAACCCCTTAAACTTACCATAGCTTCAATGAAATGGTGCTTTCTAAAACATCAATAAGACTTTTAATTAATTGACATTTCAACAGGATTATCAAGTAAAATAGGCAGAATGGCCATCTAAGTACTAATGTCACCAATACTGCAAGATATCAACCACAATTTTATCAACATTCGTTGCAAGTATATTCAGGAGTTGTTCGGATCTGGAATGCATTGCCTGAAAGAGTGGTGGAAGCCGATTCGATAACAACTTTTAAAAGAGAAACAGATAATTGTTCGGGGAGGACACGTTTGCAGGGCTATGGGGAGAGAGCAGAGGAGTGGGATTGATTTGGACAGCTCCTTTTAAAGAGCCGGCACAGACACGATTGGCCGAAAGGCTGTATAATTCTATGATTCTACGAGGAGGCTCAGACACAGAAATGTAAGTCACTCTTTTATGTTTTCCATTCTTGTTGATATTTTCAGAATTTTTGTGCCTTAAAAATAACACCCACTTGGTTAGCAAACAGTAATCACAATGACAAGTAATTTTTTAAATTCCAGCAATACCCAAACCTCGGCTCTTGCCAACCTGTGCCTAATAATTTCCGGAATTAGTTAAGCAGGGCACTTCCCTCTAGGGAGAGAGTACCCACAGTATTCCAAAGGGACATTTCTATGCAGAGGTGGCATGCATTTGTGGAACTGTGGTTTGAATACTCTCAAGAGTGGTGATAGGTTTCCGGATGTGTCAGACTTCTAGCTGGCTAAGAATAAATATTTAGCAGAAAAGTATATTAATTTTGACAAGCACAAAAGGCTTCCAATATTTTCATTTTACAAGCTTCTGAAGACCAGCAGCACCTTACGATTCCGTGCAGTCCCGTAGCGTAGTGGTTGGCGCTCTGAGGACCTGGGTGGGGCAAGACCTTGGCCAAATTTTGCTTGCTGCTAAAAAAGGGTGCAAAGTCCATTTAACAAACTAATCAGAAATAAGAAAATGATGTGAGAAACTTGCATTCCTATATTCAGGAAATGGGATTTATGGACCTTAGCAAAATTAGAGCAGGCAAAGAGGAGGCACTTGCTATAATGAGACTCATCCTGATAAAGCATCTTAACAACCCAGTTGAGGGATATGAAAACCAAAAGACCTGTAATCAAGCTGAGGAATGCAGAATTGTGAAAGGCAATGGTTCAGTGCAGGCATTGCAAAAGTTTTTGAAGGATGACCAGTTCGAAATTTTAGGCCAGTTTCTTAACTCCACATGGCTCTGTTTACCTAGCAGTAAGTAGGAACGCGGTTGTTAGTAGACTGACGGATCGCTTTCTGGGGGTAATAATCCCTTCATAAATCCTCATTCTTTCCCCTAATTATCCCCTCTAATTTTCCCTTTGCACCCATAGTACTCAGCTTTGTTAAGAGATTTGAATGGTTCAGACACGTTACAGTCTCCCATTTTATTTGTAAATCAGGAAATATTCCTAAGAAATGTATATGACGGCAGAGCATCAGTATTTTCTCCCATTGAAAAACCAGATTATACTAGGAATATGGTCTCCTCATGGCAAAATGTCTGAAAATTGCATGAGATTCAGACTCTGATTTCTTAGTCAGGAATGCAATACTCTCACTGGCAGGCTGCTTCAGCTAAAATATTTTAAGGACCCACTGTCAGCTCGCATAGGTGTTTTACTTTAATCAATTTTACAAATACTCTTATTTCCAGTTTGCATACTATATATTGAGCTACAAACCAAGACAACATTAACAAATCTTCCTTCATATATAAATCATTGGCACTAAAACTACTGTTAAATATAAACCACAGTCGTACTTAATTTGAGCACACTGCTTCAAGAGACAATTCAATAAAGCATTACGATCAAGCATGATGGCTTTAGCTGCAAACTACATTTTAATAATGTGGATTCCAACATAAATTGAGAATTTTTCACAGGCTATTTAAATTAGCTGCTCTGCAAGCATAAATTGAAAATAAATTAATCACAACAATTTCTCATCTGCCGTACCCGCCAATACTGCTGCAGTGAGTTGCTCTCAGGCAGAAAAATCCTCTTTATTATTCACTTCCGGCCCCTCCTTGGATGCTTTGACTTTTTCTCATGCTTAAACTCACTAATGCCAGCTCTGACCTGGTTTTAGTATCCCAATTTTCAATCTGCCTTCTCTGCTACTCAATGCTGTAAGATTTTCTCCTTAATGACTTTTAACAAAGCCTTCAATATTTTAATTGACTTTAGATTAAAATATCTTCCTGCTCATTTCAGTGGGATACTTACGTACAAATACACAGTCATTACATTTCACAGCAATTAACTGTGGAGCAGTTTGAGACATTGATGCTTCATAGAATCATACAATCATAGAACTGTACAGCACAAAAAGAGGCCATTCGGCCCATCGAGTTTGTGCCAGCTCTTTGAATAGAGCAATTAATGTCAATCCCACTCCCCAGCCCTTTCCCCATAACTCTTCAAACCCGTGCTCCTCAAATACCCATCCACCGCGTTTTTAAAAGTAGTTATCGAGTCGGCCTCAACCACCCTTTCAGGCAATGCGTTCCAGATTCGAACAACTTGCTGCATGAAAAAGTTTCTTCTCACCTCCCCTCTGCTTTTAGATACTATTTTGAATCTGTGACCTTGAGTCACCAAAACACCCACCAGTGGAAAGTTTTTCCCTTTCTACACTATCAAATCCCCTCACGATTTTGAAGACCTCTATTAGGTCTCCTTGTAACCTTCTCTGCTCCAATGAGAATAATCCCAGCCTCTCTAGCCTTTCCTCATAATCAAGGTCCCTCATTCCTGGTACCATTCTTGTAAATCTCCTCTGCACCCTTTCCAATGCCTTAACATCCTTCCTATTGTGTGGTGCCCAGAACTGGGCGCAGTATTCTAACTGAGGCCTAACCAATGTTTTATATAGGTTAATCATAACCTCCTGACTCTTGTACTCTATGCCCCTATTTATAAAGCCTAGAATCCCATTTGCCCTTTTTACAGCCTTATCTACCTGTCCTGCCACATTCACAGATTCATTTACCTGCACCCCTTGGTGTCTTTGTTCTTTTATCCCCCTTAAGATTGTATTACCAGCCTGTATTGCCTCCCCTCATTCTTTCTACCAAAATGCATTACTTCACATTTCTCTACATTGAAACTCATTTGCCATGTGTCTGCCCATTTTACCATTCTGTCTATGTCTTCCTGCAGTTGGCTCCTATTCTTCTTACTGTTTACCACCCTACCTAACTTTGTGTCGTCCGCAAACTTGGAAATGGTGCTTGCTATATCCAAGTTCAGATCATTTATGTATATTAAGGAGAGCAGTGGTCCTAATACCGATGCCCGGGGGACGCCACTGTACACTTCCCTCCAGTCAGAAAAGCAGCCATTCACCACAACTCTCTGCTTTCTGTCTTCCAGCCAGTTCTGGATCCATACTGCCACTCTCCCTTTTATACCATGGGCTTCTATCTTTCGTACAAGTTTTTCATGTGGCACTTTGTCAAATGCCTTTTGAAAGTCCATATAAACAGTAGAGAACCCAATATCTGAACAAATTCGGAATGACTCAATTGTGGATATAAGGCTGTCACACAGAATATAATGTATTGAATTAAGTAAAATGCTATCTATCAGATGCTATATTGTCACAATAATACACATATTTGTAGCTTCTGTCTCGCTTTCTTTCTGATTCTCATTTTCTTACCAACTGACCGATTGTGTATCTCTGCTCAATGTCCGAATATGTGTGTGTTTGTATGTGTGTGTCTCCCTGTTTCAAACCCTATGCTTAACTGAATCAAATATCCACCTCATTGCGCTCACGTGAAATCATGCAACTTGAAGTTTATGTCGACATTCAAGCATTGCTTTAAATTCACATCTCAGCTTTGATGCCAAACAGCAGGTGCGAAGTTATCCTATGTGTCGATAGTCAATGTTCTATGTATATCAAATGTATGTGACATAATAGGCCCAATGTTTAAACAGAACATGCAACTGCAACACATTAGACTCAAATATATTCAACTGATGAAAATAATCAATTGCCCTTCCTCAATTTTAAATGATTAATTTTAATGAAAACATAATAACTATTTTATTATATTTCAACATTATTAATGCAAAAACAATATTAGTCTATTTGAAGAGGATATAAATGGGAGAAATTTTAGCAATTTTCCCCACAATTTTCTGTACAAGCCAAATATAATAAGCTGGGGAGAATCCATCCAATCGGTTTCTCTGATACTGATTAGTATACTAGAGCAATGCGAGTAAATTGCTATTAAATTACATCACATTAAAGTAATGTAATACTTCTCAGGAGAAGAAACTAATGCAGCATGGAAAAGCAAGAAAGTAACTAATTTAGAAAAAGAAGGAATGAAGGTAAATATTGATTTTAAAGCAACAAAAACAAAACATTCAAAATACTTACATCAGAGTGATCGTAAAGACTTTGGGATAGATTCTTCTCTTGGTATCAACAATCAAGCAAGATAAGCATTGGCAGTAATGCATTACCCAGTAATTTTTCTTGGCAATAGTACTGCTATTGGCAGAATACATCAAATTGAGTTTTCTCCTATAAGCTAACTGTAAATATCCACGGGGGCGAGTTTCCTGTTTTCATCCGAGCCCTAACAGAATAATTATTTTGTACAAGCTGTAGAACTGGCAAACACATTGGAATTCAGCAGGTCCCGGTTGAAACCAATACAATAACTTGTCCGGTGGAAATTTAAGCCACATAGGCAGAACTTAAGCACAAATCATATTTTGGCCTCTGAACAAATAAATGAGCATCTAGATCCCCCAACAAAATATAATTCATTAATTAATGAACAAAACCTTGGAATCTTTCACCACATAATGTAAAATATGTTCTACTATCCTGGAATGATATAAACCAAACAAGTGAATTTGACTTGCCTGGAATATTTCCTGAATTGCCCTGACCAACACACCAATTTTCACAAACTGATTAATTCTTTCCTTCTTGAAACTAATCATATGGCAACTAATTTTGCAACTCTACTCTGTATATAATTTGTGTTTTAGATGTTGGCAAGCTCTTTGCAAAATTATGGTCATCAAGAAACATGTCTCACCAATATTCATATTGCCCACTACAGTTTATCAGCTCCAACTGAGTCTTTAAACAAACATTGTGAACAAGTTGACACCTCCCACACCAAGTTACATTGAAAGAACGTCGAAAGAATCTCAGCTTTAAGATGTGTGGAGACTTCATTGTATTGCCAAGAACAAAGACAGTTGGCAGAATTTGAATGTTTTCAAATTTCTAACACCATCATATTCCCAAATAACATTGCACTAAGTAGCTGAATTGAGTTAATGGCTATTCAGTTTATGCATTCTTAATTATAATAACATTGTGAAACTGAACTGAAAAAGATGTTAATTGGTTTATGTTTGACCTTATTCGTCTTGTAATTTATTACAGCGATACATTTTTAGTGACAAACCATCCTTAGAGACCTACTTGGATATTCAAGCACTGTCACATAAATTATAAATCTTTCCAACATAGCTCTGCATACAGTTCAAAATATCACCATTCATTTCCTGGAGACAAAGGCACGATGAAAACCTACACTGAACATCTTTATTTCTATCGCATGATAGTTATGGTTCTTAGCAAGTTATGATTTCAGGTCATCAACAAATACTTCTTACTCAGCTAAGAATTGAAACAAATTTGTCTATAAAACATGCAGTTTCATTTTCCTACCTCTCTGATATCCCTCTGATATTTAGTGCTTATTTCTTCCGATTTAATCAGGTCTTTTCTGGCTGTTTCTAAATCCTGCTCCACTTCAGCTAGCCGGCCAGACAATGTTGCTAGTCGCTCTTTCAATTGTGTCATCTCATAGTTCTGTTTTTCGATCAGTTCCTGTAGTTCCACAACTTGACTGATTTCGTCACTGGGGTCAATGGAGCCATTAGAAAGACGCTGCATTAGAAGCACAATGATTTGTCTTAGACACAGGAATCAAGCAATGAGTGAGATAAAAATTACTAATACCGTGTAAAATCATTAGTCTAATAGATGAGGTAAAATGATCAGGCAGCAATTGCTTGGAGACCAAAATACGTTTCCAATCAAGAATGTCATGAATGTGCAACAAATTCATGCTCTAATGTACTGAAAATAAGAGAATCACTCCTAATACAATGAGCTCCAGATCTCAGACTCGTGACCAACAATCAAGTATGCAATGCTCTAGAAACTCAGGCAATGTTGCTGTGCACCCAGTTGATGTGAAAAGCTGTCCAGAATAACAATTAAATTTTCCATCAATACTGGACATCCACACAGTATAAAACTACTTTCATATTGTTATTTTGCCTTGTTACATTTTTTGGAATGTTAAGCTTAGATCAGGCATTTGGTACGACAGTGATCAAACATTCAATAATTTTTTTTCAAATGGAGTCCTGTGGCTCAGTGGTTAGAGCACTCGCTTTGAGACCTGAGTTCAATTCCAGGCAGAGGGCGAAACCTTGGGCAAGTTTCCTTACTCCACACTCCTAATAATAATCCCTCCAAAACCCAAAACAATAATAAATTGGTCATTTTCAATCTACGACTATTTGTGGGACATTGCTGTGTGCAATTGGCTGCCGTGTTTGCCCACAAATATACAGTCAATTCACTTTAGAGTGTATTCTGTGAAGTGCTTTGGGACGTCCTCCCGACGTGAAAAGCGCTATATCAAATGCAAGGATTATTATTATTATTATTATAAATGGGCACATCTCTCCCTATTAATATTTCCATGTTATCTCTGCAGTAAACTAGAATTCTATGCGTTTCCTTGACTCTGCCTGAGTAAAATATTTGCACGAGGGGACATTGGAGATTGATTTGATCTATTAGGATGGAGATTCATGTGTATAAACATCAGCTTGGACTAGTTGAGCCAATTCAGGTGAAATGACATAATTCGGTCAGCAACGTTTTTGCTGATGTTGTAGTTTGTTGCTTTAACTTTAGAAATCAGGTTTTAGCAGTTGTTTGAAGTCAAAAAAAACTAGTGGCAGACAGAATTAGTGGATCCGAGTAAAGCATCTGTGATAAAGAAATACAGGCATTTGTACCAGATGGAACAGACCCTGCACTCCTCAAGAAAACCATGGAAGAGAGCATACATATAGGGTCTTAAATTTTAAGGAACACGTTAATGCATAGCAATATATCTGTCAGCATTTGAAATAATGCTATTTTTCTGTACTACCAAAATTTGAAAGGGGAGCTTTTTGGAGTAACCAAAATTGGTAATCTCATTAAAAAATAATTGGACCATTTCAAAAAGTTAGCAACTATTCCCTGCAAGGTTATTCATAGAATCTCAACTTTGTAACACTTGCTTTACTTAGTTTAAATAAATTTTTGTCTTGTCATTTCCAAGTAGCTCCTTCCAAAGCACATTTATGATGTCACAAGCATACTAAACTGAGAAAATGAAGGAATACTTTAGTTATTTTCTCCTTTAAATGTCAGCCTGGCTCAGTTGATGGCTTTCTCGTCTCTGAGTCAGAAGGTTGTGAATGTCCTATAGTACTCCACTTCCGACTCTGACAGTGCAGGACTCATTCAACAATGCATGAAGAGTCAGTCTCGACTATGTGAGCTCAAAGTCCTGATATGTGCTTGAATTCACAACTGTCAGGCTCAGTGGTAAGAGTGCTACCAACTGAGCTACATGACACTTAGAGGAGAAAATGGACAAAGCACTATTTCATTTTCTCAGCTGAGTGTATCTGTACAACAACCACAATTAAAATATGTTGATAGAAAACTCTAATCCTCGAAATGTATCACCAGACTTTCACTCTGCTGCATTCCCAATGAAGCAAATGCATACATAATCCTACAAGATCTATTTCAGAAGTAAGAACGAATCTGTCTAAATGTTGGTAGTAGAGACAATTATGAATATTTTGAATAAACTGCTTGTCAATACTGAATCCAGTGAAGGCAGTCCTTTCCTACCTTTCCGTGAACTTTCTGACCTGGCTCTGCTCCCTCCAGAAGTTCAGATTCTTCTTTTTTCTGAGCATGTGCCTTTTGCTCTTGTTGTATTGCTATCTGTAGGTTTATAAAAGATAAATATTTTAGGGTTCATATGCAACTTAAGATTGCTTCTGCAGGTTTTTAATGGATTTTCTTTCTAATCTGAACCAATAATTAGATTGCTTGCCATTTATATCTCTAGCGATTTAAAATCTGATTTTATTATGCCCATAAAATACACTGTGACAAGACTGAGACATCCTCCCAATGTGAATGGCCTTTGAACACAATATCACAGCATTGGTACATAAATATAAATTGTGTTGAACATTGCAGTAAAATCCTGTGGACCTTTTTGAAACATCCTCTTGACAAGGAAGGTGTTATACGAAATTCAAGGATTATCAGTAGATTACAGATTTATTAATTACTGCGCAAAGCCTAGGATAACCCGGGTAATGGATATAATAGTATTTCTGATTCTTGCACAGGAGAAGGCAGTCATATTAATGTAGGCCCAGACAGGAATACGTCAAACAGCTCCTCTGAAACACATTATTATAAATCATCACAGCTGTTAATTCTTCCTCCCATGATGTTTCTTTGCCAAATACAATTCACTTTGAGAGGATGTCTCAAAGCACTTGTCACTGCTGACTATGCACCTGACCTGTGGGAGGGAGCCAAAGAGGGTGAGGAGGAGAAAAATAATAGGACGAGCAGACAAAATGGTGCATCTTAAAATCTGTGTTGAAGACATAGGACAATCTGAGATATCCCCTAATGTCAAGACAATTCCTGTCAGAAAGACTGTAGGTGAACATAGTAGAATTCTCAAGTGCAGTCTCCACTTAACATAGTACATGCCCAGAATTATCTGCAAGCAATGTATGTAAATGTACTCCAACTGATTAATTGGATTAAAAGATGGCTTCATGACAGTACTCCTGAAATCAAACTATGTTAAAACTGACACTGGGCTGTTCTAGGAAAGTGCCACAGCTGTTCCATTGTGTTTTTCCTCATCTGTGAACATTACCCATTCAATAATCTGATCAGTCTTTAATGACTCAGTTTTATTTTAAATCCGCAAAGTATTAAATCATTTAGATAACATTTTACTGCAATCTGAAGTGAGGAACAAGGTATCGGTTGGAAGCTGCTAAAATAGGGTGACCATACTTTGTAAACCAAATTCAAGGACGCGTATAAAAAAAATTGAACTCACCACAATTCCTGATGCTGGCAGTAGTGGAGACGCTTATTGGATTAATGGCTGTATTTCTCTGATTAGTGTTTCTGTTTTAGAATTTTATTGTTTTTGCTCAGTTTGTTGCTGAACTCAAGACAGGGGAAATTTGGCCAGGGACACAATACCTCATCTGGGACTCAGAGACGTATGGTCACCCTATGCTACAAATAAAATACAGGCTGTAATGTTCAGATAAGAAGTGTGGCTTCATATCTGCACCTTCCTACCAAAACCAACTCCAAAAACAAATAAAATAAATAAGAGAAGGGAGACCTCTTTTGTTAATATTCATTTGCTGATGGGGGAGTGGCATCGTCATTCTCTCTACCTGTTAATATTTATCATTTTCAATTTGGGGTTTGAATGTTCAAAACTACATAGCAGTTGGCTCAAACTACTGATGGGAATTATAACATATAAATCCTCGATGTCCTGTTATATGCTTTGGGTTTCCATGGAATAAAATCAGAAGATACCGGGAAAGCAAAGCAGATTTATGATCAACCATTTTGGTGATGGCAGATTTCCATATCATGAAGTTATCTTTCTCTTTCATACTGATTTCCTGTCCATTTCCAACATTCCTAGATTTCCTAAGGATTTCCTGGCCACTTGGTGGAGCCAACACAAGAAAGTACAGATTAAAAGCTGTCACTCAAAACTGAAACTGGAGTTGTAAAGTTTACATAAATTGATCCTACTTGTTCTGATCATGCTATAATAATCCTTGTATTCGATATAGCACCGTATCATCATCATGTCTCAAAATGCTTCACACAACTCCCTGAAACTATGAAACTCTCTGCCTCAATCCTTCCACATCAACTCCTCCTTCCCCAACTTCAGATCACTCTTGAAGACCTTTCTCTTTGACTTTGTCTATGGTTACCTCCCTCCTCTCCACAGCTCAGCATTAAGCTCTGCCACTGTAAAGCGCTGTGAAGAGATGCTATCCCACTTGAAGGGTGCTGTATAAATGCAAGTTGTTGCAAGTAGGATTTCATTCCTTGGATGCTTGTTTTATGATTATTTGGTTTGGATCAATACAGCTCCTAGTTTGCTCATCACCACATGGCATTTTGATAAGATACAATGGTTTAATATATACAACGATTGGCTTGGTTCAATACAGTACATTTCAAGTGTGTACCATTAAGAATGTTGTGGTTTACATGTACTGCAAGAAGATTAGACTATTAACGTAACTCATTTATATGATGTTCAGCTAGTATTACAGCCCATAAAGAACAAAGCAGAACTTGCGGTAAATTAATCAAATAAATCTGCTACCTCAAGACATTCTTTATACTGTGAAATTGGTGCCATAACTACCCAGCTGATTGATCAGGGAATGCTGGCAAACAATACTTGGTGTGTGCTGAACAGATAAAGGGTAACACATAACTGCATTTGTATTACATTAGATCTCAAACTTGTTCCATCAAATGACAGGACACCTAAACTAATTTTCTTCTGCTTCACATTTCTAGGAAATATTAACCATTGTTAAAATTATGTTTTAATCATTTCAGGATTCTTTTAGCATTTCTATATTATATAAAAAAATAAATAATTTATAGTTCACTTACAAAATACTGAAAATAAACAAGCTGTATTCAATTCTCTAGCCAATAGCTATAATCAGTTCTGCTTTGTTCCTGAAAAGCCAGCATTTGGACACAAGAGTTCTATAACTAAATAATAGGATGGGAGTGTGCATCAAATGCAAATTAAGACTTGAACAATATACTGTGCTTTACTACATTCCCGTAATTGTACTTCGCATTGTAACTTAATTCTAATCAATTTGTTGCAGAAAATCTACATTTTTCATTTTATAAACTTGTGCATATGCTGTTTAAATTTAGTTCTCAAACTTCAGCTGTTATACATTTAAGCAAACACTACATAAAACAGCATAGATACATACTGTACTCTGAATTAATTAGTCCCAGAGGTGCTCATGCTGGTTGCCATTTGGTAAGTTAAAATGCTCCATTGGAATGGTCGAAGGTTAGTCTTGACATTCTGGCAATAATTAGCAACAGTGGGATACAGATTTGTGGGATACAGATTCAAACAACTTCATCTTGGTAAGAATTAACTGACATGATTTGCTTGACATAGATGCAAAATCAAATCCAAATAGGTTTCTAAATACAAGGCTGGATCATGTAGGTAGGAAATGAGTTATTTGGAAAATAACTTCATTTAAAGAATAAGGACACCTGTACATAGAAGTGGGAAACCCACATATTTACTCCCCCAAAGTAATGTCTTCTAGGAAGAGGGCTTTAAGAAAATCAAAATCATTTTTTTTGGCAGTGGTCTTCTCCACAGGAACCTGCAGGTAAAGTCCAGTAAACATACCCTTCAGTTTACCACCCTGTGGCACCACATATTGAAATACAAATACATTGTTTTATTGGCTTCTTAACCACACTTATTCTGGTGGGATTTATTTATTTATTGGTTTGTTTATTGGGAATTATTTATTTGTCGGTACATAGTTTACTGGTGGGAGCAAAATAGTTTGCTTCTTTTATCAATATGTTCATGGTGTTTAACAAGCACCTCCAAGCAGGCATGTGGAATAAGGAAACTTGCCCATTGTTTTACCCTGCCGAGAATCAAACCCAGGTCTCTCGCTTGTGAGGCGAGTGCACTGAGAGTTTGATCTAAATGAATACTGATTATCAAAATGATTGGTTAAAATTAAACACTAGCAAGGCTGCTGTGAATTTTAGTCGAACATTCAGTGCTAAAATCTTGTGATAATTATTAGAGCTTAATATATTGGTCCATCTACAAAGAGTAGTATAATGAGCTTGGTTCTCTTCAATTTAGAGCTTCATTCTGTTAGGGATGAATTAAATATATGTGCAAAGCTGAAGAAATTTCATTAGCTACTGGGATCCATAGTATGAGAATAATCTTGTCCAAACCTCAGAACTAGAAGGTACATTTTTAGTTTGTTGTTTAATTGTGCACAATTAGCTGCCGCGTTTTGTCCACAAAATATACAGTCAATTCACTTTACAATATATTCTGTGAAGGATTTTGAGATCTCTCAAAGATTTGATAAGACGCTATATCAAATGCAACGATTTTGTTATTTATTATTAACAACAGCGCACATTAGTTAAAATGTTAAATGAGGTTCTATTTTCCCCCTCCAGTTTGCTATACGCGTTTTAGATTTTTGAAAATGAAAAACAGTTAAGTAGATCCTTAGAAAATTTATCAAAGAATGCAAAATTGTTTACCATAATGCGTATTGCAAATAAATGAAGGCAGTTAAGATATATCTTTGCATAAGGATTTACTTAACATGACTGCAATCCATTTTTTAAAAATTGAACAAATGTCCAAAGTGTAATGCAATGATAAACTCATAACTCAGGAGTCCTATAGCTCAGTGGTTAGAGCACTCGCTTTGCAAGCGAGACACCTTGGTTCGATTCCCGGCAGGGCAAAACCATGAACAAGTTTCCTTATTCCACACCCCTGATAATAATACCTCAAGAAAATAACAATAATAATTTGGTCACTCAATCCACGACTGTTTGTGGGACACTGCTGTGTACAATTGCCTGCTGCGCTTCACCCACAAAATACACAGTGAATTCACTTTACAGTATATTCTGTGAAGTGCTTTGAGATGTCTGGAAGACGTGAAAAGTGCTAAATTAAATGCAAGGATTAATATTGTTGTTGTACTATATAACTGTTCAGCTATTCACAAATCCCTCTGGAAGTTTGTCTATCCTTTAATTCCTCGAGAAGTTGTCTTTTTGAAATTTTAAAAATATATATTAAAGAG